AGTCTAAGCAGGGACTCCCAGACTTCCTTCACCCCAGATATGTCCTCTAGCTCCTCCGGGGGAACCCCAAGACGTTCCCAGGCAAGCCCAGAGACATAGTCTCTCCAGTGTGTCCTGGGTCTTCCCCGGCGCCTCCTCCCGGTGGGACATGCCCTAGGGAGGTGCCCAGGAGGCATCCGGAAAAATCCAACTGGCTCCTCTCAATGTGGAGGAGCAGCGGCTCTACTCCGAGCTCCTCCCGTGTGACTGAGCTCCTCACCCTATCTCTAAGGGCCCAGCCACCCTGCGGAGGAAACTAATTTGTGCTGCTTGTATCGGCGATCATCTTTTTGGTCATTACCCAGAGCTCATGACCATAGGTGAGGGGCCTTTCGGCTCAGCTCCCTTTTCACCACAACGGTCCGATACAGTGACCGCATCACTGCTGCAACGATATGCCTGTCAATCTCATGCTCCATCCTCCCCTCACTTGTGAACAAGACCCTAAAATACTTGAACTCCACTTGAGGCAGGGACTCTCCACCCACCCGGAGAGGGCAAGCCACCTTTTTCCGGTCGAGAACCATGGCCTTGGACTTGGAAGAGCAACAAGTATTTTCAATACATTTTCAATATTTTCAAACACCTCATTATGATATGCTATGTGCTCAAATCACATTCCAAAAGGTAATTGTGGTTTGCATGTTCCCTACCCCCACGACCAGAGGTGACAGTGTGAGCAGTCAGACCTGGGAGATGTGGTTGATTGAGGACTCCATGCGGCGCAGCTGGGAGGCCTGTATATCCAGCATCTGCAGCACATTGTTGGCCAGAGTGTTGATCAGGTAGGCCACACTGGCCAGGGACTGGGTGGTGTAGTTCTTGGTCTCCTCCAGAGCCCGCTGCTTGTCCGGTGACTGCACAAACATATGAAGAGAAGGAACCAAATCAGAGGCAGATACAGGGAGACTTAGACTTAGACAAACTTTATTGATCCACAAAGGAAATTATTTGGACACAGTACCTCACACATTACAATATAATACAATAACAAAGAGTAATAAAAATATAAATGGTAATAATAAATTCTTGCAAAAAAAAAAAAAAAAACGGCAAGAGAAAGGAGTCAAATAAGACATAATTATGTAAATAAAACAAGTAATAAAATATAAAATCTCAGTTATATACAAGAAGTCATAGGAAGATAGTGGAACAATGATATGATTATTGACAGGACAGGACAATAGACGTGTGACAAAACAATCTGGAGTCCTACAACTAAACGCAGTAGTAGTTTGTTTATTTTTCATTCGTTTTGAGCTTTCAATCAAAAGTTCAAAAATATGGCACTGGGTCACATCCATACTTAAATGCAGTGGTGATTAAATAAGGCAAACTCAAATTATAGAGTGAAAATGAGTAATCAGTGCAATGTTCTCCCAGGATGACTTCAAACAAGTTGGGGAAGTAGGGCATATGACCTGCAGAGCAACATTTCTAACACATTTCAAATCCCCACACACACACCCAGCAGCATACTGGTTCATAAAAGTCATTATTTTACAAATATAACAGATATAGTGTGGGTTTAGCAGCATTCAAACTGAAGCAACCCCTGGTCACTAAAAAGGGATACTGTCATCATGTTCTTACTATCCCACGACAAGTAAACCATCACACTATTCACACATTCACACGAAATGAAGGCTGTAGGGCATTTAATCAAAGCTACTATACGGTGACCGCCTACACTGGCCTTAGTAGTCAGTATCTGACCCGTTCACACTGGACAGGCTGAATGCTTTGACCCGGTGTGTTCTCCACAGCCGTGTCCAGCGCTGGTGGGCATCGTCGGGCAGAGCAGAGCACCGCGGCTCCATCACCATAAATCAGAGCGACACCGCTGCGGCACACGGGACACACGGCCGCAGAACGAGCGCTGTGCCCCGGCTGCAGACCTACGCGGTGCTCGCTGCCTTGGATCATGTCTCATGTTTTCAGTCCAAGGCTGCAGCCATGTACAGAGACATTAGCACCAGCGACCATCCGTGTGACCCAGCTGCGGACGAGTGACAACATCAGCCGCCCCACCACAGCGCAGCGCCCGGCCTCACCCACACCACACACAGATATAAAGCCTGATCGCAGCCATCTGAAGTGTTTATATGTTTAGCACTGGTGGCTAACAGCAGCAGAGAGCAGGCTGCAGCAGCGTTAGCATTAGCCACAATTAGCTCCTGAATGCTGTCACCGGAGATCGGACCGCACTAACGCCGCCGCAGGTCCCGTTTGTCGGCCCTACCTGGACATAATTACTCTCGCAGTACTCCGCGACCCTTTCCAAGTTGGTGAAGCTGTCCAGCAGAGCGCTCCGTCCCGCTGGAATCTCCTCTTCCAGAAGCATTTGTAGCTCCGCCATTTTCACATCTTTAGCGAACTACAGGCTTTCCACGGCGCCTTCCTCCGCTAGTGTGCGGTACTGCAACTGTCTCCACAGTTCACACACCACAATCAGTGTAGCCCATAGACAGTGTTGTGTAAGTTCACTCTTTTCATGAACTAGTTCAAAGTTCAGTTCACACTTGTTCAAAATGAATAGTTCACGTTCATAGTTCACAATTTTAATTTTGAACTAGTTCAAAGTTCAGTTCATTTTATATTTAGGTGAGATCTGTAAATGAAAGGCTGCATTTATTTTAGACTAAACCAGGTCTAAATCAGGACTGAACCAGGTCTAAACCAGAACTGAACCAGGACTAAACCAGGTCTAAACCAGGAATAAACCAAGACTAAACCAGGACTGAACCAAAATTGAACCAGATCTAAACCAAGACTAAACCAGGACTGAACCAGAATTGAACCAGGTCTAAACCAGGACTGAACCAGGACTAAACCAGGTCTAAACCAGGACTAAACCAGAACTAAACCAGGTCTAAACCAGAACTGAACCAGGACTAAACCAGGACTAAACCAAGACTAAACCAGGACCAAACCAGGACTAATCCTGGACTAGAACTTGGAATCTAGGACCGCCCCTGAGAGAACCCCGAGTGCGATCGGGCGTCAGCTGCGTTTAGTTCGGTGGAGCGCGGACTTCTGCGTCGGTCCTTTCGCTCAGGATCACGGTCTACGCGGGCGCACCTCCGGCGTTTCACCGCTGCTGATATCGCGGTGATTTTAGCAAATTTGTATGAAGATAAACGAAAAACCCACCATTTCAATCCAGGTTAAAAAAGCATTGTGATGCGCGTTACTGACATATGTACCAAGTAAAATAATACGTGCGCGGAGCAGCACGTCCTGTGCGTGTAGATTTCAGAAAATAGGATCCATCCTATTTTTTGACGCTCTACACGAGTGTAGGCGCGTATCCCCGTCAAAATCCACAGAGAGCATGGATCTATTGTTGTATTTGTGCATTTACCATCAGCACTAGAGGTAAGATCTTAAGACCGAGCCCAAGCCCGACCCGACCCGGTCTAAAATGTCAATCATTACTTCGGGTCGGGCTCGGGCTTCAAATAAATATATGTTTATAAAATGTATGCTAAAACGATGTGTGGATACTAAACTAAGGAATACTTGTTATAAAATAAATAATATGGATAAAACAGAGAAGTAATGTAATGTAATTGCTATTTAACTACTAAACAGGATCCGCAGAGCCAGAGCTCTACGCACGTGAACGCCCCCTCTTTATTTAATAACCTTCCCCTCCGCAAGTCTGCATCTATTTTGACCTGGTATCCCCAATATGGAGGAGCAAGAAGTTAAACTAAAGGCAGGAGAACTGAAAAGACAAACACGCACCGGTAAGAGTGAGGTGTGGAAAAGCTTCAAATTGATTGTTGAAAATGCTACAGAAACTTGCGTTGGCTTCGCTGAATGTCGTCAATGTGGCGCTTTGCTTTCATAAGAGAGCAAAAAGACTGGCACCTCGACGCTGAGCACTGCTCCTCACAAATAAAATATGACATTTCGGGTTTGCTTCGGGCTCGGGCCTGCAAATCAAGTTAATAGGTCGGGCTCGGGCCGGGTCGGGTCGGGCTGGATTTTTTAGGCCCGATCTCACCTCTAATCAGCACATTGTGCTCCCTGGGCAGTTGTGTATCATGTGAAAGAGCCCAGATCCACATAGACTGTTAATTAGTGCTTTGAAATTCAATTTTGAAATCCTTGCGTTTGCCGTGGTCAGCCTGTACAGAAGGTAAATACAAGCAGCTAAACGCGCCCAGTCAAGTTTGATTGACTTCCCATTGAGAGACACAAGAGCCCGTACATTCCGTTAAAGCTGCCGGGGGAGTCGCCTTCGCGTTGACACGCGGCTGTGGTTTCACGAGGTGAAGTGCGAGCAGATCGTCACTCGTCAAATTCCGACGTTTAACTGAACCCCAACAGTTAATGATGAACTAATGATGAACGACGTACGTCGTTCATCACACATAATTTGAACAAATTCACGTTCAAGTTCTTGATTTACAAAAGTGTTGCGTTTAGTTCAAAGTTCACTGAAAAATGAACGTGTTCAATGAACGCGTTCTTTTGAACTCGTTCATGCACAACACTGCCCATAGAGCATAACACAGTACATACCACATACCAGACCACAACACACACTCACAACCACACATCACCACAGGTAAATACACCATTCCATTACAATCCTATTAAAAACAAAACAAAAATGTTGCAACTGCAATTTTATGGAATACCTCTGGACATATTTATGTATTTCAGAGTTTCAGAGTGATTTAAAAAAAAAAAAGAAAAAAGACTAACACTGTATATTGTTTAAAATATATATGAATAACCCTATGAACAGGAAGCAGAAACCTGTCCATAAGCAAAATGTTGAGGCCATTTAAAGATAATTATTCATTAAAGATATATTAAATTATATAATGTTTAGAATTGTTAATTGCTGTGGGAATGGTGTTAAGTTGTGCACGTTACCCTCATCCCATGTCAAAATGGTTTGGGAGAGGGACCAGTGTACTAATGAACATACAGACCACCAAAAATAAATAACTATTACTTTATTGAAAATATACAAAAAGAATTGTCGACTAACAATAAAACGTTGAGAATATACCTTAAAAGAGGATTCACAAGTTCTTTGGCTCACTGATTTTAAAACCAATTTAAAATCAATACTGATTAACTATGTGGGATGATATTGCTCATAGGCACAAAGGCACAGAGGTCCAGGTGGTGTTCAGGTCCTGCTGCTGACCGTCAACCATGTCTCATCTTTGGGTGTGGACACAAGCTCTGAGCGCACCTCCATCACCTGGCCCTCGATAGCACTGAGCCGGAGTCGACGAACCACAGAACAAAGCAGCACACTGGCTATTGTGTATGCAAACCTGGAGAAAAGTAAAAAAGGAAAAATTCAATTCAAACTACTTTTTTTCTCCTTTGGACAATATAGACTAATTTGTTCAGTGTGTATATTATAGTAAAGCACGTCACATCAATAGTGTAAAGTTACCTGAGCTCAGGGCACGTCCGACTCCCTGAGAATCCCAGCAGACTGAAGGTTTTTCTGGCTGACTCTTCCTCAAACCGATCTGGATTAAACCTTTAACAAAGAAAAACTCCATTTAGTAGTTTGTAATATACAATGTGCAACAAGTTCTAATTTCAAAGGTAGCAACTATAAATGCAAATCTAACTTTTCAAGCTCTAGTCTACACTTGCCATAAACTTATAACACTACAATTCAAAGTACATATTTTTAGTGGTCACGTCAACCTGGGTGTATTTCATAGTTAGGAGCTTAAAGCAACAAGTATGTACATTTCTGGAGGTGGTGCATCACCATATTTCATGTAAAGAGGAAGTTGAAACTGTACTTTTGTAGGTAGAAATGTTTTATGCCATACTGTGGAAGATTATAATCAAAAGAACAACATTTCCATGGAGACAAGCAGGAGGAGCCACTCCTACAGGCCAAATAAGAGTCAGGTTTGTGGAAGTGCAAGCCTGCTCATAGAAAGAAACTGTATTTTTTCACTGTACTAAAATACCCGTTTTTATTTTTTTAAATATTTTGGCCATCTATTAAAATATACGAATCAGAGGGAATTTTTTGGTACACACGATCTAAGTGTAATATTCTTTGCCACTGGAGTAGTGTAAATGAAATTACTGTTGCAAGGAATACCTACAGCTCATTGTCCCCTCATCTAATATTGTATGATATCAGATGCAGAGTACTGTTTTTACCTGTATGGGCTGTTCCATGTGTCCGGATCCTGCATGACCACTCCTAACGCATAGATGACCAGTGTCTGAACAACATCAAGATGTAACGCAACACACATTTACAATAGAATCTCATGTTTTCATAGATCCTTAAATAAAAGAGGGGATAGAAAACCTGATACCTCTTTGGGGATGACATGCTGATCCACTTTACCCTCTACTTCCTGGAGTCGGGCAGCCACAGGGGTCAACATGGCCGTCCTGACTGTCTCATGGAGGACCTGCTGGCAGTATCTATTCAAGGCACAATGCAAAACGAGAATGGGGATTGAACCATTACTGCAGCAGAGGAGCGGGTGACAGCTTTGTATAGTGTATCATAACAAACACAGCTGAGGTAATTTTTTATTGAGATGGTATACTAATGTGCTGAAGTGTTGTTGTGTCCATGTTAGCTAAAGCAGTACTCATATAGCAAGAAACTAAACAAAGCATTCAAAGTAAAGTCTTTCCCCTGACAGACCCTTACAATTCAATAAGAAAATGTGCTTTGAAAATTGTTTGAAAAAAAAAAAATAGTAATGAATTGAATGAAATTAAAGTAATGAAATGAATGAACATGTTTTGTTTAATAGAATACGTACTGTGGTTTTAAACCTAAGAACTTGTAAACTAATTCATACTAAAATTAAGATCAAAACTTTAAACGTATTTGACTAGGTATCGATACTGACAAAATGGCATATAGGACACAGTTGGACTGAATAGTTTTAGAATTATCTTAATCAAAATCAGAACTAGAAGACATGACCAGTATGGAAACAGCTTTTTTACATTTTACATTCAATTGTATTTAATAAAGTAACCATGGTACAGCGATTGGTATCATGGCAATACTAGAATACTAAGATAATAATAAGAAACACAAAATGTTACTCCACATAGAATATCATGATTTTTCTCACTGTGTAGCCCACATTTTCATACAAACAGTGCATATGTGAGGTAAGGTGAATTAATGCTCTTCAAATAATGAAAGTTGTTGTTCAAACCTCACCTTAGCTGGGGGACGTTCTCCAGTGTGATGGGTTCTGATCCTAACACATCCTGAATCTCCTGGTACAGCTTTTCCTGCACCTCCTCTGATGCTGACAAGAAACGAAGAGCCCAGATACACACTGCAAAGAGAATGAATGAATGAAATACACATATAATATTTACATACACACACATATGTGTGTGTATGTATATGTATGTATATGTGTATGTATATATATATATATATATATATACATACATACATATATATACATATATACATACATTCATACATACATATACATACATACATACATACATACATACATATACATATACATACATACATACATATACAGTCCCTGACAAAAGTCTTGTCGCTTATCCATTTTGTAGAAACAAAAGCTTATAACTTGACTTTAAATTAAACGATTGGTTTTAGAAATGCCTCATATGAAAGCTAAAACCCTCCCAAATTATGCTCAATAAACTAAAATAAATTTGCTTCACTGAAAAAAGATTGATCATTTAATGAACACAGAAAGGTCAGATTTTGGCAAGACAAAAGTCTTGTCGCCTTGTCATATGATGCACCCAATCCTAGATTACAGCCTCTCCTGTGGTCAGTTACTGATCAATCAGTTAGTGGGTGTGTATAAAAAGAAGCCCAGCACACCAGACCTTCACATCAACTGCAACTTGACCTCTGACAACATGCCTAAGATCCACCCTGAGACCAAAGCATTAATTATCAAGAGGCTGAAGACCAGATCCACTGCTGTGGTGGTGACACCTTCAATGTGTCTCAGCGTCAAGTACAAAGAATAAGAAAAAGATCTGAAATGACTGGAGATGTTTTTGACAAGCCCAGGTCCGGCAGACCCCACAAGACAACTGCTCTGGAGGACCGTTTGTTGATTCGAAAATCCACGGCCAGCCCCTTTTCCACTGCAGCAGACTCCACCAGGCCTGGTCACCTCAAGTCCCTGTGTCAATCACAACAGTTTGTAGAATTCTGTCTCGAAATGGCCTCCATGGTCGAATCAGTGCACAGAAACCAGCACTAAACAAAAGACAATAAAAAACCGTGTGGCACTTGCCAAGGCCCACAGCCTGCTAAAAGGATGGACACTGGAAAAGTGGCAGAAGGTGGATTTCTCAGATGAATCCTCGGTTGAATTACATCACAGCCGCCGCAAATATTGCAGGAGACCTACTGGAGCCTGCATGGATCCAAGATTCACCCAGAAAACAGTTAAGTTTGTTGGCAGAAAAATCATGGCCTGGGGTTCCATCCAGTATGGGGGTGTGCGAGACATTTGCAGGGTGGAAGGCAATATCAATAACCTAAAATATCAAGACATATTAGCTACCTCTTACATTCCCAACCATAAAAGGGGTCAAATTTTGCAGCAGGATGGTGCTCCATCGCATAATTCTATCTCGACATCAAAGTTTCTCAAGGCGAAGAAGATCAAGGTGCTCCAGGACTGGCCAGCCCAGTCACCAGACATGAACATCATTGAGCATGTCTGGGGTAGAATGAAAGAGGAAGCATGGAAGGCCAAACCAAAGAATCTTGATGAACTCTGGGAGGCATGTAAGACTGCTTTCTTTGCTATTCCTGATGACTTCATCAACAAATTGTATGAATCATTGTGGAACCGCATGGATGTAGTCCTTGAAGCTCATGGAAGTCATACAAGATATTAAATATGGATCTCACAGCACCACTACTTAATTCACTGACGTTATGCAACATATTTTTGTCTTTGAAGTAAATTATTTGTTAAATTTTCTGTAGGCGACAAAACTTTTGTCTTGCCAAAATCTGACCTTTCTGTGTTCATTAAATGATCAATCTTTTTTCAGTGAAGCAAATTTATTTTAGTTTATTGAGCATAATTTGGGAGGGTTTTAGCTTTCATATGAGGCATTTCTAAAACCAATCGTTTAATTTAAAGTCAAGTTATAAGCTTTTGTTTCTACAAAATGGATAAGCGACAAGACTTTTGTCAGGGACTGTATAGCAGCTGCAGCAGCATATAGCATATGCTACTGCACAATGATGAGGAGAGGGAGGCATCACATAACACCGATGCACAGTGGCTGGTGGATGGCTGGAGAGAAGACGACAGACAACAGCAACCTCCCTGAACAGAATCCAGTCACCATCAGACATCAGTGGCAGACAAACTGACAAATGAAAAACTGGACCACACCAGGCCATGACATGATTCATGCAAACTGGCTAAAGAAGCTCACTGCTCTCCACGAGCGCAAATGAACCAGCTGCTAAGGCTGGCTAACTCAAGGGTGTACGATCCTGATCCTGAAGGATCCCTCAAAGGGTGCAGTCCCATCCAACTATTGGCCAATAACTTGTCTCTCCACAACATGGAAGCTCATGTCAGGCATCATTGTGGCTAAGATAAGTGGGCACATGGATCAATACATGAGTGCAGCACAGTGGCAAAAACACCAGGGGAGCCAAGCACCAACTCCTGGTTGGCTGCCTGTGACTGCAGAACCCGCCTGGATTGATTACAAGAAAGCCTAGGACTCAATGCCACACACATGGATCACTGAATGCTTGGAGCTGTACAATATCAACAGGACTCTAAGGGCCTTCATTTCAAGCTTGATGCAGTTGTGGAAAACCACCCTTGAAGCCAATGGGAAGCCACTTGTCAAGTGTCCATCAAATGTGACATTGACATCCCATTCGGGCTTGAGAAATGTAGCAGGATGGTGACAAAGAGAGGGAAGGTAGTCCACACAGAGGGGGTTGCACTTCCAGAGGGAACAATAGCAGATGTTGAGGACAATTACAAGTACCACAAGCGGCTACAGCCAAATACTTGCAAAGAGTGAGGCAAGTCCTAAGAAGCCAGCTCATGGCAAGAGCAAGGCACAGGCAATCAACCTGCAGGAATTGTAAGCTAGCCAAAGGAGGAGATACACACCACAGATGTTAAGACACAAAAGCTCCTGACCAGCAACCCGAGACTGTACGCAAGCTGGAAGGAGGACTAGTGAGTGTGGGAACCACTGTCCAGGATGAAACATCCAAGCTCCTACATGGGGTGTACCACCGGAACATAACTGAAGTGGCTGATATCAAGAAATCTACTTGAGAGGGCTGGTCTGAAGGACACACAGAGGCACTGATCCTGGCTGCCCTGATCCACCAGACAAGACCCACGGTGTAGACTGTGCAAAGAGGCTCCTGAGACAGTCCAGCACATAACTGCAGGTGTGCTGGCAGGGAAAGCATACATGGAGTGACATAACCAAGTGGCGGGTATACATCTGTGCAGAGTACGGGCTGGAGACCCCAGGATCAAGGTGGGAAACACCTCCAAAGGTTGTGGAGAATGACCGATCCTGTGGGACTTCCAGATACAGACTGAGAGGAGGGTGGTGGATAAGAAACAGAGCAGAGCCGTGGTGGTGGACATCGCAATACCAAGAGATGGTAATATCAGGAAAAAGGAACACGAGAAACTAGAGAAATACCAGGGGCTGGAGAGAGCCTGGAAAGTAAAGGCGCCTGTGGTGACTGGAGCACTCGGGGCTGTAACCCCCAAACTGAGAGTGGCTACAACAGATACCGGGAAAAACAAGGGACATCTCAGTCCAGAAAAGTGCAGTACTGGGAACAGCAAAGATACTGCGCAGAACTCTCAAGCTCCCAGGCCTCTGGTAGAGGACCTGACCTGAATGAGGGTGAGAGACCAACCACCGTGGAAGGGGTGAAAAACTTTTTGTATACATACATACATACATACATACATACACACATATACATATATTCATATATACACACACAAAGTATTCAGATGAAAAATTGTACACCAAAGTGGATGACATGAGAGAAGGACTTACAGTTGGCTGTAATCACACAGCCTGCGAGAGTGAAGACCATGCAGTCCTCCATAATCTAAAGATGTAGAAGTAAAGTAATATTATATTATTATTTATATCATATTTATCATTTACAGTAAACAATTGCCTATATATGGCATTTGTGGGTTAAGTCTAACTTACATAAGTTGAATTATTGGCGTGTAGGCCTGTCACAATAATGACTATATCGACTTGTTGTTCAATATATCAAAGAACAAAATTTTTGGGGTACTGGTAAATATTTATCATGTGTACATTTTCTATCCACTACTGGGGAATATTGGTTATTTTTTAGCAATATGATAAGATTTATGCTGTAAAGAAAACTTTTATGACTCACTGCAGATGCAAACTAAGTGTTTCATTCTGCTATTTATTTATTGCAGCTCATGATTTTATAACAATATTCTAGATTTAGAATCATTTTTGTGGTATCTGTGTAAACCTGCTCTTGGGTTATTGCATCAGTGGCATAAATGAGTTTCAAAAATATTGTTTATATTTCTTCAGCAATACATCACAGTTTAAAATTTCTTATCATGACAGGTGCTTCTTCTGACCTGTGCCTCGGACATGTTGGACTGGAGCAGAGTGTCCACAAACGCAGTGTGTCTCCTCTGGGCTCGTCTCTCCTTCACCACAGACATCAGCAGAGCCTCCATCTCTGACAGAGCTAGAGGACAACAGACAGTGAACAAACTGGTAGGATGTATATCTTCTTGGAAATATGGAGATAGATTGATTGTAGATGACTTTGACTCACCTTTCTCATACTGGGCCTTTCTGCTAGAGCTCTTCTCCAGGGACCCATCCAGGTAGCCCTTCCCAATTTCAGACCAGATCTGAAATTGTTCAAGAGAATTGCATCATATTTTGTCATAAAGATAGATTATTATTATTTAACATTTTGGTCATTTTAAACAGCATCTAAAATTACTTAATAATAGGAACAGGCCGATTGTCTTCCACCATATGATTTTTTTTTAAAGCACAAATACAGAGCCATGGGCAGGGATAGGTGATGGGTGCAAATGCAAATTTTGTCAGGACTAACAACACCTCTAATACAGGGCAACACTTTAAACACACATGCACTGAATGTAAAAGTAAGCTAATTATAGTTATGGTTCGAGTACATTCGTTGATGTCTTCGTTGTTATGTCTTCGTGGACCAAAAGCTGTATTTGCATGTGTTCAGTTACAACGAGCCATCACTATAGGGTTACTGTACCACATCATGGCCTCGTCTGAAGGAGATGACCTGTGCGTCGTCTTGGAAACGCTCGCCCAGGCCCAGCTGAGTGACGCTCTTCAGTGCCAGTCCCAGGAGGTGGGCACAGAGCGGGGTGTGCTGCTCCGCGGGCACACAGTTCCACTTAGACACCAACTCATCCACCAACTTAGGGCAAAAACACAGCAAAGGTCAGGGGCTGGGGGATTAAAAGAACTGACTGGGCATCTTTTCAGTGCTTTTTCTAGACTTGAGCGGGTGCCCAGTATACTTCCGGGCAGCTTCATTTGCTAAAATCTGAAACATCACAGTTCATCACTGAATGTACAATCAAAAAAACATCAGAAAAACAAACAATGCTGTAAAATAAGTTAACTTTTTTAGAGAAATTACTTTTAAATAACATGTTGGAAAATGCTTGATTATTCTAATGTGATTAAATTAATTTTCAAACCAATATTCAGTTCACAATGCATATTTTAAACCCTACCCAGATCTATTATATGTGAGACTAAATATAAACAACTAATAAACAAGTAATTGTGCAACCTGGACTATTTTTGTTGTGGTTGTTTATGGCTGTTGGGTGGAATGCTGCTATATGCATTTGCACAGCCTGCTTATGCAAAGAAACAGGCAGTGTTTTACCTTCAGGACCAGTGAGAAGTTGTGTTTTAGGGTGTTGTCGATGGCATTCTCGTACACCTTCTTCCTCATGACGATCTCCGTGGCTCCAGTCCCAGAGCGGTACCCCAGCAAGGACTTGAGCATGGTCTCAAAGGAGTCCGCTGAGACAAACACAACTCATCGGCTCATGTAGGGGGCAGTATAGACCACTTCAAATTTACAGAACTGTTCATTTTGTCAGCTCATTGTCAGTCATTGTCATATTTTTTCTTGACTAAAACTAAATAAAAATACCCCTAATGAATGAAACTCTGACCGAAATAGCTTCCAATGTTCATAAACTAAAACTATGACTAAACGTAGATATTTTTGTTGCCTAAACGTACTAATAGTTTGTTGAATAATAAAATACCATAAATGTCCAAGGAACACATCTGTGCATGGCCCTTTGAACAAATGCAATATAGCTAAAGATACATTATGTAATTTTTCTAGTGAAGGGCTCACCACCTGTTTGTGTCTAGTTTACTGAGATGTTTTGTTTTCCCTAGAATGTTCCACAGTTTAGCACTGAACATATACATTTCCATGGAGACAAGCAAGTAAATGCAGTACAGATCTGTGGAGAGGCGAGTAAGAATGCGTGTATTAAAAGCATTTTTAAGTACAAAAACACATGTAAGATAAGCTATACTAAGATATACTTGATTAATGGATTTAGATAACTAAAACTGTAAATAATTGTTTGACGAAATCTTGATTAAAACAATAATAATAAATACATTTTATTCAAAAAACTAAATTTTAATCTCACTGGAGTGGTTAGGGTTGATGTGTTGCCGTAGCTGCTGCACTGAGCCCAGGCTGACCACAGGTCTCCTGCCGAACCAGAAGGACGCCACCGCCCCATACTCTTCATGAAGGCCCAGGAGGAACTCATGGAGATTGCCTCTGTTCACAATGTCCTGCAGGTTACCATCTCTGATGGGGCAAAGGTCAAAGGGTTAGAAAGATACTGTATGTGCGGGGCAGAGACAAAAGGCCAGAAAGACAGAGGGTGAGAAAGGTATAGGGCAGAGAGACAGTGGGACAAAGATGAGATGAGGGGCCAGAAATGGTCAGGGAGATGGGCAGAGGAAGTGGGTCAGAAAGAGAGGGAAGAAAAACAGAGGGCTAGAGAAAGAGGGGTGGTCAGAGACAATCCAAAATGATGTAGGATTAAAGTAACTGTATTGTTTGTCTTAGGACACTGAGCCTGATAGGCTCATAGATACAGTCTATGGTAGGCTACATACTTTTCATCTGTGGGGTTGAGTCCTGGGATGCCCGAGGCTCTTCTGGAAGACTGAAACACACATACTCTTTACAATACACTTCTAATAAAAGTGATCAGTCTGTCTGTCACACTTTCGTGCAGACAATGTGGGAGCCTCGGTGAGACGCACAGGAAAGCTACAGCTCTCGCCTCTTACCGGGTACAAATAGAGAACTGCGCCGACCAGGATGATGACAAAGGTCACAGCGAAAATGGCGAAGTCCAACATGTCCGTGCGCAAATCCTGGAGCACTTGCGCCCACTTTCCTTCATGAAAAGTGCACTTCTGCTCACAAGTGTTACCCTGAGACCACGTCAACAGAAAAGACACACATCCATGTGATCGGCCAGCCACTGGAAAGGCTCCTGCTGCGGCCAGACCAAAGCAATCCAACCCAGACCCTAAATGTGGGATGTGTTTTTTTTTTTTTTTTTACTTGTAATTAGGGCTATTTATTATTGATAACATTTATCCACAGTATGAAAACTTTACCTTTTAAATGCATGTCAGATAAAGAAATAACTATACAAAATGTTATAATTTTAAAAAATGGGACATCCCTGGTTTGGTTTGGCTGTTAATAAAACTGTGAAATGAGCGCGTAATTAAGGAAAACTGTTCTACACTCGGCACTAATGTGAGTCAGTAGTCACATTTTCTTTGTGTATTGGTCATTTTTAAGCAGCTTTTCTGTATTTTACCTAAACAAATTACAATGTATGCCTCTCCTTACTGAAGGCAGGGATCAAATTGGTCAACAATAGAGACACCTGGGACATTTCTTATATAAAACTGGGACAAATCAGTGGTTTTGGATGAATCTACTGGGACATGGGACACAGGGCTCAAAACTGGGACTGTCACGGGTAAATAGGGACATCCGATCACCCTACATTAGATAAACATATCCCTAGCTTCTATTTTAGCCTACACATACACACTTGGCACTGGGCGTGATTTTGGGTCCCTGGGTCCTCTGTGGCACCCAATGCTCCTGACAGGACAAACGCTGAAGACAAATGCCTGTATAATGTATCCTTGAGCTTTAGTGTGAGTCTTAGAAAACAGTTTTATTCTGCCATAAGGTGAACATAGACAGTTACAGGCAAGGACATTGAAAACATATGAACTATGAACAATAAAAACAAATATACAAGAACAGATTCTAAAAAACTGTGCAAAATTCATAACAAATGCTGAGGTATTGAGTGAACATAAATATATTTAAGCAGTGTGATTTAGGCAGTCATCTCTGACTTCTCCTCTTTGGGCGCTTCTATCCTCATGGACATCAGGAATACTACACACAGACAAGGATCAAGGTTATAAAGGAAAAAGGGAAATGCATATAGAATAAGTTTTATGTCCGTACCCTCAGTGTGGTCTGTGTCAGGCTGTGTGCTGATGAAGACCCAAGACACACCCACCAACAGTGCCACCACCAGGTTGATTGTGACCCAGGGGTGTAGGGTCTGCTGCTCTGTGCCTGTCAGCCTGCAGAGAACCACACATTTCGCATGTCAAACTAAACTCTGCAACAGCAACACTATTTGTCCTGAAGATGGTCAAGATAAATATGAAAAAATAAGTGAAAAAAAGAATATGAAAACTTAAAATGCATGTTTGAGAAATCAGTTATGTATATTTGTAGTAGTTTGTATTTGTATTTATCACTTGTTCCAAAGTTAGTTTTGTGTTGCCAGCTTCATAACCTAGTAGTGAATATATTTACTGTTGGTGTAAGTGCATTTGTTCAGCTGGGTACTCACCACAGAGAGGAGTTGAATGATGTATACAGATTGATGCGGTCACTAGTCATCTGCTGGCTCAGAGACAGGATCAAAGCACAGAAGTACACTGCAGACAGGAGGATCAGAGAAAGGTCAGAGAAGGGTTAGAGCAGCAGGTCAAACAGTGTCTTAGTAAACAGTGACAGTGTGGACTTACAGAAGGAGACCAATGCCACAGGCTCTAGGGTCATCAGCTGTCTCAGGGTCAGTGAGCCTTTGGCCAGATTCACTCTAAAAAGATACACCGACATGACTACAGAAAGTATAGTTCCTATCAATCAAAAAAATTGTGCTTTTGCTCATTAGGAATCATACATATTTGGCCTAGTCTGAGTGATCAAGTGAGGATGTAGATGATGTTGCAGAAGGAGGGGTTATGTGTGAATAGGGCGGGGTTGGTGTTGTGGAAGGACAGATGTCACAGAGGACGAGTCTATGTATTGCAGAAGGTGAGGGTATGCCTGTAGAAAGGGCGAGACTGAGTGGTCAGGTGGGCAGTTACCGGTCGAAGGCGCCCACAGTGCTGAGGACCAGCAGCAGGTAGAGCAGACACTGGCAAGGGTAGGCCAGGCCATGGTACTGCTGCAGTAGGTTGGACAGAGCGGTCAGGTGTGGTCCAGCTAGAACATATACCACCACTATGTGCCACATGGCAAAGCCTGCCAGAAAACCCTGACAGAACAGCCCCAGCGTCCTGCAAACACCAGTTATTATTATTATTACTATATTATTAATAAAACACACACTTGTTAAACTTCTTAAAACATATGGTGTACAGAAGGCAAATGAGACAAAAACAGGGAGGAAACAAGATTACTGTATGTATGTACCACTGTATGACCACAGCATTTACCTGGCATATCAGTAACAGCTCCATCAAGACCAAAAAAGTTGTATAGATCACCTTTAAATTGGCCCTAAAATTGTATTTACAAATAAAGATGGTTGTTTAAAATTTTTTACTAAATATCAAATGAATGGGGCTTATAAAAATGTATGTAAAAATCTAGTGTGTAGTGAAAGTGCTGGAGTTACCTAAAGCCCTGGTGCAGCCGCACAGACACATCTCTTGTGCTCCATACAACCAGAGGCTGCAGGTCCATGTGGTCCAGCTGCTCACTGCCGCGGCTCCCACGGGCCCGCTCTGATGCCTGGAACCGCCCTGGGTCACACACAAAACACTTAATACATAAAGCTGCATCAGATAAAACATACATTAATTCAGTACACTCACTGTTCCTCTCGACAAAGACTTTGGCCACAGGCTGGCTCTGGGTCTGGGGGGCTGTGAACATGAAGTGGGGGTGAGCAGGTGGGCCATCTGTGGTGATGTCATCCTCTTCCACTGTCAGCTCGTCAGGCAGGGGTACCTCTGCGTGTTTGGGTTTCCTGTAAGAGAGACAGCAAAAAGTCAACCCACAATACACCATGTTAACCCAAACTGTGCCAACCCTACGATTCTTACTTCTTTTTCTTTGTTTTTTTGACAACCTCCACTGCCTCAGTGCTCTGCTCGACAGCCTCTGTGTTCACCAGGTCTGCTTGGTAATCTTCTAGGTCTGGAACACAGGCAAGGAGGAGTTCAATTAACTACTCATAAACAAACACTATTGCACTACTGGTTTTAAAGGGACTGTATGTAAGATTTTCATTTTCCTAACTGTGATAGACATGTTCAAATTATATATGCCGTATTTACCAGGCTATTAGTCGCGCTCTTAAACCTCCAACCCCATCAAAAAACTACTGCACGCCCCGCAAGAGCGCTCTATACACGAATCCACTCGGGTGTCCCAGCACGACTTCAGTAAACTACAAAGCGGCACCACCCGCAGCACACGCAAACACACATGGAGAAGACAGCGACCGTGCAGCGAAACACAGCCACACTCATCACTCCACGCCAAGGAGGAATGGAACAGAGGAACGAACCGAAAATGTGACTGCAATGTGCCACTTCTAGCCACAACTGAACAACTGAGCCACTGCAAACATGCCAACAATCCAGCAGTCCCAGACAGCACCCTCCCTACATGCCAGAACTGAACAAAGCCCAGAGTCACCGTGAACACACGACTGAGCCATCTAAGTGTTGTTTTTCATTTAAAGTCCGGTGTGGTTTATTTGTGAAACAGTTCGAAAATAGACCATTTAATGACAGTGCGCCTTATAATCCAGAGCGCCTAATAGCCTGGAAAATACGGTAGTTCTTAGTGGTAACAGTTAAAATGCTGATTTATTCTTAATTACAAAAAGATTGGACATGATGGCCAAGTTGTTTGGTAATTTTGGTTCTCAAGAGGAATATCCGATCAGAAATTAGAATAGAGATTGGATTACAGTTTCAATGCTGAAATCTAACTGGCTTAAAACTAAAAGGACTCTCTCTGATCTGAATGCTCAGTTCCTAAACCCCAATACTTGCAGCCAATCTTTAATCAGTGCTAATGCAGTCTGTGCTGCTCAGTGAATGGATTCTGGAAGTTCTAAGCTTTCACATGAGGCATAGGATGTCCATATACTGAGAATGAGAAAAACTTGTATGTGTCCTCTATCACTATGTATGTGTCCAATATCTCTATACTTTTTCACACTGTAAGAGTTAGGGATGGGCATGATTAATCGATAATTGATCATTAAGAATTTCATCGATTACGTTCATTTTAATCGACAAACCGAATGTAGGTTGCTGTGCGTAGCATGACCAAACAGGGGTCCGTACATGTAGCTCTCTGCACTCAGAAGGAGCGAGCAAACACAAACAGTAGGTCAGCCTGCAGCGTGCCGAAGCACAAATGTGTATTTAACGATGATTGTACAAGAAATTCCACGCTTTCTGTTGCGTTCGGGACAAGTGGGAGTCCTTGTGCACAGTGTACAAAGCAGGAACATATGTTTCGGTCTCCAGTGGGAAAAAGCCTTTCCAGGTGATAGTCGCGCAATGTCGATGACGAGTCCCAACCTCCTACCCCCCATACAGTGTCCTGGTTTTGACAAACGCAAATCTGGTCACACTAACCTGTATTCTACTGAATCATGTCTTTTAATCCGACAGAAATTGACCGCATCAGCGACACGAGCTGTATTTTTATCTTCGCTGAGTTTATGCAAATTAGCGATGCGGTTTTAAGTTTCATTTCTGTGAGAGTTGCGCAAAAATGAATTAAACACGTTATAATGTCAAACAGCTGATGTGGCTCTAGAGTCGTTACGGTTTATATGTCGTAAAGTTGAATTTATTTATGCAGATTAGTAGTGCAGATAGTAATAATAATGATGATCATTTTAATATAAAAACGTTAATGATTAATCGATAATCGATCGTTAATTCTTCCGACGATCGATTAAGAAAATTTCATCGAATGCCCATCCCTAGTAAGAGTACAGTTTCATATCTAGAGTCATAAAAATAGTTTGGTATGTCAAAGCCAAGCCTGCTTTTTGCAATTGAAATGATAGACTTACGCCAGCAGCTTTTGAAATTGTGATGTGATCTAATGTGTGTTTACATGTTAATGCAGCCTTAATGTTACCTATGGTGGCTGCCTTCTTCTTCTTCCTCCTACTCTTCTGTGGGGCTGGGTCAGGGTGGGAATCTGAGGGAAGGTGCTCCCCAGGATCAGACAGCTGTGAACTGGACACACCTCGCATCTCAACGGCCCCATCTGTAACATTAGCTGTACAAATTACAATAATGCATTCAGACAACATAATAAATGATCATTTTTAAGCAGAACAATTTTTAGTAGTTAGTGGCATGTCATTACCATCGGTATCCACTGTGAATTGCTTTCTCAATTTCTTCTTTTTGCGCTTGGGTGCTTCTCCTGTAAGTACAAGTACACATAAAACCTTTTTCATGGCGATAAGACTGATGAGCCATTCCAAATGAACTTACCAACAGAATCTTCACTGTAGAGACAACATGTGCCAACAGAAAAGCAAAAGAGAAAAAGTTAGTATTTAGAAGATAATTTGCAATAATATATCGACAATAAACCAACCTGGGCATGGTAGGAAGAGTTCTCTGTCCTCTCTGGGAAAAAAACCACACCAATCAGTTTTACTTTAACTAAAACAAATAAACAGGTTTAACATAATTTAGTATGGCTATATTTAGTGACAAATAACTTACAATCTTTCTAGCCATGTTCCGGTGAGAAAGTAGTGACCGACTACTAGTAAGAGTGAGGAAAGCTACAAATAGCCTGATAAATCCTAGTCTAAACGCGTGCACCACTCATCTAAGACCTAAGATTAGCCAGGCTCTGTGACTCAATGAGCCAAGTGACAACAGTAGGGTCTAATGTTTTTAATAAACTATTCTGTGGTGGTGCGTAGAAGACGGTAAATCCTTTTGTAGACCCTTAGGCAGTGTTTAATGACATCACATTTAGTGGTGGAAGTTGCCACTGACTCTGAATGTCAGATTACAGATGTTTTAGTTTTAGTCTGGTTTATGGTTTGCGCCCGTGTAATTTAAACTTTTTAAAAGGTTAATGAGATAGTGGCTGATGACTAGTTAGGAGTTTGGCAGTGGTTCATATTTTAGCCTCAATGAATGACTGAAGTGAAAAGAGTGAAATACTGACCTGTGGAAGAGGAGGGAGCTCTCTGGGACGCATTTTCTGTGGATAAACCAAGCAAAACTAAATCCAAATGACTAATCGCTAATTACTACAGACATTGGAAGGATGTTTAATTGGCCTCCTATATGCTTTAATCAAACGTTGAAATTAACCATCATAAGCAATAATTATAAAAACAGATGAGATTCATTTATTCACACTGCTAGCGGTGAAGCTAGCTGAACCGTTACCCCGTTGTTAACCGGATGTTTACAAAAGAAGTGACGTCATACTCCAGGCATGAAAAGTTTCCGGTCAGTGTGGTTAACTCGAAGCTAAAGCTAAGCTTCATAAAAATGTTTAAACAAGGCCAAAGACTGAGAGCTCTGGTGAATGAGCGGCTGAGTGCGGCTGCAGAAGAGATCTTTGTGCTGTTTGAGAGAACGATAGCGGAATATGAGGAGGAACTGCGCAACTCCAAAGAGGAGAACCAGAGGAAACAGGGAGCCCTGGACTCGGTTCTTAGCCCGAGGGTCCTGCTGCCCAAAGCGACTCTGCACACTCCCTCTCCTGACCCCGGACTGATGAATGAGAGGACAGGGAGTCCACAGGTTAAAGAAGAGGCAGAGGAACAGAACGTGAAGCAGGAGAAAGAGCAGTTCCCAGAGTAAGGATCAAACATTTAAACACATCTAACTTTTAACGGGAATAACAGTGTGTGGGGCTCATCATGCAGAACGGAGCCCGTGGAGACATATGTGGTTTAAACTTTCAAGTTCAGTAATTAGAAACGTGATGTTGCCTGGTGTGGCACAGGCAGAGCTCCTGGGGCCAGGCCTGGGACTGGGGTCAGAATGTGAGGAAGGGAACAGGGCTGTTTTCCAATTCTAGGGGGATTGTACTCCTCAACCTCCCCAGTAAGGTCTATTTCAGTGCATTGTTGAGGAGATAGGCTAACTTCAGACTCAGGACGGGCAGTGTGGTTTTCGTGTTGGACACGATGCCTGCTTTATGCTCCCCATCAGGGATAGAGGGTACATGGAAGTCGTCCAGTCAGTCCACATGTGTTTTGTGGACCTAAAAAAGATGTGTCACTGTGTCCCTTGCGGGGTCTGGGTCCCTTTGCTCCAGGCTGTCCAGTCACTGTATGGACACAACAGGAGCTGTGTTCGCGTTGCCAGCAGTAAGTCAGTGCATTTATCCCCAGGGCTGCCCTTTGGGACTATTTCAGTTCATTGTTTTTGTGGACAGAAATACTACGCGCAGTCAGGGGCTAGAGTGGGTCCGGTATGGGGACCTCACAGTGTCATTTCTGCTGTTTTCAGATGATGGTGTCCTGATGGCCCCAGTGAACCAGGACTTGCAACATGCACTTGCAATGCAACAACAACGACACCTTCAACATTGACAGGCAGATCAGTGCAACGTCTGTATTGATGCAGTCACTGTATTGGACCGTTGTGGTGAAGAGGGAGCTGAGTCTTAAGACAAAGCTCTTGATTTAATGGTCAATCTACGTTCCTTCCCTCACCTATGGTCATGAACTTTGGGTAATGACCAAAAGGACAAGATTAGATGCAAAATGAGTTTGAATCTGGGAGTAGAGCCGGTGCTCCTCCATGTTGAGAAACCAGCGATGTGGCTCGGACAACATCTGTTCCGGATGCCCTCTCAACATCTCCTTGAGGAGGTGAGCAACGCATGTCCCACCAGGACAGACTATGTCTTTTGGCTGATGTCTGGACGTCCCTGCTCAGACTGCTACCTCTGCGACCCAGTCCCTGATAAAGTAGAAGAAATGAATGGATGCTTAATGTTGCTTTAATATATGTACATTTTCTAACTGAGTAATTGGGATGCATTTTCAGATGTGTTCCAGAGTCCAGTGGTCTCTATACGAAGCCGGAAGAGTTCTCACTGCTGCAACAAACTGATCACCGAGAGGAAACCCAGGGAGAGCCACATTTACACTCAGAGTCTGACGGAGATACGGAGCACTCCCGTGACACTGATGAAGACTGGAGCGCTACATTCAGCTATTCAGCTGCACAGATGGACACAGAGGATGATGGAGACCATTTCAACAAAGTCCAGATCAGAGCCAGAAACACAAGTGAACAAAACTCAGGTCCATCCCCCAAATACAATTCTGCACCAGAGACCAGCACCACTATGAATTATGGAACAGCTAAAGGAGTAGAGGAGAGGAAACACCAGTGCTCTGTTTGTAAAAAGAGATTTAAGACAAAACAGAGTTTTCAAAGACACCTTAGAATTCACACAGGAGAAAGACCTTACAGCTGTTCAGTGTGTAAGAATGTATTTACCCAGTCATCTACTTACCATGCACATATGAGAATACACACGGGAGAGAAACCATTCAGCTGTTCATTTTGTAAAAAGACATTTGCCCGAAACACAAGTCTAGTTGCACACAGAAGAATTCACACAGGGGAGCGGCCTTATAGCTGTCCATTTTGTGAGAGAGCTTTTTTCACCAGTTCTGACAGAGATAAACATCAGAGAATACACACGGGGGAAAAACCTTACAGCTGTTCAACCTGCAACAAAACCTTTGCTTTAAAGGGTACTCTGCAAGGCCATATTAAAACCCATACAGCAGAGCGACCTTACAGATGTTCTGTTTGTAAGCAAGAATATGCAGATGAGTCAGCACTCAAAAAGCACATACAGACACACTTAGCTGAGAGACCTTACAGCTGTTCAGTGTGTAAGAAAGAATTTACCCAATCATCTACTTACCAGACACATATGAGGATACACACAGGGGAGAAACCATTCAGCTGTTCAGTTTGTATGAAAACATTTGCTCGAAACACAAGTCTTGTTATACACAGAAGGACTCATACAGGGGAGCGGCCTTACAGCTGTCCATTGTGTGAGAAAGCATTTCTCACCAGCTCTGATCTAGATAGACACAAGAGAATACACACTGGAGAAAAACCTTACAGCTGTTTGATCTGTGACAAACCCTTTACTACAAAGGATGCTCTGAAAAGCCACATGAAAACACACACAGGAGTGACCTTACAGTTGTGCAGTCTGTAAGAAAGACTGTAAACAAAGTGCTCACCTTAGTGGACATATGACAATAATAGGAAATAAGCTTCAGTGGAATAGAATGCGGTTCAAATATGAACTCCACCAACAAAAGGAATACAATAGGACTCTAATAATAATACATCAATAGGAAAAAAATATGTTAGAATATGTTAAGACACTACATACAGCTATTAGGAGTGTTCCAGGAATTTCATCTGATGTTTTGTTTGAAAATTCACAAACTAGGAATTGACTCATATGGTGCAACATAAAACAATTAATAAATGCTAGTGAATATTTGCTACGACTAATTATAGTGAGAAGGTTCAGTTGTGATCTGCCCTGCTCACCCCAAGTAGCCTACATACAGGTCCAGCAGAGAAATGTTTTTTGTAAATCATTCACTTTTGTGTTTCTTTTATTTACAGAGCTCAGTGATTTGTGACCAAGATTTAAATAAAATAATAAATTATAATGGTCTAAGGGAAGAAAAGCCGCATTATGAAGTTACGATTAGACCGGGACTAGACCGTGATTAGACCGGGACTAGACCGGGACCAGACCGGGACTAGACCGTGATTGGACCAGGACTAGACCGGGACTAGACCGTGATTAGACCAGGACCAGACCGGTATTAGACCAGGACTAGACCGGGACTGATCCAGTGTCATTAGCGGAGTATAAATATATATACGCCCCAGTCGTCGACCCGATCTCCTCCGCTGATGTTTTATGTCATAAAAACACTCTCTCAGTCTGGTCTGACATTGTTTCGGGAAAAGACCGGGACCGGGCTCTTGTTTCCAGGGCAACGGACGCGCGTCAAGTATTTTTGTCCCGTTCGTCCACGGCGTCAAAGACGCGCGTCGGGGGCGTCTAAACTCAAATGCAAAGACTCCAAATAGAGGCGTCAAGGCGTTTTTTGACGCTTTGGTGTGAACGGCCCTTAAGACAGTAAAAAAAAATCTAAATAAAAAAATAAAAAAGCATGTTCCCCGAGGTCAAACGCGCCCCCCTTGACGCGCCCCACTATTTGAGAAGCACTGCTCTAGGGTGACCAGACGTCCTTATTTACCTGGGACAGTCTCAGTTTGAGCCCTGTGTCCCCTGTCCCAGCAGATTTATCCAAAACCACTGATATATCCCAGTTTTATACAAGAAATGTCCCAGGTCTCCCTATTTTGGACCAATTTGATCCCTGTCAACAGTAAAGAGAGGCATAAACTGTCATTTGTTTTAGGTAACATACAGAAAACCTGCTTATAAATGACAAAAACACAAAGAAAATATGACACATTAGTGGCGGTGCATAACAATTTTCCTTAATTACACACTGTTTCACAATTATATTATTACCAACCAACCTAAACCTAGGATGTCCCAGTTTTTTATTTTGAAAATATGGTCACCCTAGATTACTCAGTGTGACTGGACCAACTCTATATAATCTAATTAATTACAGGCTTTGTAATGAATTTATCTCAATTAATCGCATACCAATATTTTCCTTACTCATCTACTCATTTTCTTCCTGAAGCCTTCATATGTTGGAGTTTGGGCTGCTGACACCTCTTGTTTGTACTCGAACCAGAACTGATAGAATGCGTTAATATTTTTAATGCATTATCTTTTTTGTAATTAATTAATCGTAATTAACCCCACCCGTAATTTAAATTTATCCCTTTAAATTAGAGCTTTGAAACTGCCCCTTTTATATGTGAATGTTTTTATTTACTGTTGTGTTTTTATGCATTTATTTTATTTTCATGTGCACTGTATACTTTTACAAGGTACTGTTTTTGTTTGTATCTGAAAATAATAAATACTAATAATACATTTGAGACCGCTGTCGGCGACGCCGTAGCCGGATGTTTACAAGGGAAGTGACGCCATCCTCTACTAGGCAAAAAAGTTTTCCGGTCACTGTGGTTCGACGACGGCAAATCTAAAAACTGCACTGAAAATGTCTAAACAAGGCCAAAGACTGAGAGCTCTGGTGAATGAGCGGCTGAGTGCAGCTGCGGAGGAGATCTTTGCGCTGTTTGAGAGAACAATAGCGGAATATGAGGAGGAATTGCGCCGCTCCAAAGAGGAGAACCAGAGGAAACAATCTAAGTCCCCGGACTCGGGTCTGAGCCCGAGCGTCCTGCAGCTCAGAGCAAGTCTCCACACTCCCTCTCCCGGCCCTGGATTAAAGCATGAGAGTCTATGGATTCCACAGGTTAAAGAGGAGTGTATCAAGCAGGAGGAAGAGCAGCAGCCAGTGTAAGGATCACACATTTAAACACAGAACTGCAATAACTGTGTGTTTAAGCACCACAGATGCAATTGGTGGTTCTCAGATTTTAGAATGTGATTATCCTTCCAGATGTGGGGCAAAGGACAGTTTTTCCTATTGATTTCATTGTTTTGACATGAAATATTAGAGGTAAATTCCCAAATATGGAACCTGATCATTTATATTACTGTCTAGACCAGGGGTGTCCAAACTTTATTCATCAAGGGCCACATATCTAAACACAGATGAAGCAGAGGGCCGATTGAGGGCCGTAGACTGGGGCTCAGTACAGGGAAATAATTGAAATATGTGCATGTTTAACATGTTTGAATGAGCCATCAGTCTTTATTCATGCTAAGATCCTTAAAACCACAAAATAAATATTAAATATGAGCTTTATCAAGGTAGATTTTCAAAAAACTTGCAGTAAAAAAAAATATTTAAATGATGCAAGGTAATTTGGGCCAATTCACCTGGAAGCTTGAGGGCCAAGAAAAATTAGTCTGTGGCCCCCGGGCCATAGTTTGGACATGCCTGGTCTAGACCCAAGACCTGCTATCTTACAACAAATCTGCAGTTGAACAATATTAATTTTAGGTGCCCCCCAATATGTTGCTTAATATGTTTATAATATATGTACTGTATTTTCCAGGCTTGTTCCAGAGTCCAGTGTTGCATACATGGAAAGAGAACAGTCCTCACTGCTTGTACAAACTGAACAGAGAGAGGAAATCCAGGGAGAGGACATCACCTCAGAGCTACATTTATACTCAGAGACTGAAGGAGATACAGAGCACTCCACTGACACTGGTGAAGACTGGAGAGCTGCATTCAGCCATTCAGCTGCACAGATGGACACAGAGGCTGATGGAGACCACTGCAACCAAGTCCAGATCAGATCCGGAAGCACAACTCCACAAAACTCCGATCCATCCCCCAAATACAATTCTGCACCAGAGACCAGCACCACTATGAACTATGGAACAGCTGAGGGAGTAGAAGAGAAGAAACACCAGTGCTCTGTTTGTAAAAAGAGATTTAGGGAAAAGCATCAGCTTAACAGACACCATCGAATTCACACAGGAGAAAAGCCATTCAGCTGTACGATTTGTAAGAAAACTTTTTCCCAAAACACAAGTCTAATTGCCCACAGACGAACTCACACGGGAGAGCGGCCTTACAACTGTCCATTCTGTGAGAAAGCATTTCTTTCCAGTTCTGACCGAGATAAACATCAAAGAATACACACTGGGGAAAAACCTTATAGCTGTTCAACCTGTGACAAAACCTTTGCCTTAAAGGGGAATCTGAACGCCCACATGAAAACGCACAGAGAGGAGCGACCTTACAGCTGTTCAGTCTGTAAAAAAGTGTACACATATGCATCTGCACTCAAGAGGCACTTAAAGAAACATGCAGCTGTTCAGTGTGTTAGACAGGGTTTAAACGATGCTCTCATGCCAGTGCATTTATGAAAACACTCAGCAACACTGTTTTTGTTCTAGGAATATCATTGTTTTTGAAATTCTAGTTTTTCAATATTTTTATAAATTAAAATTTTTTATAAACTTAAACAACTGACGGCCATGTTTTCTTCCTTTATTTATGTGAACAATAAAGTAAAATAAAAGACAAAATTTCCATTGCACCTGGTTCAGTCAAACACAATAGTGGTTTATAAGTGTGAGCGTATCCAACAGGCAGGGACCCACTGTGGCTGCTCCTGTGCCCGGGTGGCAGCAGACCACAGCTGGGCACAGGACTCCTGGAGGTCCTCGTTGACAACCACGTGATCAAAAAACTGAGAGAAATGTAACTCCAGCTTCCGCGCTGAATCTTCCAGCTCTGTGAAGTCCTCCTCCTGTGGAAAAGTTGCAGAATGAATGTTCTGCAGTATGGAATTAAACTGGTCTGTCTGTAGGGAGACAAGCAGGTGACAGCACCAGGCCAAGGTGGTGGGGAGAGGTGACCCCGCCCCGTAAGAAATGGTTTTCCAATGTATTTTTGAGCAAAACTGAATAAATACAAGGTTGATGTAGGTTATTGCCATACCGTGGAACATTCCAAGCAAGAACATGAAAGCAAAAACATCCCAACAAGCAGGGGATGGACTCCCTACCAGAAAAGTTACATATTGCAATGTCAGAGGTATTTCTTTTTAACAATATACCTGAAATTACTGTACTATTCACACATTTAATACTTTTTCAAAAAACTTGAAAATGATTGGGACTAAACTGGACTAGATCAGGATTAAAACGAGACCATACCAAATCAACAATGGGAGTGTGAACATACCGTTAATAATTATTCGTTTTTTGGATAGCTGTGTGTACAGAATAGTGTCTGCTGGGTACCTTGAAGAGTCGTGTGGCGTAATAGTTGGTGAGGATCTGCGCGCTGTGTCTGGTCTGTCTTAGCTGCTCTGCAGACGGGGGTTTGATGTAGACCACGTAGGCCCTCAGCTCGGGGGTCCGCACCGCCTGGAGAGCCTGAAGACCGGTGGACAGTGAGAGGTGCATCCATTAATGATCCTCATTATGCATTTATCAACAATTTGTGAAAAATCTTACATTGGGCTCGATGTCGATAATGCAGATCTTACCGCTGTTCAAAACCTCCCTCACCGAGTCACTACTGGTACCATAATAGTTCCCTTTAAACTCCCCATACTCCAGAAACCTGTGGGGTTGAAGAAATGAAATAGGAAAAGACAAGATATGACCATGAATGACAACAGAGCTAATATTTACTGTTCAACATGTTTCAAACTAAGGAGAATTGTGCTTGTGCTCACTTGTTACTCTGGATCATGTTCTCAAAGATTTCTCGACTGACAAAATGGTATTCTTTGCCTGACTCCTCATAATCCCGTGGCAACCGACTGGTATCTGAAAAAATGTCACATTTAATTTTAATGTAAATCATAAATAAGTGAATAAATCAATAAAACTTACGAGGAATAGCGCCAAGAAAAAGTTGTGGGTTTGTGTCTATCAAACGGCGTCGCATTTCATTCACCCCCACACCGGGTGCACCTGGGGGAATAAAAGTCTTTAACTGAGGCAGGTCAAATATACATTGTAAAGTAAATCATTTAACTTTGGTGGGGTGACGGTACGAATACAGGATACAGGATTTAGTCATATATCAATTTTCAGTTAGTAAATACAAAACTTTATTAATTCAAAATGTAGTCTGGCACTTAAAGGTGCACTGTGTAAATTTTCTAGTAGAGCATCCATCACCTTCTTGTCTCATTATTGTTTGACTAGAATGTTTTATAGTATGGTATTCAGTTCCTGTATCTCCATGGAGACAATCAGGTGATGCCACCAGGCCAAGTTACAGGTCAAATCTGCGGAGATGGACAGTGATGTAATGATGTCATGCTCTCAGATGGGGGCAGGAGCCAGATTTTCCCATTGATAACATTGTACTTTGCCATTTGCAATTATATTGTACAGTATAATTTTGTAATCTTGCCCCCTGTCTGTGTTAAATATTACTGGCCTATAATGTTGTGATGTCACCTGAAACCCAGAAATACAGATGCGAAGTAGTCCAATGAGGCTCATTTGGTCGATAATTTATGTTATTAGGTTCTTCTTTCAGACCAAGAGTTTGTTTTTATACTTGACTGTTTTGACTGCTCACTAGCAAACAGACAAACAGGAGGAAGACAGATCATCCACGACGCTCTGAAGCAATGCCAATACCCAAAATGGGCAAAAAAAGAACCTAATAACAGAGATGTGAAGTGCTCATTACCCAGCAGTGCCACCAGTCGCAGAGGGTCCTCAGAGTTGCGCTGGTACCGCACCACCTCTTCATAGGGACTGCAGAGGGCACTGTAGCAGCAGCTGCTGAGACACTGGGGCTGACAGGAGGGCTGCACAGAGGTGTGGAAACGCCGTCGACAAAGACGCATACTCCTCCTGAAACCAGCTGAAAAAGGATACACTCAAATCAGAGTTAGCAGAGCTCAGATGAAACTGAAACTATTAAACTAAATAGTCATCAAAGTTTATATGTCAGTACTTACACAGATACAGCTGGTCTTTGCTGGTACTGATGTCATCCTCCTCTAAAAAATTGACATTTATTCACCCAAACAGATATGGTACAAAACTACAAAATGCTACATTATAAGTAAAACAAAACACAAATTAATATTTTTTGAGCCCATATTGTCCAAGCTTTTACCCAACCATCTTACCCTGCCTCAGCTCTTCTATATCCAGTCAGAAAGCATTAAAAAGGAAAAAATATATACTTAAATTGTTCCATGTAAAAGGACTTTGTAAATAGGCATGCAGGTCACACTCTACATACCAGACTCAAATGCCTCCTCATCTGAAAAAGAAACATGAGACCAATAAAAATCACATGAAAATCCCATTGACTGGACTATCAGACCAAACAGTACCCACCTGCTTCCACACATTTGTCATCAATTGCCATTGAGTCCTCCTCTGTAGAGAGGTATGCACAATGTTAATGAGGCTCATATGGAAATGCAGCATTATATTCCATGGATTTCAGAGTGATACATCTTTAGATTTATCTTTTGAATGGGCAAAACTCCTCAAAATGTCATATATATCAGGAAGCTGAAACCCATGAATAGGTCTATAGTGTTGAGACGGGAGCAGCTAAAGGTTTGTAATTGTTGAATAAATGCAATGTAATAATGAAGTTTGTAGGTAAAATAATGTGATTCAATGACATTTTTTTTTAATGGAAAATACCAAATCCTGTCCCCATTTAGCTACTTACCCTCCTCCACAGTGCTCACTTTCAAAAGCATGAAGACAAAACAAAAGTTTTGTGAGTGATTATGTTGTCATATAATATTAAAGAATACATTTAATTAGAATTTGTCATGACTCAAAGTACTGATTCTCATGTGAAAGTCAACTTAAAATTTCTCAGAAAATTGCAGTTTTATGATTGTATGTATTTTAGGTTCTCTGCAAATACTGCCATTTTTAGAACAGTTCAAACCAGGGTGGAGTGAAAATAATAATTGCCTATAATATGCCAAATTAAAATTATTTGCATTTTAATTAGACAGATATAGCACTACTTGTTATAATATTATATCAGATTGAAACAGATGCCACTGATATCGTATCACTAAAACGCACTCCCTAAACCTTCTGCTACATCTCCACCGCAGCAGCAAAAATATCAACCTCCTCAGCCTCTCAAACTGCCTAATTTACCATAATGTCCCTTTACTACTACCTGCTCAAGTCTAAGCATTCATTCATAAAAGTATCCATCATATAATAATGATAATGATGATAATAATAATAATAATAAAAAAACTTACACGTGTGGATGCAGGCATGTGGCTGATAAGGCTGGGACCACCAAAACTCCCTCTGCTTCCTGTAGGAGCACATGTCACTTAAAGGTCCTATATTATTCAAGACATGTCATAATGTTATCTCATCAAAAACAGACCTGGAGTTGTGCTTTGTTTCATTCACACATGTTTGAGTAACCCTGGATTCTTCATTCTTATATCAAATGCTCAAAGTGCTCTGCACCACCCTGTGATGTCATGAAGCAGTCATTTTCAAGTTAACAGCTCTTTTTGTTCAGAAGAGTTTGGAAATTCCAGGGCTTAAATCATTCAAATGATTCTAGTGCAGGTATATGGAGTTTAAAAACCCAGAGTTTAAAAACCTCATTACCATATGACATCACAAGGTGGAACAGGCTAAATATACTGGATTTGTATATGAAACGTGAGGAACAAAACACAATTCCATGTCTATTTCTTTGGTCTATTTTTTTTTCAGTACACGACATTATAACATATATCAGAAAATACTTGCATATACTGTAGCAAACATCAACATCTCTTTCCTGACCGTTTGAGCAGAGCTGTGGAGGGCACGAGACCAGCACAAAAGCTGGAGCTGGGCAGCCTCTTGGCCTGCCACCACAGTGCATCCGTCTGGTCTACTATCTCCAGGATGTCCCCTTTTAAGAAGCTCACCCCAGCATCTGGACACGGGATGGCAAGGTCCAGCTGGGGGTTGTAGTCCGCCATCGCCCGCACGTACATCTGTGGGGCAGAAGGGGAAAGGGGAGAGGTGGGTTACAGAATCTGGGTGAAGGGGAGTAGAGATAGAGAGGGTCTGACCATGGTTTGGCTGTGGACTGGGCGCTCGGTGATGGGTACGACCTTGAACATGATGGTGCCTTGGGAGCAAGCCTGCTGAGAGAAGTTACACAACAGAGGGGTTCAAATATATTAAATACAATACTGGATTAGTCTTATTTAGTATTGCTCAATACTCAACTTTCTTTATCAAATGATAATATACAGTGTAAATATATCCACTGCATACTGGGGGAAAAAATTTGGTATGTCGGATCAAATATTGGTGATATCGGCGAGTTCCCCAGGCATCGTATTGCAATGATATTGGAAATTTTGCCCATATTTGGTGCTAGCATTTTTCCTAAGATGCCCCAGTGTGACCATGTGTGATCCATGTATTAGCTTTGTCTTTTTAAAAAATTCTTTAAAAAGGAAAAAAAAAAAAAAAAAGGAATTAGAAGAGCAATTATGCAAAATACGTCCATGAAATTAATTATTTTATACCCCAAATAAATACTTTTTGTGGTATTTTAATGGTGCACTATGTAACTTTTTGATTTGGGGTCCGTCACCTGCTGGTTTCTGTGGAGATATCATTGCTCTGCCTGGAATGTTCCACAGTATGACATTAAATAGCTCTACATTACTTTTTTTTTTTTAAGTACAAGTGGTTTTATAGCTCAAAAACACCTAGAAAAACAAGCATTCTGACTGTGAGCGGGGTTGCGTCTCCACAGATCTGACCTGTAACTTGATCTGATTTGGTCTCTATGAAGGTAGAAAGGTTTAACACCATGAAAGAATCAAGACAAAGCAATAACGTCGAGAATAGCATCTGATGGACCAGCTACCATAAAAGTGCACCTTTAAGAAAAGTGAAATGTTACTTTGTGAACATTACTAAGCATATACATTTGTGGGCCTTGCTGTGGATTTAAAATCTGAAAATATCAATTATTGCCAATAGTGGCAAGACAAATATTGGATGTTGTATTGGAAAAAGTAGGGTGATCAGATTTTCAGAATAAAAAACTGGGAGATCCCTGGTTTGGGTTGGTTGGTAATAATAAAACTGTCAAATGAGTGCCTAATTGCAGAGAACTGTTCTGCACTCAGCCCTAATGTGAGTCAGTATAGTCACATTTTCTTTGTACAGCTTTTCTGTATTTTACCTAAACAAATGACAATTTATGCCTCTCTTTATTATTGCCAGGGATCAAGGTCAAAAATAGGGATATCTGGGACATTTCTTATATAAAACTGAGACAAATCAGTGGTTTTGGATAAATGTGCTGGCACAGGGGACACAGGGCTCAAAACTGGGACTGTCCCAGGTAAATGGGGATGTTTGGTCACCCTAGGAAAAACTACGCACAATAGTGACTGACTGCCGTACCACCACTTGGATGACTTGCTCTGGTTCCATCCCATTAACCACAAAGCCATTGACCTCCATGATCCTGTCCCCTGCATGCAACAGACCTGTACAACACAAACAGCAGAGGAGTGCACAGTGTAGTTAGCCAACCTGGAGCTCCCACCATCCACCTGCTCCTGGATAAAGGACTTTCTGGACAATCAACCCCAGCAGGTGAAACTGGGTCCCCACCTATCGTCCATCCGCACTCTCAACACCAGCTTCCCCCAGGGCTGTGTGCTGGGCCCACTCCTCTACTCTCTCTACACGCACGACTGCAGTCCCACCCACCCAAAGAACATCATTGTCAAATTCACTGATGACATGACGGTGGTGGGGCTGATAACAGAGGGGAATGAACCACCTACAGAGATGAGGTCCTGAAACTCAGCGAGTGGTGTGCAAATAATAACTTGGCACTGAACATCACCAAGACTAAGGAACTAATCCTGGACATTTGGCGGAACAGAGCCACCTCTGACTCCCTGTACATCAATGGCCAAAGTGTGGAACGAGTGGAGACCTTCAAATTCCTTGGGGTTCACATCTCTGCGGCTCTCTCCTGGTCAGTCAACACCTCAGCACTGGCCAAAAAGGCCCAGCAGTGGCTGCACTTCCTGAGGTGCTCAGGAAGGAGCAACTAAACACAACCAGCTGGTGACGTTCTATCGTTCCACCATTGAGAGCCTGCTGACCTCTGCTGTTACAGTGTGGCACTCTAACTGCACAGAGGCTGACAGGAAGCGTCTGCAGAGGGTGACCAACACTGCACAGGACATTATTGGCTGCCCTCTGCCTTCCACATCCACCATCTATGACTCCCTCTGTCTCAGCAGGGCTAGGAACATCAAGGACAATACACACCCCGGCTTCTACCTCTTCAACCTGTTGCCTTCTGGCAGTCTGGCACTTCAGGTTTATACCAGCCAGAACAAATAGGCTCAGGGACAGCTTTTTCCCCAAAGCTGTCACCATACTGAACTCAACTTTGCACTGAGAACTGTTATTATTTTTATTTATTTATTTAGGCACTTTGAAGGAGCAGCTCTGCATCTCATTATACTGTGTATAATGACAATAAAGTCTTTCTATTCATAATATTACACATACTCACCACTACGGTCAGCCAGGCCTCCATGTATGACTCGGGCCACAAAAATCTCCCCTGTGAGTTCATTCCTCTTTATTGTGGCACCCTAAAAATCAGATGAATTACGAGATATTATGTCTGAATGATAAACTAAGGGTCAGCAAACAGAGGGAGGCATTTCTCACAGTAACAATTTCGACAACCAGACCAGATCGAAAACCAAAGGAAAAAGAGGAGTCTCCGAGGGCCTGTACCTGATTTTGAAAAAAGAATCAGGAACATGTTTGAGTCTGAATGTTTAGCCCCATAACACAACTGTGTGGGATAGTGTCATACAGTTGTTGCCACACAGTTATCATCAATCTTGATCCACTTTATGCAGGGTGATTACTTTGAAAATGCACTATGACAGAGTCAACTGTCTGGGATGGCGTAAGAAATATTCTCCCATTTTCTTTGCAAACAATGTACCTGACTGGACAAAAAGGTGGTGTCCCTAACAAAATGCTTGCAATGTAAACTGTATAGGTTATGTTTTTCAGTTTTCTTCTTATTTTTTCATAATTACAGTACATTGCATAACAAATGCCATTCATCTTAACCAGAAAAAATTACAATCAAGTACAGGCCACCCTTCAAGGAAAACCAACTCTAACTAACTCTGTTCTGATGAGGGTCCTGTTTCTGAGCGTTCCAAAGCAGCAGTCTCTGAGCAAATGGACTCCACGATCTGAAGGCAGTGACAGTGAAGGCTATTCGATCCACCGATCAGATTTAGTGGCCAATATTCCTTGAAGACTGTCCACCTTCTGCGTGAGGAGGATGAGGGCCTGGGAGCTGTCCTGTACGGTCCGGTTCATGTGTTCAGCGGCAGTGGTCATTCTGTCCGCCAACACTTTCAAATCCTGAGCCCTGCCCTCCATCGCAGAGACCGCCCGCTGCACACAGGCTCTCAGCTGGTCCAAACTCTCCCTCGGGTTCTCATCGGGAGTCTTATAGTGGGTGTGTGTGGGGCTGGGAGGGGCTGTGCAAGGGCGGGGGCTCTGGAGGTGGTAAATTGTTCCAGGGCAGTAGGGAGTGCCAGTACAGGGCTCCAACAGATGAGTACTTCTGGAGACGTGGTTCGGCCACTCCCTAATGTTGTCTCCAAGAAGAAAAACACAATTACATTAAAGGTGTGCTGCGTAAGGGGATCTGTATACCTGCTTGTTTCCATGGATACGCTATTGAGTTGCCTTAGATGTGCTACAGTATGTCATTAAACCCATATAGCTTGCATTTCTGTCTCGTTAATCATTAATTCACTTACAGGTGCTGATTAAAAATATCTTGAAAATATGAATTGTTACAATGAGGGCTCGCCTCTCCACAACTCTGACTTCTAAATCTGGCCTGCTTGCCACTTGGAAATACATAAACAGAGTTAAAAACCATATGGTGGAACATTCTAGGCAGTAATTCCATAGAGGCAAGCAACGGCAAACCCTCTGCCGGAATATTTACACAGGGCACCTTTAAAAACATGTAACTGAAGATTGAAGATGACGAACTCAGCTGATCATTCAGTGGATCAAGATGCTGATGAAAATGGTGAAGATAATGAAGATGAAGTAGACAGTGAAAAAGACGATGATGATAACGATGATGACGACGATGATGCAGATTGTAATAGTTGCTTAATGCACATGAAGGCCACATGAGCTCTGCCTGGGTTTGTCTTACCGCTCACAAAGTGTTCACAGAGTTCTGGAGCAAGGCGGTTCTCTCTGTAGAGACCTCGTGTGGGACTGTGGGAGAGGAACTCACTACAGGAGCTCTGCTGAATGCAAAACTGACACACACCACAGGTTTGAACACTATTCTAACAAGAAGAGGATTCACAACACTGCAAAACTTAACAAACGATAGATCTATCTATCTATGTGGGACAAGTGGAGAGATCAAATACAGTACTGCAATAATATAAGTACACCCAAACTGTATGAATCCTCCAGTGGAATACAAGGATTCACTCAAAATTATTTTCTACATAATGTGACTAACATTATGTAGAAATGAACCACTCAATAGTGTGTTAATTTCTACAGTAGAGTGTTACCATGGAAACTGGACCAGACAGGACAGTGGGCACTCACCAAGGGCTGCTTGTTTTTGACCAAACACACGATCCGGGTGGCCTCCTCATCATCAGGCAGCTCCTGCGGCAGAGCAGGAAGCACCGGTTCATAGTCCTTCTGCGCTACCGAGTCATGAGCCGAGAGCACAGCCTGGGACACGAGGACAGTGGATGTAGAAAAGACACAGCCAGTATAAATCAGATAACTTGAGTAATCAGATAACCCTGCAGTTAGATCTGATTTTTGGTGTGTTTTTACAGCACAGGAAAAATCTGGTGACCTCTGTCAGTTAATCTATGTTTTTTAAAGTAACTGTTATTGTAACTGTAATTGGAAGACAAAGGAGTACTTGTAAATGCGGTTGCCTCATAAGACGGTACAGTTCTCTAGCATCTTCTGAACAATCTTGCAGCGCTCGGATCTCTATCAACACCTGTGCACAGGACAAGAGAACATTCCTCAGGTCAAACGGGAGTGGACAGCATTTGGAGATGGTGAGACGCACAAATGTTGGACCTGAAGGGACAGTCCAGAGGCACAGTCCAGAGCAGGAGCTGGGGATGTGGTGCTGTACCTCTGCAGACATTCATATACCTGGAAACAATAGGACAACAGAGTCAGTGTGGTTCTGGGGATATAGTTTTGAATTGTAAATACAGGTGGCGCGTTGTTTCAGTGGCGATAGATAATTTTCATGCCATACTATAGAACATACTAGGCCATTAGCAAGAAATAGCAATATGATGACAAACTTTGAACCAAGAGGTTATAATTATTTTGAATTATGCTTCCACAAAGGTTAAATGTAAACAAAGGTCTGATTTTCTTAGGGTCAACCCCCCCAGAAATGTCAATAAATAGATTATATTCTCAACTATGTATTCAAAACCTGCAGAACAACTTAAAAACATCATAACTGAACATTGGCATATATTACAAACTGACCCTTCATTGGGTGTGGCTTTTAAAGAGCACCCCCTAGTGGTGTACAAAAGAGGAAGAAACCTTAGAGACAGACTCGCACATTTCTACCTTCCTCACAAACCAGACATCACTTCAAACTATTTTGACTCCTATTCCTGATGGAAATCACCACTGTGGTGGGTGCAGTCTGTGTAACTACACTATCACTAACAGTTTTAAGCACCTCACACTGGAAAAGAAATAATGATCAAAGGAATATTATCCTGCAATACTAAATCTGTCATTTATATGATCACCTGCTCCTGTGGTAAAGCCTCTGAGAGGAAAACAAGCAGGGATTTGAAAACACTTAGTATTGCAGAGCAGAGGAGCACCATCAGATGTAAAAACATGAACTATCCTGTGGCAGCTCATTTTGTAGATTTCAACCATCCTTTCTCTGCCTTATCTGGAAATGCTCATCAAAAAGAGAGCACTTCTGGATTCACCAACTTATGCTTCTTGCTCTTCTTGGACTTAATTGGACTTTGACCTAAGATGTTTTTTTTTTTTTAATGGAAATGTCTAACTGTTGTTTTCTTGTTGTAGAGTGGGCTGATCTCACTGGGTGACATCACTTTGGGACCTCCCATTCATTGGATATGAGCACCTGGGCTGTAACCATTTTGTGTAGTGTGGTCCAAAGCAAGAAAAATGATCTTATGATGACTTTTTTTTTTTTAAAACGTTATTTAACAAAAAAAATAAATCGGCTATCTGAGTGTGCTATGCATTTTTTCACTTTTATAATAAGCAAGAAATAACATCTCCATCGTGACAAGCAGGCTGCAGACTTTCCATCAGAAAATGTTACAGAGTGCATCTTTAAATAATAGGTTGTTTTTTTGTGAATCCGACCTTGAGCAGAGACTGGAGCCACGGAGCGTTGAGCAGACTGTGGATGATGTGGGCTCCGTCTATGTCCTGGTGTAGAGAGCGTCTCACCTCCTCCAGGACATCAGAGAGGACCTGCTTTAGGCCTGAAACAATACGCACCAGGAATTAGACCGCACTGGAGTATTCATGTTGGGTTTCTATGCTTCTTGGGGACATTAGTCACTACTTAACCTTCCTTAAACCATAACTTATTTTAGCACTAGAGAGACCAGATGTCCTTATTTACCTGGGACAATCCCAGTTTTGAGCCTGTGTCCCCTGTCCCAGCAGGTTTATACAAAACCACTGATTTGTCCCAGGTTTATACCCAGGTGTCCCTATTTTTGACCAATTTGATCCCTGCCAACAGTAAAGAGGCATAAATTGTCATTTGTTTGGTAAATTACAAAAAAATCTGCTTAAAAATGACCAAAACACAAAGATAATGTGACTATACTGACTCACATTAGGGCCGAGTGCAGAACAATTTTCCTTAATTACGCACTTGTTGCGCAATTTTATTATTACCAACCACCACAAACCAGGGATGTCCCAGTTTTTTTATTTAGAAAATCTGGTCACCTTATTTAGTTGATGACATAATAATAGTACTTTTGCAAGTGGGACTTGATTTTTGTCCTCATAAAGTATGCAGGTCCCCATGAATTTAGTGTGTATACCAATTTTAGTCACCACAAACAAAGTGATAAATAGTGCGTTGTGCAGGTAGTGTGGACTGACCCTGCTCCCCCAGCTCACAGTGAGGGGACAGCACCTGTGCCTCCACGGCCTGACGCATGGTCGCCCCGGCAACCGCTCCGCTCTTCACCAACTGCAGAAGAGAAAGAAAGGCTTGCTGATTATAAAGTAACATCATGAAACTTTCCGGAAGAGGCACGTCACCTGCAGAATTCCATAGAAACAGAAAGTTAGAACCATACTTCGGAACATTCCCCATGGAGATAGATCAGTAGGAAAAAGTTACTTACTATGGAACATTACAGCCAAAGAAACAACATTTCCATTGAGTCTGCTCACAGTAAGGCATCTTTTCTGTTTTTCAAAATAAAAAAATATCTAAAATGGAAAATAAACAAATATGCTTTTATTTTAGATCACCTTTAACAGCCAAAAGTTACACTGTGAGGCTTTAATAGTTTTTTAGACTTAGACAAGCTTTACTGATCCACAAGGGAAATGATTTGGACACAGGAGCTCACACATCACAATATAATATAATAACAAAGTGTAAAAATAGAAATGGTAATAATAAATTCTAAATAAGTGGCAAAAAGATAAAGAGATAGTGTCAAATAAGACATGATTATATAAATGTATATGTGCAAGTCAAAATAAAACAGAAAAATACATAATACAATATAAAAAATATTATTGTTATTGTTATTATTATTACATTAGTAATTGACCTGTAATTACCATACTTTCAATGTACTATGCGTTTTCTTTTTCATAATTACTTTATTTCAACAGTGCCACTGCATTTTATTATTATTTTTTATTTGTTTATTTGTTGAAATTCACGCATATCATAGCCTTTAATTCTACACTTCTAATTCATCCTATATGATCATGGCTGTTGGTAACACTATTACACTACATTAGATTAAGTATCTGTGCTTTCAGCATGTTTGGACAGGGAGTGTCTATCATCTGAGTTGTCATGGCAACTGAGAGCTGAGTGACTGCTGTAGTGGAGGTGGGCTTTGAAGATGAGGTCAATGTGGGGGGGGGGGGGGTCAGGGGTCAGTGGCTTTCCTTAAGAGCAGCAGGGCTACCCAGGCAGGAGGGTATTATGGGTAGACTGGAGAGAGCAGTGACAGAGTTAATGCACTGTTTATGTGTCACTGTGACCACAATACAAATATAAAGCTTGAATTGAAAAGTACATATATTTAATTGTTTTACTGTTACCTGCATCATGTTAAAATTCAAATATTGTCACTGCACTGGTGGAGGTTATTTATCCTTAGTCTACCATCACAAACAACACATTGATAAACATTGGTAATAGCTATTCAAAATGTGTATATATTTGTTGGACCAAAATTAGTTGGTCTGTTATTCAGTCTTGTTACAACTAGGTAATTAAGCTGAAATCTTACCCAAATATAACAAGCCTAGAACTGGTTTAGTTACCTTTTTTTTTTTTTTTGACTTACTGTAGACCTGGTTTAGACTAAGTTCAGCTTTGTATACGTCCTTGTCCAATCCTTGTTTTGTTTTGTTAGGTAATGGTTTAGTACTGGTTTAGTACTGGTTCACTACTTGTTTACTCCAAGTTTAGTCCTGGTTTAGTACTGGTTCAGTCCTAGTATAGTTCTGGTTCAGTCCTGGTTCAGTCCTATATCAGTTCTGGCTCAGGTCTTGCTCAGGTTTTCTCCTCACATTCACAGTAACCTACTGGGAAAACAATGTGCTCAGTTGTTGTGTCTTACCTCCACCTTGCTCCGGGTCCCCCTCTGAGTTGTGGACAGTGGAGAGTCGTGCACAGATGACCGCTCTGCTGGTCTGTAATCTGCCCGATCCTTCTAATCCTCCGAGGCCAGTGTGACCGGAAACAGAGCTGCACCACGGGCACTGTGCACCGGCTGCTGCCCACTTCACAAATCTTCTTAACTCTTTCAGCAGCACAGAGGGGCCAGCATAGACAGGTCTCTACTGTGTTCACCATGAACATCTGACCTTTCCTCCAATAGCTCTAGGTAGGACCACTGGACAGGGACCCTTCTCCAGATCTGGAGTTGGGATCTTGCTCAGGAGGACCTAGATGAAGGATTATCCTAATGGGCAAGTTTATTTTAGGTTGATGTGTGAAAGTGAAGTTAAGAATGGTATCAACAAGAAGTTTAGAGTTACTCCAAATGATTATTATGTTTTCTTATTCTGGTAATTATATTATCGTCTTATTTTAATATACTGACACAAAACATTCAGTTAAATTAAAGAATTTAAGAGCCATAATCATTGGTGTAATTATTAAACTACTTACTAGAACTTAATAAACTACACCAAAACTTATAAAAAAATTCAGACTAAAATCGATTTTATTTTCAAAATCAGTAAAGTTCAGTTAGATGAAGAACACGTTGTTGGGAATGTGATACCGTCTACATTAATTTAGCCGTTATGGCTAATTTCTATATGAATACTTTTACACTACATTGTGCAACCCTACTTATTAATTTGCCTAGAATGTTGAATGCATTAAACTTACCTAGTTTCATGGAGTTAAGCAGGTAACACCACAAGGCCAAGTTACAGAAAAATCTGTGAAGATTTGTGGACTAAATCACCTGCAACTGATATAATTCCATGTTAAAACTCAGAAAAGCCAAAATCAAATATAACAAAAAAAAAAAATCTGTGCATGTATTAATTAATGTTAAAATAATTTATTTCTCTTTTGTGAGGAAACCGTTGTGTACAGATTAAATTGTGAAAAGACAGGATATTTCTTTGAGACAAAAAGAAAAAGGGAACAAACTGAAGGACCAGAAATATATAAAACAATACTCATGGTCATGTTACAGTAGCAGCTTTAGTCTCAAAGAAGTACAATATGATGTGTCTCCTCTGACCAGGTCCATTTGTACAAGAGGAGACTTGGATCAGCCTAGTTAATTTAACAATACATATTTCACATTTAAATCAAATGTTCACCGTCTTTCACAGCACAGTTTACGAGCAGTCTGGTTCTCCACTAGGGGGCGCACTGTCAGACAGAAGCGATGCGCCTCCCTGACCAGCCTACTGGTCCAAAGGTCAAAGGTCACCGCACTGTATGGATGCAGGCGGTGTGATCCGGCCTGTTCAGTCTGGTTTCTCATTGGTTGCGTTACCCTCCCATCACCACTGAGGCAAGGTGCATCAGCCGTGTGATTGGCTCAGAAAGGGGGGCGGGTTGTCTATGTGATCTTCTCATGTTGAATTTGGTAGTAACAAGCCTGCAAACACAGACTGAGTAAATATACACACAAGTCATAGGGAGCTGTAGACCTAAAATGTGTGTGTTACTTTAAGAGTTGTAAACATGATCCCGTGCTCTCCGTGTTGCACGCAGGGGTCCATCAAGTCTTCAATCAGGCTGACCTCTGAACCCAGGTTTCTGATTCTAAAGAAACAATAATAAACAGACATTATAATTTAGACATTAATTTTCACAAACTTGAATGACAAATAATAGCAGAGATTATAGGTTGGGTTCATGTTCTAGAATTTGAGGATATCATCATTTCAGATGGAGGGCAGGGACTATTCACTGTTTTGGGAAGAAATATCCAAACTTATGATGCACAAATGTCACTTTCTGAAGTTTTGTGTGAAAAAAAAAAAATAAAAAAAAAAAAAAAAAAAATCACTTTTGTATTTTAATTTAATAGAAAAGATGTTTAACTTTATACCAGTTTTTGTTTCATGTGGATAAGACCAGTAATTACAGAGATATTAACTGTAAATTTGGGACCAACTGAAAATCACATAGCCAATTCCACCATAAAAATTCTGATTTTTCTTTTAGCTCAATCTGAAACTATAGCAACACTAGAAATGCCACAGACCGAGCGCGCAGCACCACGTAGAGGAAGACTGGAAACAGCTCGTCCATGGACCAGAGGAAGTCCTGCTGGAGCAGAGCCTGCACCTCTTGAGTGATCTCCTCAAATGTCAGCTGAATCAACTGCAGTTTGTCTGAGGGGGTGAAAGTGGTGCTGGAACAAAACAATCAGTGATCAATACAAAATAGCTATCAAGAGAGTAGAGCTCTGGGAGCAGTACCTGATCTGCTGCAGGGTTTCAACTGCAGAAGCAAAGCATGCGTCTTTGGTGTTGGACAGGACCTGAGAAACAACACACAGCTGGTCTCGATAGGATATAACCATACATCAACAATAACAAACAATATTACACAAAATTTACTCTTCAGAGCTTTAAGTTATGTAAATACTTACTTAAGAATATTGTTACCTCCTCAAAAACATACCAGGAGTTGTGTTTTGTTTCATTCACACATGTTTATTACTAGAGCTGGGTATCATTAAGAAGTTGCTGATAGGCTACATACCTCAATACACAGGCCGCGATACGATACATATCTCGAGACAGTGAGCTTTCGATTCAATACAATATATATTTCAAATCAGAAAGAACAAAAATGTGGCTGTTTGCTGCAGGTGTTCCAATCAGTAGGAGCAAATAGAGGGTGCTCTTGGAAAAAAGGATCAAGACTCAAGACACAACGGATTCCAGGCACTCCAAAACAGTAGAAAAAGTTAACACATCGCACGAGGAAAAATATATAATTAAAAGGCCTTTATTTGAATGGCCAAAGCCAACATGTTTCGACCTTAACTGGTCTTCATCAGGGCTTGATTAAGAACAAAGCATGGGTGTGGCCTTCAAATAGAACACATCAACCAATAGCAAGGCTGGAGTAAATTGGAGGCAGACAAAACAGGTGCACAAAGACAGGACATGGTAGAGGCAAAAAAAAACAAAAAACTAAACAAAAACAAACAAACAAACATCATAACCATAATGTTTCCATTATTACTGTTACCAATAATTTATAAAAAATAAAATTAATAATAATTAATATTTATAGTCTAGATCATAAATATATATATATATATATATATATATATATATATATATTTCTTTTTATAATATTTATATTATATTAGTGTTATTTTATCATATTAATATTTTATATTTTTTATTATTATTGCCATCATTATCAATAATAACAAATAATATACATAAAGAACCTATCAGCCTACAGTGGTTGTAAATGCAACATTAATAAAAGAACATTATTAAACCTTATATTATAAAAAAATATTATAAAAAACAGGACAGATCAAAGTCCTCATTTAAACCTGGATGTTCACATGCTCTCAGTTTATGAATCCAGAAAGCTTCTCTTTGATTTAATTTTTGAAGTCTGTCTCCACCTCTTGCCAGTGGTTTCACATGTTCAATACCTTCAATACGAAGCAGAGTGTCATTGCTATTATGATTCTCACAAAAATGGCGAGCCATTGGGTAATCTTGATTTTTAACCCTGATCGCGTATTTGTGCTCAGCTAAACGATCTCGCATATGCCTTTTAGTGCGGCCAACATAGACATTTTTTTTTCCAATTTACTCCAGCCTTGCTATTGGTTGTGTTCTATTTGAAGGCCACACCCATGCTTTGTTCTTAAGCCCTGATGAAGACCAGTTAAGGTCGAAACATGTTGGCTTTGGCCATTCAAATAAAGGCCTTTTAATTATATTTTTCCTCGTGCGATGTGTTAACTTTTTCTACTATTTTGGAGTGCCTGGAATCTGTTGTGTCTTGATATATTTCAAATCATTTCGATGTGGGTCAATAAAAAATAAAGGCTAAATCGTGGCTGTGATACTAAAAGTCTTTGTTAAACGACTTCTTGTGCAAAGTTCATATGAAGCACAAACATTGTAATCATCAAAGAGTGAATATGTCAAATGTGTCGCATAAATGAGTTTCCTTCCTCTAAACAAACAACAAAACTGTAGCTGTAATAAAATAATTTTGTAAAACACACCAAAAATACTCTTGGTGATATAACGATACAGTAGTCCCCGATATCAATACTGTATCATCACATTAAACGATACAATATATCAATATTTCTGCACACCCCTTTGTCTGTCTACACCTCCAAAGCTCAAAATGCTGAAATCACAAGGTGGAACAAAGTGTTTTCAGTTTGACAGAAGAACTCAGCGTAAATCTGCAGGATTTGTGTGAATGAAATAAAACTCAACTCTAAGCTTTTAATGAAGAAAAAATATATATAACATAGATAAGAAAATGGAGTAATATGGGCCCTTTAACTAAAACAGTTGTTAGACATTTTCGTAATTTTATGTTTTAGTATCTGTTATTGCCTACATCTAATTCCTACCTGTGTTCTCTGTCCCAGAGCTGCTGTGGAATCAGGTGTAACCATCGGCCAAAACTTCCTAAAATGACAACATAAACATTTCACATTTCACAGACGGATCCAAAATGAGTAGTGATTTGAAGTGAAGTCCACAGACATACTGCTGCACTCCCAGGAAGGCGAGCAGAGCCAGGTCGGCCTGCTTATTGAGTCGGAGCACACACTCCCAGTACACGTCGTCCTCCTTCTCCTTGTCCAGAGCATAAAGGGTGAAGAGCGGAGGGTACAGGCGTGGCAGGAGAACGGGCAGCAGGAGGCCGGATGAGCTCACTACACGCCTGTACATACAAGCAAATAAATGCTTTCATTATTAATCCATAAAAAAATAATAAAGCAGAATTTGTAAGTAGAAAATTTTAAATGGGTACCATGTAACTTTAGCTTGAGTTAGGTTGCTTTATTTGAACCCGTAGGTAAATTTGTTTTGCAGCTCTGAGAGGCTGGTCCCATATTTCAGATTTCATTCATCCATTATACATTATTATATATTACTGTACACATTATCATCACCAGCTTGTTTCCATGGATATGTCATTGCTCTGCTTGGACTGTTGGACATTAAACAGCTCTACTTAACATTTATTATCACCTTAACTACAGGTGGCTTTATAGATCAAAAATACTTAGAAAAACAGTCATTCTGTGGGGTCTACAGATCTGACTTATAATTTGGTATGGTTTAGTCTCTATAGCTGGCTATTTCATCTGGGACTGGGACAAATTAAATTTCTCTCCAGCGACTAGGTCAGGATTTGAAATACATTAGATGGTTCGCAAGAACCCCGGAAGTGCCAATCAACAAAGATCGAGAATTTAAAGCCGGAACAAAGAGAATGTTTGGTGAATTTTATCAACGGGAAAGACGTTATTGCCCTTCTTCCTACGGATTTTGGGAAAAGCTTGATATACCAGTTAGCCCCGTTAGCGGCACATTACATACATCACGACCAAATAGCAAGGATTGGTTAAATGAAAAAAGTACTCGCCTACTGTCGAGCGAACGAATCCTAACGCTGACTGATGAATCAGGCTACACTATAGCCCTATTCAGGTGGGATAAATACAACCTGTGGACGTCTGGTAATTTGCAAATTACCGCTTCATTTCTGTATTACTTGCAGCACATTTGCACAGGATAAACAAAGTCCATAAATTACTCTATTTTACTGACACTGGCACAGAGATTGAAAGAACGTTGAAAGAAAAGAAAAAGATAGAAAAGGCACGCAATTACAACAAACACTGAGATGCAGATTGGCACAGGACTAGTATTATCACCAGATGTCTGTGTTTGGTGAAATATAATAGATCATTTGCGGCAGTATTTTTACTTTACAGTAAATATTTACAGACATCGCACGGGATTAAGATATCAGGCATCCTCCGCAATTATTACAAATCACCAAAGGTCCAAAGGTAAAACAAATAGGGCATAAGATAATAGTACAGTACCCTACTGTCAAAAATTTCAGACAAAGAAATAACATCTCCATGGAGATGATGTTCTCCACCAGAAAAGTTACACAATGCACCTTGAAGTCAGCAACGGTTCAAGCTATTGCTGCAAAATTATATAGCTGCATATACACTTGAAGAATCCCATGTTCAGAGATAAGAGTTATTGATAACATCCATCCATCCATCCATTTTCGTCCGCTTATCCGGGGCCGGGTCGTGGGGGCAGCAGCCTAAGCAGGGACTCCCAGACTTCCTTCACCCCAGACACGTCCTCCAGCTCCTCCGGGGGGACCCCGAGGCGTTTCCAGGCCAGCCGAGAGACATAGTCCCTCCAGCGTGTCCTGGGTCTTCCCCGGGGCCTCCTCCCGGTGGGACATGCCCAGAACACCTCCCAAGGGAGGCGCCCAGGAGGCATCCGGAACAGATGCCCGAGCCACCTCAACTGGCTCCTCTCGACGTGGAGGAGCAGCGGCTCTACTCCGAGCTCCTCCCGTGTGACTGAGCTCCTCACCCTATCTCTAAGGGAGCGCCCAGCCACCCTACGGAGGAAACCCATTTCAAGCGCTTGTATCCGCGATCTCGTCCTTTTGGTCACTACCCAGAGCTCATGACCATAGGTGAGAGTAGGAACGAAGACTGACCGGTAAATCGAGAGCTTCGCCTTTCGGCTCAGCTCCCTCTTCACCACAACGGTCCGATACAGCGACCGCATCACTGCCGAAGCTGCACCGATCCGCCTGTCAATCTCCCGTTCCGTCCTTCCCTCACTCGTGAACAAGACCCCGAGATACTTGAACTCCTCCACTTGAGGCAAAGACTCCCCACCCACCCGGAGAGGGCAAGCCACCTTTTTCCGGTCGAGAACCATGGCCTCAGACTTAGAAGAGCTGATCTTCATCCCAGCCGCTTCACACTCGGCTGCAAACCGCCCCAGTGCACATTGCAGGTCCTGGTTCGATGAAGCCAACAGGACAACATCATCCGCAAACAGCAGAGATGAGATCCTGTGGCCCCTGACTGCGCCTAGAAATTCTGTCCATAAATACAATGAACAGAACCGGTGACAAAGGGCAGCCCTGGCCAACATGCACCGGGAACAGGTCTGACTTACTGCCGGCAATGCGAACACAGCTCCTGCTCCGGTCATACAGGGACCGGACAGCCCTTAGCAAAGGGCCCCGAACCCCATACTCCCAGAGCACCCCCCACAGGACACCACGAGGGACACGGTCGAATGCCTTCTCCAGATCCACAAAGCACATGTGGACTGGTTGGGCAAACTCCCATGAACTCTCGAGCACCCTATGGAGAGTGTAGAGCTGGTCCAGCGTTCCACGGCCAGGACGAAAACCACACTGCTCTTCCTGGATCTGAGGTTCGACTATCGGCCGGATTCTCCTCTCCAGTACCCTGGCATAGACCTTACTGGGAAGGCTGAGGAGTGTGATCCCCCTATAGTTGGAACACACCCTCCGGTCCCCCTTCTTATACAGAGGGACCACCACCCCGGTTTGCCAGTCCAGAGGTACTGTCCCCGACCACCACGCGATGTTGAAGAGGCATGTCAGCCAAGACAGCCCCACAACATCCAGAGACTTCAGGTACTCAGGACGGATCTCATCCAACCCCGGAGCCTTGCCACCAAGGAGCTTTCCAACCACCTCAGTGACTTCAGCCAGGGTGACGGATGAGTCCGCCTCCGAGTCCCCAGCCTCGGCCTCCTCCTCGGGTGGTTGATAACATATTAGTAATAATAAAATATTGTAAATGTTTTAGTAATATTATGACATAGCAATATTATGACAAATTGTGGATTTCTGTGTTACAACCATAGACTGTATAAAGAACAAACCAGGATCATGTAGAGTAGATGCATACAAACATTTTTGTCTAAATAGCGAGGCGATGGAGCCAGAGGCGCGCCCAGATTATATCCATTTATCATTACAACCCCACACTTATTTAATATTTTAACATGTTTTCATTTTAGTCTCCGAGGAAATAAACATGGACAGATACACACACAGGCTTTGGAGACTCCAGCAGACCCTCTGAGCCCTCCTCCTTTTCTGTGGCCTTGCTGCTGGGCACTGGGATCTGACCTCCCTCCTCCGGTAAATCAGGGAAAAGAAACCTGCAATCCATTTCAAAATCTTACTGAATATAGTGCTCATGTTTTTGTGAGATTTTTTACATACAATTTTGAATCATGATAATCTTTACCTGACTATAGTGAAGATCTGGTTGAGGTAGGACTTGATCTCGTTCACAGCTTGGCGCAGGAGTCTTCTGTTGGCTCCCACTCCCACGTATGTCATTCTGTAGACGGCCACCAGGGCCTCGAGCAGCCGGCCCAAAGGGTGCAGGGGCGTCTCACACGCCTAACACAACAGGGGGATATGGATCGTAGAAATGAAATATATTTCTGTGATGTTTTTAATATAACATTTTGACAAAACAAGACTGAAAAAGATATCCTATAAAAGCCAAAATCTAAACCAAACAGGTGACCGAGATAAAGACAATGTGTTGTACTGACACTTTTTCACTAACATCATGCTGGGGGTGTTTTACATGTATTTCTATTGGCAGAAAGTTCAATAGATACCATGGTGATGTAATGCACTTTGCACACATTACCAAAAATGTATACAATCTTTTAATATAGTCTGAAAACTCAAGAAGAAATATAAAATGGATTTTATTATTTTTACATTGTCAGGTGCCACTGATCAATATGTGTGTTCATGGTCGTGTTTGACTTTTGTCAAAAAAGATGAGAGTAACTAGTGGTAACTGAAAAGTTGCTGACAGTAATTGTATGTGTGAGTGCACAATTCAACTCACATGTTTTTAGATTAGACTAGATAAGACTTTATTGTCATTACACATGTATAAATACAAGGTAACGAAATGTGGTTTAGCACCTAATCAGAAGTGCAAGGAGCAGCAAGTGTGATATATACAGAATGTGGAGTATACACAATATTGACAATATACAGTACATTACAGTGCGGATTGTAGTGAATATATACAAATAAATATGGCAGCATGAACAAGAGGGAGTTAGGTGTAATATACATGGGGGGATATAAGCAGATGTACTGTAAATTAGGGATGGGCATTCGATGAAATTTTCTTAATCGATCGTCGGAAGAATTAACGATCGATTATCGATTAATCATTAACGTTTTTATATTAAAATGATCATCATTATTATTACTATCTGCACTACTAATCTGCATAAATAAATTCAACTTTACGACATATAAACCGTAACGACTCTAGAGCCACATCAGCTGTTTGACATTATAATGTGTTTAATTCAGTTTTGCGCAACTCCCCCAGAAACAAAACTTAAAACCGCATCGCTAATTTGCATAAACTCAGCGAAGATAAAAATACAGCTCGTGTCGCTGATGCGGTCAATTTCTGTCGGATTAAAAGACATGATTCAGTAGAATACAGGTTAGTGTGACCAGATTTGCGTTTGTCAAAACCAGGACACTGTATGGGGGGTAGGAGGTTGGGACTCGTCATCGACATTGCGCGACTCTCACCTGGTAAAGCTTTTTCCCACTGGACACCGAAACATATGTTCCTGCTTTGTACACTGTGCACAAGGACTCCCACTTGTCCCGAACGCAACAGAAAGCATGGAATTTCTTGTACAAATCATTGTTAAATACACATTTGTGCTTTGGCACGCTGCAGGCTGACCTACTGTTGTGTTTGCTTGCTCCTTCTGAGTGCAAAGAGCTACATGTACGGACCCCTGTTTGGTCATGCTACGCACAGCAACCTACATTCGGTTTGTCGATTAAAATGAACGTAATCGATGAAATTCTTAATGATCAATTATCGATTAATCATGCCCATCCCTACTGTAAATAATATATACTTTGAACAAATATACGGGGTGTGCTATAAAAAATATAAATATGTATGACATATATAAATGAGCAAAAGATATAGAGTATATGAACAGTTGTGCCGTAACTAAATAAATGTAAAGTTATGTATCAGATGCAATATGAATATGTAAGTGTGATAAGCAGTGTTGTAGTTCCAACCAAGTCAACTATTTCTGGTCAGGTTGTACTAAAATAAAGCTCAGATTAAAGTCTAACTTGAGCAACCGATCTTCTAACAGAGCTAGGGTGACCGGAATTTCAAAACCAAAAACTGGGGCACTCTCGGTTTGTGGTTGGTAATAATAAAATTGTGAAAAGAATGCGTAATTAAGGAAAACTGTTCTGCACAATTCATGACTTATTAAAAAGTTATATGTGAGTCAGTATGGTCACATTTTCTGTGTTATTGTCATTTTAAATCAGCTTTTATGTATTTTACTTAAACAAATTACAATTTATGTCTCTCTTTACTGTTGGCAGGGATCAGATTGGTCCAAAATAGGGACACCTGGGACATTTCTTGTATAAAACTGGGACAAATCACTGGTTTTACATACCATATTTTCCGGGCTATTAGGCACTCTGGATTATAAGACGCACTGTCATTAAATGATCTATTTTCAAACTTTTTTCACAAATAAACCACACTGGACTTTAAAGGAAACAAAACAGTTGGATGGGTCAGTGGGACTTTGTTTGTGGCGTTCACGGTGACTCTGGGCTTTGTTCAGTTGTGGCGTGTAGGGAGGGTGCTGTCTGGGACCTCTGAATTGTCGGCGTGTTCGCAGTGACTCAGTTGTTCAGTTGTGTCTAGAAGTGGCACATTAGACTCGCTTTTTCAGTTCGTTCCTCCGTTCCGTTCCTCGTCGGCGTGGAGTGATGAGTGTGGCTGTGGGTATTTTTCACTGTGTGGTCGCTGTCTGCTCCATGTGTGTTTGTGTGTGCTGCGGGTGGTGCGGCTTTGTAGTCTACTGAAGTCGTGCTAGGACACCCGAGTGGATTCGTGTATAGGACACTCTGGATTGCGGGGCGTGGGGTCGTTTTTTGATAGGGTTAGAGGCTTAAGAGCAGGCCTAATAGCCTGGAAAATAAGGTAAATCTGCTGGGACAGGGGACACAGGGCTCAAAACTGGGACCTTCCCGGAGAAACAGGGATGTCTGGTCACCCTAAACAGCTTTCTATTAATCTCACACCCCCAAAGAATGTTGATGACATCAGCTGCAAAGTATCAATACAATGCAATTTTTCTACAAATACTAAGATATGGTTTGATTTAGTTCACAGGGAAGATTTTAAACACGTTCAGGACCGTTCGAGAGAAGACTGAAATGTGAACTGCTGAACTAATGAATCCCACACATTTCAGAACATGTTTGTACAGACCTCAACTACAGAACAGACAGGTTTTCTGCATAATAAGCTTCTACCCAGAGGACTTGATGTTACCTTGATGAGATACTGATGAATGGCCTGGTAGCGCTCCATGGTCATAGGACCCTGATGATGAGGGATGAACTCCAGGCTCTCCAGGGTTCTGCTCTGGCTTCGGGACAGTGTCTGCGGACTGACCACACAAGAATATACAGTCAGGAAAAAATCACCAAAAAAAGATTGATCAATTTTACAGTTTTATCAACCAAGACTCATTTTAGCAGATTTCTGACAGATTGACCTTTTAAGTTCAGAAAACACTGACAATATCACCCACAAATAGACAATAACTGAAATCTATATAATCGGTTTCAGCAACATTTCAGAAGGAGCATGTGTCCACTTGTGAGAGGATCCCACCTGTCTTTAAGCTGCTGCTGGCCGCTGGTCAGAGCCACTGCAATGTTGTCCCAGGCCTTGGTGGTATCCCCCTGCCCCGGCCCAGAGCAGCCCAGCTCGGTCCAACACTCCTGGAATACGGCCTGCCACTTATCCTCTGCACACACACACAGACGACCCAGCTTCCTGCAACACAAAACATACTCCATAAGTAAAATCCATAAATCAGTAAAGTAGTGGTAGTTGTAGTAGTATTTAAATAGTTGTAGTTGAAGTAGTGAAGTAGTAAAGTAGTAGTAGTAATAATAACAGTAGTTGTTAACCACAGTTACTACTATTATAGTAGAAATAGTGGTAGTTAAGTAGTAGTAGGACAAGTAGAAGATGTTAAATCGTAGTAACACCAAAATCACTTCTTTTTTTTTACTGATTATCTGTGTAAATGGGTCTAAAATGGAAGTGTATGCCTATCTCTGGTCTTATTTTGGTATTTTAGTGCATATTTGTTAAAAATGGGACTTTTGAGTCAAAGCCGTCAATTACGGCCAGAACATTTGAATTTCTGGGTTGGACTAATGGCCGCCAATGAGTCAGGTGCAGACACGACAAGCGCAGTCACTGCGGTCTATGGACGGTATGTGAGGAGCCCCTCTCAACCCCTGGCACTGTTGGCCACCGCCATGTCCCGCCATGTCTGAAGAAAAGGGAAACAGTGTGAACCGAGCACAAATGTTCGCTCTGTTTCAAAGTCCGGAGCGCACCGGTCTGCGACAGTCGGCTGTCAAACATCGCTCCATAGCCGGACCCACACCCGTTCCCCCAACCTACCGGGCACTACCCACTCTAGAGGATTTTTCTGATTTTGCTTAAGGGCGGAGTATAGCTTCAGGATGGGTTTAATGGCTCTTTAAATAGTAGAAGTAATAGTAATAGTAGTAGTACTTACATGGAGGCAGTTTTGTCCTTGTCCGTATCAAACAGATGGGGTTTGTAGTAGGATCCTGCAACTTTGATGCCAGAGCCCCATTCTCCATGGAAAGAAGCCTCCAGGTAGTCTCCATTGGTCATGGTCAGAACGCCCTATGTAGGATTTACACAGGAATTATATTTTTCACACCACCAAAATTGTTCCCAATTTTTAAAAGGCATGGGCAAATACTAAAAACATTGTATAAACTGTGCACTATGATTCTGAATTGATTTGAGTGTAAATATTAACACTGTGTGGTCAGTCAGATGATAGTTCTGATAAGGGCTGGTAAATCAGATTAGGTATAGTTATTTGTTTAAATCTTAAATGTTGATTAAAAAAAAAGTGACACAATTTCAAGTCTGATTATATGTTATGTTAATATTTTCTTACTTTAATTCTCAAAATAAAATACTGAAAAGGTTATCACAATGATTTTTGGATGACTGGTTCACAAAATCTTCTAGCAAGTTCTGGGACAAGACACAAACAAGAGTTCTGTAGTACAGCACTGCAAGAATCAATTATGGTATACACAAAAAATACAATTAAAAGGTGTACTGTGCAAGTTTTTTTATGGAGAGGACACCACCTGCCTGTCTCCATGGAGGTGTTATTGCATTGCCTGGAACATAGATCTTAATTTTACCTCCTTGTTTCCATAGAGATAGACATGCTGAAAGCCATACTGTGTTACATTCTATCCAATAATCTCTTCAGGGAGAAAAGCTGCTGACATAAAGTTCCACAGGGCATCTTTAAAAAATGAGATTCAATACCTTTCCATTCAGGGTCCAATCATCGGAGAATTCTCCTTCAAACATTGTATCATCCTCAGACACCAGGATCCCCGTGCCCTGAAACCAAAAAGCGCCTTCAGAATGGTTCCTCTTGTGTTAAATTTCAGTACAAGAACCTGTCTCGCTTTCACCATCATCTTGTTGTCCTTAAACGCCCCTTCGTAGTAGAGTCCGAACTGTGTGACCACCACCCCAGTGCCCTGACGCTGGTGCTCCTGCCACTGGCCCATGTACTTCTCCCCTCTGCAAAACAAATTGTCAAGTATTACCTTTACTGTTTCCATTTACATAATGACTTTTACACTGGTATTTCACATTATATAAACAAAGATAATCATGTACAGTATACATATGAGGGGCATGTTCTTGTCATTCACTTTACAGTTGAATAGTTGGATTAGGTGTCTGATGGTCTCTCTACTGACAGAAGTGGGGTGTGCAGCAGTGTGTCATAGGGGTGGGCGATATGGAGCAAAAAATATATCTCGATATATTTTGCTATATCTCGATGTATGATATATATCTCAATATCTGTACAGGAAAAATAACCTCCCAAAACTACTGCAAAAACAAATATGCCAAATCCCACAAGGTCTTTTGGCAGTTCATATAGGAACAAAGTGCCTCTGCCACATTTAAGATTACAAAAAATCCCTGATTACATAAATAATAATTTAACTGTAAAATAAAAGAAAGAATACATATTGCCTTCTTTTCATTCATAAATAAAACAACTCAGCTCAAGCTAATTTTTGCATTAACTCTGTTAACCATAACCATGAGCTCCTTTAACAGAGGAAACTTGGGAGGTTCATTATTTTAACAGACCAATGTTCCTCACCAGCTTAAGGAGCTCTGAGGTTTCCCACAATCCACTGCATAGATCAAATCCAACGTTTCCAAACACTATTGTACAAGTGACACTGCAGCAGATTATTGATTAAAATCTTCAGCATAAATAAACTTTATATTACTAAACTTTACAACAAATAAAGCATAGCGATTATAGTGTCACATCAGCCTGTTTGACGTTATAATGTGTTTAATGCAGTTTTGTGCACGTGTGTTTACGTTTTACAGAAACAAAACTGAATGAGACACAAGTATGCAAAATCAGGGAGGCGGGGGCGCATGGGGGCGAGCACAGAAAAGTCAGAATAAGAACGAAGAAGAAGAAGAATTGAATATAAGCATTATATCGATATATACGATTTGTCAGAATCCATATCGAGTTTAAAAAAATATCTCAATATATTTAAAATATTGAGATATCGCCCTCCCCTAGTGTGTCACAACTAAAAAATATGGCTTTAAAAGGTCCTATATTACGTAACACTGACTCACAACATTGTGAGCTTTAAGCCCTGCTATAATGTTGCCTCTGGAGTTCTGGCTTGTTTCACTGACACATGTTCAATTCTTTGCTATTAGTCTGTCTACATATCGGAACCCATTTTCAAAATCAAAAACTGGAACACCCCCGGTTTGTGATGGCTTGTAATAATAAAATTATGAAACAAGTGCGTAATTAAGGAACATCATTCTGCACTCGGCCCATTCATATCTAACATGGGAGTCAGTATAGTCACATTTTCTTTGTCTTTTTGTCATTTTTAAGCAGCTTTTCTGTATTTTACCTAATCAAACAACAACAAACAGGCTCAAAACTTGACTGTCCCGGGTAAATAGAGACGTGCGAATGAAACAAAACACAACAAAACTACATTACGAACACAAGGAATATACATTATAACATAGATCAGAAAATGTATTTATTTTATAGCACCTGTATCCATTTAAACTACAAAAAAAAGTATTAGTACAAACAAATATTCTTTAAGGGCTACATACTTGGTGATATCATCAAACACTCCGTAGCCTGTCTTCTTGTCATTGACCCACTGTCCGATGAAGACGCTGGGGGAGGAGGTGTTGAGTTTGCCGGTGCGGAGCATGCCGTGGCCGTGCCTCATCCCGTTCTGAAAGGAGCCCTCATACACTTCTCCATTAGCATATCTGTAAAAACAAGAGAGGACAGCTGTTTTAATATCATATCATATAATGTATCATGTTAATATCATATTAAAGAATTCATTCAAGCAGTTCACCTGTATGTCCCCAAGCCATGCATCTTGCCATCCTTCCAGTAGCCTTGGTAGAAATCATTTTTATGAAGAGTTTTATTTGGAGCGATATATTCTCCATACCTGCTCCCAATGAGAGAGAGAGAAGTAAATGACAATAACTGAAATCTATATAAATTAAATTTGTAAATTTTTTTTACAAACATTTGAATTGGTATTTCAAATGTACAACTTATTTTTTCTGTAATTTTACCTAAACAAAAACCCAAAGCAAAAAAAAAAAAAAGACAATAGACAATTTATGCCTCTTCACTGTTGGCAGATATCAAATTGATCCAAAATAGGGACATCTGGGACATTTCTTGTATAAAACTGGGACAAATCAGTGACTTTGTGTAAAACTGCTGGGACAGGGGACACAGGGCTCAAAACTGGGACTGTCCCGGGTGAATAGGGACGTCTGGTCACCCTAATACTGCACCTTTAAAGCAAAAATGATCAGAAGGATATATCTATATTTTTACAATACATCACAAACCTCTATAAAGAAAAACACATGGTTAAATAATAAACTTTGTATAATATAAGTGTACTCACCCCTCCTCCAAACCGTTCCTGAATTCTCCTGAGTAAATTCTTCCATCGGGCCATTTCAGAACACCCCTTTTAAAACAGCAAAATGCCAGTAATCACTGCACTGGTCAATAATCATTCTGGGTTATAGTAAAAAGTGAAAGTAGTTCAAGTCCAGTACCTGCCGTGGAGTTTGCCTGCCAGCCACCAACCCTCATATGTGGCCTCTTTTAAGCGCCCCTCCTTGTAGAACATGTATGTAGCCGTCCTGGAGACAGGGGGCTCCCAGCTCCCAGAGGAGTCCTGCCCCCCTCCACACAGAGCCTGCTCCACAGCCTGGTTTATGGAACGCAGCCACTTTGTCTGACAAGTGCAAAGAAATTATATTGAAATGAAGGTATAAATTGAGTGTTTTTATATGAATGCTTTGAGGTAGTTGAGAAACCAAAACTTGTAGAATATGACAGGGTTATAATTATAGGTAACACTTTTTAACTATACCTAATTAGCCTTAATAATTCAGGAACAAATAGTTTTAAGAATGATTCAGGCTGCTTATTTAATACCCTAACACTGAATCCTCATCCAATATTTAACAGGCACTGTACCTCATTTTTAGGGTCATAAAAACGTGAAAAACAGAACATGTTCATTTTAAACAACTTGTAGTGGTCCAAAGTTATTCCTCACTGACATACATTCTGAGCATTCTAATTACTCACCATAATAAATTTATAAGACCAAGTTTTTCACAGCTTTTAGAGCCCAGAGCAGAGTTTTGGCATCACACTAAAGCTAATAGAAACTAGCATACTAACCATGCACTTCCGGATTCTCTGACTACTAAAGTAGTGTGACCAGACGTCCTTATTTACCCGGGACAGTCCCAGTTTTGAGCCCTGTGTTCCCTGTCCCAGCAGATTTATACAAAACCATTAAGTTGTCCCAGTTTTATACAAGAAATGTCCCAGATGTCCCAGATTTTGGACCAATCTGATCTGTGCCATCAGTAAAAAGAGACATAAATTGTCATTTGCTTAGGTAAAATATAGAAAAGCTGCTTAAAAGTGTCAAGAATAAAAAGAAAATGTGGCTATACTGACTCATATTAGTGCAGAGTGCATTTTCTTTAATTACGCACTCATTTAACAATTTTATTACCAACCAACCCAAACCAAGGATGTCCCAGGTTTTCATTTTGAAAAGCTGTTCACCCTCTATTAAATGCATTATTACATGCAGACAGCATGCAGTGGAGTTATTGGCCTCAACATGATCAGCATGCATTCCACTAATGAAACTACTGCACATTGCATCAGCTTTATGAAGTTGTAGTGTATTGTTTTGTAACCTGCTTTTGTTTATTGTGGAAAACTGTCGTGCACAAGCATGCGTAGGCTGGTAGGCTGAGCACTGGACAGAATTGTACTGCTGCTAACCCTTAATGAGGGTTCAACTAGGACCCACTTGTTTTTGATGAGGGAACAACATAATAACATGGTAAAAAGCTGCAAAAAGTCCAGCCTGAATCATTCTAGTCAGAAATTGAATTTGTTCATTATGACTTAAAGGGCCACTAAACACCAAAAACACTTTTTCTATTGATTCTCTGCATAAATGGGTTGAAAATAGAAGTGTATCTCTATCACTGGCCTTATTTTGGCATTTTAGTGCATATTTGTGAAACATAGGCCTTTTGGGTCAAAGTCGTGTCTGTAACGGCCTCTTTAGGATCAACTATGGCCAGGACATAAAAATTTTCGGGTTGGACTAACGGCCGCCATTGAGTCAGAAGCAACTTATTACGTGACGAGCGCAGCCACTACGGCGTCTACGGGTGGTACGTGAGGAGCCCCTCTCAGCCCCACCTCTACCTGACACCGCCAGTCATGGCGATGTCCCGCCATGTCTGGAGAAAAGGGAAACGTGTGATCCGAGTGCCAAATGTCCGCTCTGTTTCAATTTGCAGTGCACCTGTCTGCACCGTGTTGGATTGTCGTTGCTGTCACTTGGATATCAATCATGACTCCAGAGCCCACCCCAAACTCGCTCTAACACACTGGACACCGCCCTCGATGGAGTCCATATGAAATCAGTCGCCCTCCCCTATAAGCTATTTCAGATTTGGCTGAAAAAAAATCAAAACATTTCTAAAATTACCAAATGAAAGAATCTCAAATTTTAGCTCAATCCCTTGAGTCGTTTCTGAGTTATGGCCCGTTGAAATTTTGGGGCCATGGTCACTTTTTCTTTCTGAAACCATAATTTATACGCATGTTTGAGAGACCAGAACTTCATAAAAAATAGAGCTAGGAAGCTGAAAATTTGTATTAGTGTAGATTCTTGGTCATATATTATGTATCTTTATTAAGGGGGGCGCTGTGGGCCCCCAAAATCTCACATTTGGTTGCCGCTCAATTTTATTTTATTTTTTAAATTTTTGAGGTCCAAAATCTTTTTACTCCAAGCAGATATTTACAAACTAACTGTTGAACCTGAATATTTGAGAAAATGACAATTTCTGACAACAATCTCACACTTTTCTGAGCTTTGTGGATAGTGTAGAGTCCCAAATATGGTCACAAACTAAATGTGATCTTTTTGGCCCCTTCTTTGGACCCTCGGTGGGCACAGTTAGATGTTGATCAATTTTTTACCAGAGAAACTTTGACATATTCTGATTAGTTTAAAGCAGGGGTCTCCAACCTTTTTCCTCCGGAGAGCTACTTTTTTAAAACAAAGATGACAGAGAGCTACTCATTTTAGCAGTCACAAGAAATTGAGTAAATATATAAGAGCCACAGCGAGCCTTAGATGAGGTATATTTAGATGCCTATAAAACAAACCATTATTCATTTATTAGTGCACAAATTTAGGCATCAAAATGATACATGTACAATGGTAATGGGCATTTAAATAATTAAATTTGACTTATTCAGCATAATACTTGTAATTCAGAAATCCCTTGGCGAGCTACGTGGAAGGGGGTAGAGAGCTACCAGTAGCTCTCGAGCTATAGGTTGGAGACCCTTTGTTTAAAGTAATAAAAATATCTACTATTAAATTCCTTCATTTCAAATGGAATTTTTGAAAATGATCTCTCATGGGTCATTTTTGGTGAAGTTTAGGTACTTTTCCACCTGCAGAAAGGTTCAATTACCTTTAATAGCCTTAAACACTGTTTGCTTGTTATAAGGAAAGGCATTTGGAGATTATTTGTGGTACATTGCTTGTGATGGTTTTGGTGGCACAGTAAAACGCTCGGCTGCAAGACCCAGTCTGCAGACAACTGACAGCAATCAAATACCGCACCCCATATGTTTGAGTGGGCTTCACAAAACATAAAGAATGTGAAGTTCTTCTTTATAATCTCTAAATACATTACAAACCACAAACTTACTTCCAAACTAGAAGAGCGCTATAGCAAGACAAAGACTGAATAGTACTAGATCACACTACAATTTCATTCCAGTGTCAAATGGTAAATTAGAAATGAGGAGAATATCTCAAGATAATTTATGTACTGAAGTGTCAATTTCTGAAATACAAAATGAGATCTGTACCAGCCAAGTCAATACAGTGTATGTATTTACGACAACACGTGGTTCATTGGGAATAATCCAGTCTATGTGAGATTCATGAATGGAGACGAGACAACCCTCATCTGTCCTCTTGAACATAGGTAGAACCATGTTGGGTCCCGTTTTAGCACATAATCTGTTGTAATAAGGAACCAGAAGTTCAAAGAAGAAGAGCACGAAATTATCGCCTTGACACTGCAGATTATGACAGGATCCAAACATTACTTCTGAAGTTCATTAGTAGTTAGGAACACTTAGTGTATAAGATACCAACACAGATGATCTACATGTAGGTGGCAAAGGGACCAGAATGGGCAGATTTTTCCAGTATGTTGACTGAGATTGTTTTTCACACTGAATTTTTAAAACGTAATTTCTAGAAGTTGAACAAATAGCAGACCAGGTTACTGTATTTTGGTAACTTTTGTGGCAGTGTAAATTTTTTCCTTGTTAATGTTACTGCCTTCTTCTAATATTTTTGTGCAAAATTAATACACATATGGTGGTTCTGAAAGTCATGGTTATAGAATCAGAGATTTTGTGATTTAGCAGGCAGAGTATTCCAACTGTAATTTGCCTTTGATCAGTTTTCATGAATACTATCTTAACTTTTGTTGCTTTACTTATACACCATGAAAAGCTGTTTCTGTGTGAGATAACAAATTATCTTCCTCAAATAAAAACTGAATAAATAATGCAAAACAAACTTTTTTTCATAATATTGTACAGAGTTAATAGTTGAATTTTCTCAAAGGATTAATGACACTTTTCCAAGCAATGTACCACAAATAATCTCCAATTGTCTTCCCTTATAAGAAGCAAATAGTGTTTAAGTCTGTTAAAGGTAATTGAATCTTTCGAGCAGGTGGAAAAGTCCCTAAGCTCCACCAAAAATGACCCGTGAGAGCTCATTTTCAAAAATTCCATTTGAAATGAAGGAAGTTAATAGTCGATCTCTTTATTACTTTAAACTAATCAAAATATGTCAAAGTTTCTCTTGTAAAAATTTGATCAACATCTAACTGTGCCACATGGGGAACCGCGAGTTCAAAGAAGGGGCCAAAAAGATCACATTTGGTCTGTGACCAGATTTGAGACTCTACACCATCCACATGAAAGCTCAGAAAAGTGTGAGATTGTTGTCAGAAATTGTCATTCTCTCAAATATTCAGGTTCAGCAGTTAGTTTGTAAATATCTGCTTGGAGTAAATAGATTTTGGACCTAAAAAAAAAAAAATAATAATAATAATTGAGCGGCAACCAAATGTGAGATTTTGGGGGCCCACAGCGCCCCCCTTAATAAACACATACAATATTTGATTCAGATTCAGAATCTGAATCAAAAATTTAATGAAGTTCTGGTCTCTCAAACATGCGCATAAATTAAGGCTTCAGAAAAAGTGAGCATGGCCCCAAAATTTCAACAGGCCATAACTCAGGAACGACTCAAGGGATTGAGCTAAAATTTTAGATTCTTTTATTTGGTGATTTTAAAAGTTTTTAGAAATTTTTTTCTGCCAAATCTGAGATGGCTCATAGGGGAGATTCCTTGAAAACGGCTTATTTCATACAGACAGATTTTTCTGATTTTGCTTAGTGGCGGCGTAAAACTTCGAGAGGGTGTTTAATGGCTCTTTAAGTCTTTTATACTTTATTAAAGCTAATTAAAGGTGTAGTTATGGAAGTGTAGTCTCCATAATAAAAAATTAAATGAAATAATTAAGATTTAAATAATCAAATAACTGTGGTTGTGGCAGTTCTGTGGTACCTTTTCAGCAGAGGAGGTTGCCAGAAGAGTGAAGCTTTCCTCAGGAGTGATCACCTTTAAACCGTATCTGCGTCAAAGCACACACAACCAATCATGTGTTAATAAACAAAGCAGAATTGTGCACGCTTCCTTTGGGTGTTGAGGACACACTTACATGCCAGAGTTGTCTTCAGTGATCGGTTCCACCCAGAGTGTTGCTAAGGGAAAAACATGATGGGTGGAGAACTGGAGAGGATACAGAAAGAGGTCATTAGGTATTTTATGTAGATTTCATTCCTTCATTGTTTCACTGTTAGAGATGTGTTAAGATCTTATATAAAAAAAATAATAAAATTGGATAAAAAAGGCTTAAGAGCTGGTGAATTGCGTCTCTTGAGAAGCTATAGTTCCAAAATATAAGTTTACAATTACGAGAAAAATATTAAACAAATGAATTAAAAAATGTTAGGCCAAAACTGCAAACAGGATTGCAGAGTTTATTTACAAATTATTTCAAAATCACATTTTGTCTTGTGGATCCAATCTCGTGTTTTGGCTCATCTTTTGGAAACTGTGATACTTACAGGGTTTTTATGAGGAGCCACACCCTGGCAGCATGGAAGAGGCACACACACACACACACACACACACACACATGTTCAAATACAGAACACTTTCTAGAATGACAACAATACTTTTGTATTTGTTTGGAGATTCCAATTAGGGCTCGGCGATATGGAAGAAAGGTATCACTTTTTTTCTTCATATTGATCGATCCAGATTTTTAATTTAATTTTATTTGATCTTATTAAACAGAATAAAACAGCTTTCGATACAACTTTCCTGAAACTAAACAATACAGACCTTTGACTATTGCCATTTAAATATCTCTCCAAACCACATATTTTTACTGAGAAGGGATTGGCTGTAGACTTCTCCTTTACAACCATCCCAACTGATCAGTGTCAACTAGAAATGACTGAATCTTGATCTTAATTAAAATGTTATGAACCGCACAGCCCTAAGTAGCAGTCTGTGAGAAATGACCGTCAAACTATGGCAGCCTGTGAGGGTTTAAGTGAAATTGTGACCAGATAGACTCTAGTAGAAACTGTGGATTGTTTCCTGCAGAGGGGGCGGTGAAGTGGACAGACCTGAGCATGCACCAGTGCGTCAGAAAAAAGGATGAACCAGTTGACTGAGAAGCGTCCGGCATTCTGGAGGCTCAGAGCCCTGTTACTGCTCTCACAGACCAGGCGGCGGTGGGGCTTTCGCAAGGAATCCTGGTCAAGAAGGAACACACCAGCTCAAAATGTCATGTCACTACTCACTAAAAAATTTACTTGAGTCACTTTTTAAATTAATTGTACCTGAGACACTATACTTTAACACCTCCGTGAGTAATACTAACCCTATCACAAATTTTGAAGCATGATATTTTGCTACAGAGGATTATAATGATAAACAATAATATCTGAAAGTATTTTATGCCACTCACACAATAAAAATAAAATAAAATAAGACAATCCTAGTGAAGCTTTTTAAAAATTAGTATAATTCAAATGAACCAACAATTAGCTTAACAATTTATTTAACACTCCACAGACTCAAAAATGTATTACAACAAAAACACCTAAAATCTACCCATTAATGCAAACAAAATGTATAGACATTTATTGTTCCAGCTATATGGAACGATAAGTCAATATAGTAATTATCATAACAGGCCTAAGTACTCTAATGCATTTGAAAGTAGCAGTACTCTTACTTGGGTAATAGTAAAAATTTGCTTTCTTTTCCAATTGTAAGTAAGTTTACAAGTGGCAAATGCTTTAAGTTGACAATTTTACATTTTTGTTTCTTGCACTGCTCATTCAGATGAGATTTACTTTTTCTCATGTTTGTGGTTAATCCAAAATCAACTCATTATAAATGACATACACACAGTTATTAGATGTAGTACTTGAGTAGTAGTTTTGCAAATTACTTCAAATTACTAATCATTTTCATGGATTACAACTTGGTACTTCTACTTGAGTATTATTATTTTAAAGCCTTGTTTCTCTTACCCAAGTATATTTTTGGCTACTCTCTACACCTCTGTTCACTGATGTGTTGTGTACGTGTACGTGTATGTGTAAGTACACGGTTGATCCTACCGTCATTTTTCCAGGGAAGCTTTTCCAGAAGTGAAGGGTGGATTCTGCCTCCTTGCGTTTCCTCTTCAGTTGCAAGTTGGCTGCTTCACACCGAGAGCCAGAGTCCAGCAGCCTCTGATAATGGACAGAGCTCTGAAAAAACAACACATAAGAAGAACTGCAGCAGATCATCACATATAGTGGCCGTACCGGCTTGTAAAAGCCTGATCCCATCAGATCTCAGAAGCTAAGCAAGGCCGGGCCAAAAATCAGGTGCCACAGGAGGCGCCAGTGGCAATAAATGTCATTGTGTCATTGTGTCATTAGGCAAGACACTTCACCCACATTGCCTAGTATGAAAGTGGTGTGTGCGTGAGTGATGGTGGTGGTAGGAGGAACCGATGGCGCCGATTGGCTGGCAGCCGCGCTTCTGTCAGTCTGCCCCAGGGCAGCTGTGGCTACAATAGTAGCTTACCATCACCAGGTGTAGGGTGAATGAATCATGCAGAATAATGCTCTGTAACGTGTCTTTGTGACAAAAATGTCTGTGAAAAGCGCTATATAAATAAAAACTTACTTACAGATCAGTATAACATATTAATAACATATAACATAACATAAGATAACATAACATAATAACCTTCCCCGCACACATATACACACACACACACACACACAGACACACAGATAAGGTTCACACTGTCACCAACCCCTGTCATCTTTGTCCCTATTTGTATGTAATGTTCAGTCGTAATGTCTGTCTTGTATCTTGTATGTTGTTTGGTTCCTATTTGTTGTAATCTATGTAGTTTGCAAATAAAAATTATTAAAAAAATAAAAACATAAGATAACATAACATAATAACCTTAAGGTTTAAAAACCCTTTAACTGACAATAATAACATCACAGTTGAATAATGGCACCACTTTCTGGAGCTACTGTCAAAGCATTTATGCATGCTGGCAAAACATTTTTCTTTCTTGTGGATAGGCCCAGTAATTACATAGATGCTAACCATAAACCAGATCAACACATTGTCAGTGTGAGAGTTAAACAACAAACTCCACCATAGAATTCTTACCTGTCCTCTAGCTCAGTTTTAAACAATAGGGAATCTAGAATGTTGCAATGTCATGTGAAGTCAACCTACGTATTACTGGTAAGATTCCTTTCTATTTGTGACGCACCTCTTCAAAACAAGTAGCCAGTTTGAGCAGTAGACGGGCGTATTCTTGTAGATGAAGTGTGGGGAGGTAGAAGAGCGCCACCAGGAGGTCTGTTGTGGTAGGGCTCTCCTCACTGCACTCGGCCAAGCGCTGCAGAAGCTCTGGGCTCTTCCCAAAGATGTCACTGCACACAATACAACCTCAATCTCACTATCTCACTGTTTGAAACATGGTTCTAGTTATGGGTACTTACATTGCCGGCTTTGTGAGAGTCTGAAAACCACCAATGACCTGGAAGTTGCAGAGAATACTGCAATATCTGAAGAAAAGATAAAAATAATAAACAATAATGGGAGCAGTTTAGATTTTCAATTTGAGCAAAGACCTCACATACTCATGGTAACAGTCCACAAACAGCTCAGTGTGGTCTGGAAAGAGCAGAGCGCTGACGTCTTGTCTCTGGCGCAGGTTGGAGGATAGACTGGCTGCGTGCTGACCGCTGAGGTGACACAGCACACTGAAGCGTCCAGCTAAAGACTGCAGGAGAGCAAAGGCCTCTTGCCCCAGGGCCGAGCTCACAGTCTCTGCAAGAAAATAAGTCCATAAAACACAATCTGATATGTAACAGAACAGGGTAACAACCTGGCCTTGTCCAGGTCATTATACAAGGGTCTGACACTCACCTGGCTCCAGCAAGGGCCGTATTATTTGTGTCTTCACAGAGCAGAGCTTGCAGTAGAACTTCCTCTCAGATGAGGCGAACTCATGGAGGCTGGCAGTGTAGCCAATGACCTTCTGATCAGAGACAGTAGCACAGCGCTGTCCGCCCGCACACACACTGCTCACATAGCCCAGCTGTACACAGACACTCAGGTCACAGCTCATTCTCCTACACAGGATGAAAGAGGGGACTTACATTCATGCAGAAAGGCAGGAGCACAGGCTGCTGTGTGTAGGGCCCAGTTCGCTCCCTCTCCTGTGTCTCCAGGCTCTCCTCTAGCCCCTCGTTCACCTGCTGCCCGCTGTAATACAGAATGGGTTGTATACAGTCGCCATCAGCCAGCAGAAGCGTGTGGCTGTCTCCTGCACTGATGTCCCAAACCCGGATGCCTTCTGAAAGCTGCACAAAATGGCCTCTGTATCAGACGATGACTACTATACAAACAACTTGTGTGCAGATTCACAGCCTCCACAGTGAACAAGACACTCACTTTGGCAAGGCGGGGAATGGTACTGGGCAGTTCCATGTGGCCCAGCTGACCAGAGGTGTTACTGCCCCATGAGTACACCTGCACAAGAAAGAATATGTAAGAGGAGGGGCTGTGATGACAGCACTGGTGGGGGAGAGCGAGGCTCTGACCTGGCACTGGGCTGTGAGAGCCACAGAGTGCTGAGCTCCAGCCGCAACGCGCACCACCTCTTTATTGGTGAGACTTTTGATGCACTGTGGCTGTGATCTGCACAAACATTAGAATGATCAAAGCGTTCCAATCAGGCCACAGCACATAGTGCATTATACTGAACCCACCTGTCCTGCTGCTCTCCGTGCCCCAGCTGGCCATGCTGGCCCTGGCCCCAGCTCCACACCTCTGTGTACAGAGAGGGAAGTGTCTCCTGGGCTTCACAGGCTCCACCTACAGGGGTCAAAGCCAGTGCCTGTGTCCTGGGACGCCCTGTCTTTTTCAGCAGCCGGGGAGACACTGTGCACCATGGAGAAATGTGTTCACAGGTGTTTTCACAAAATCACTGTTATGAACTTTTACAATACAGAAAGACACCAACACTGAACATGAGCACAGCCCGAACAGGGAAAGCACAAAGCGAAGCAGGACACCACACAGTGAGATGAGAGGGGCACTTCAGAGCTCTACTTACGCAGCGAGCCATACGAGGAGGATAAGAGGTGAACAGCGTATCTACCCTGAGACAGCAGTCCTGGGAGGGAGAGGCGCCGGCCCGGGCCCCCCGCCTCGTCCTGGATGTCCCCTGTGCTGCAGCTCTTCTTGGCCTGTCCAGAGTCCTGCTCCAGAGGGCTGTCGGAGCCTCCAGAACGGGACAGGCCCGTGGGCAAGTACATGTTCACCATTCTGCGGAGGGACAGGGACTCATAGGTGGAGGCCACACGCTCACCCACAGCTGAGGCACATGACACCACCAGGCTGTTGAGAGAGGAGCCACCTGCAGAGGGAGCCTGTGGGTGAACAAACAGAAAAAATTACTGAAAGCTGGGGTAATCGATTTTCAAATTGTAGGTATTTCTGTCATCTAGTCAGAATTAAACAGCTTGACCTTGTATGTACAAATGTTTATGAGCATAAAGGGCTACAAAGGATTAAGTGGAGAAGATGATTTGGTTTATATTTATTATCTTACGACTGTGGCCTCTTTACAGGAAAAGCCTGAAAACTGGTTAACACTCATAAAACAAAGAATGAACCAAGTCAACAGAGTGCACCCTGTCCTGACAGTTGTTCTTACTGAAGTATCCCCTGAGGACATGGAAATCATGTGAAGTCAACCTAAACATTCTCAGATCTCAACCTCAGATCACATCCCAGCGACTTCTCTTTACTTTTGGCTTTTTTCACTTGGTTCACCAAGGAAAATCAACATTATTCAGTATGCTGTGATTGGATTTGTGCATTGAACTTGGGGGATTTCTTCATTATAAAAATGAGCTCAAATGTGAGATTTGCAAACTATTTTTTAAATTTTTTTTATGTTTATATAATCAACATATTGATCAGCCCTATGTATAAACTTTAAAATGTTGTCATCCCAGCTCAAACATCGGGCTGCCGGAGAACAGTGCATGACATGTTATGTGGTCTTACCAGCAGAGCGTGCAGTCCCTTCCTGCCGTGCGGCTCACTGTGGTGGGACAGTCTCCTCAGGTAATCACTGACTTCCTGCTTGTCTGGATACTGAGAGGTCTTAACTGGAGCTGGAGCAGCCCCGTTCACTGCCTGGGACTGATGTTCTGAGTCCTCCCCATTGGCCAATCGTTCAGACTCTAAGACAGTAGCTGTTGTTTCCCTGCTGCAGGTGGAGGGGGGCAGGGGGTCAGAGGGGGGTGTTTGGAGGGAGGGTGCTGGCTCAGAGGAACCTTGCTCCTGGGGGTGGTCCCCTCTCAAGGGGCAGTAGTGGTTGTCAGAAATGATAACGTGATCCTCTTTGTCAGTCATGGTGTACAGAAGCTGGTGGCACTGACCACACTTGTCCACCGGGGGGCGGTTCAAATCAGACGGCCCGAGGCAGCGCACCAGAGCCAGGCTGTGAGCGCCCCCACAGGCCACCTGGAGGACGTACCTGCCCGCTAGCTGCTCAACCTTCTGGGGCCGGCTCACAGGACAGCCTGTGGCCCCCCAGCTCCACACCTCTCTCTGAGCAGACAGGGCCAGAGTGTGTCTCTCCCCACAGGACAGCTCCAGCACTGGGACCCTTTGAGGGGGCGCAGAGTCCAGCAGAGCCAGAGGGGTGGGGTTAGGCACAGTGCTCAGACCTGTCAAGCCACACTGGCCTGCTGTGTTATCCCCCCACATGTGCACCCCCCCATCCTCTGTCACTACCCCACAGTGGTGGCTCCCCGCAGACACACACACCACACGCTGACCACTCAGAGCGCTTTCCAGCACCGGACTGTGCTCTGGGACCTGGGTCTGACGCCAGGGGAGTCCCCCAAAACTGTGCACCTGCCCTCCTGAAACCACAGCAAGGAGACACATCGTCATATAAAGCTGAGGATCTCTAGTTCTGTTCTATTGAGGCAATAGAAGTTTTAAGATGTTAAAAAGCATTTATTTGTTCATTCAACACTGTTTTAACTACATGGTGTAATAGATGTTTTAGCAGAGTGACACAGCAGCTTATCGGGTCCTTCTGCGGCTCAATTATTTACTTATACTGTTTTTGCTCATGCTGTATGGACATTTGGCCCATCTGTCAGTAATGCAAACTTTTTGTCTTTCAATCCCGAGCAACACTGGTATTTTCCACATAGTATTGGTGACCCCCCCCACCCCCACTCCACAATTAATTATTAATTTGAACCTGTTAGTGACTAGACCCTAGAACTCAAAAATCTACATTTTAACATTATTTATTTGACCAGCCCCACCACCTGTATTAAATATTATTAGCCTATAGAGTTTTGTGTTGTCTGTTGTCTGAAATCCAGAAATATCATTGTTGTTGAACCTTCAAGCAGCAGAAGTCCATGGTGAGCACCGAATGCGACCTGAAGGACAGGCCGGGGCAGGGGCAGCCTCTCTGGGGTTACGCTATAAGAGTAACCCCTCCATGTGTGGAACAGCCCTCTTCCCTCCACACTCTGCTCCTCGGACCTGCAGCACCACAAACACAAGTTTATTTCACTTAGAAGGAGGACCCATCTGTGTGTGTGTGTGTAAAAGCCCCATCTCTGTGGACATTTAATGTTTAGTATGTATGTTTTCTTCCATTAACAACTTCGTAAGCAAAAAATCAAGTGAAGTTGATCGGCTGTACCTCCTCTTCGCCTCTTCCATTGCTGTGGTCAGTTGTCCATCCCCCTCTTAAATGTGCTCAGCAGCTGTCAGATAGAAGCTACATAAATCAGCCAAAACCCAGGACAAACATCCACAAAACACCAATCTATGGGATCAGTTACTCCGATTTCCCTTTAATTCCACGTCCCTGTCAGGATAGGCGCATCTAGACCTTTACTAAACACTGTAAAGAGTTTATTAGCGTAATACTTTCGTTTCATTTGGCTTATGTTGTTTCAAGATAAAACTAGCATGTACTTAGCTGGACTGTGCTAATCCCTCTTGGCATCCAGCTGATTGCTACAGCTAACAACCTAATAATATTTTAGCTCACCTTTCTGCCAGTAGATTGACAATCAAATACAGACATGGAGCAAACCGAAAAGATTAGAGTTAATAATAGCGGTTTCCCAACATTCATCTCGTAATGTTTACAGTGGGCGCTGCTACTGCCAAAGATCAAGAACAAGACAAGAGGTTCAGGCAATGCGCAGCTGCAATCATCAAGCTGAAACGAATTCTTTCCATCACTCTCTGTTTATTCATATATTTTAGTAATGGGCTTATTTGTTTCCATTGTTGTATCAGGGATATTAATGCTTTTCGTGTTGTTTAAACGATTTTAATTGATACCTATCTTGTCTTTTTTCCAGCTCTCTGCAAGTCAGGGAGGTCTACTTCTCTTTGTAGCAGAGTAGTGTAGGACCTCGTTGTTGCCTCCTACGGCCTTGGCAAGTTTGCTCATGTGATATTTGTTTACGATTTCGAAGATTTATTTATAGACAGGTAATGGAGATCGATTTAATTTTTTCATTCATTACTTTTATTTCTTTACTTTTGACAATAGTGGGCTACTTTTTTATTTCACGCACCAAATTTGCTCAGTGTATAAAAGGATAATTACGTCAGGATTGGTCTGAACTGGTTGCCTTCTGGTCAGTGGTTAAATACTCAACAAAACATCTGCCACAGCATTATTGCATTATTTTATTTTCATAATTGTTCATCTGTTTGATCAAGATTTCTGAAAAGCACTCTGACATGAAACCACACAAGTTAAACTGAATATATAATTTGTGTCTTATGCAACAAGGTAACACTGTGATGGCTTCTCTAACAGGTTCATCCCAACTCTGCAAGAGGTATCTGGTGAGAGGGAGGTCCGGACTTCCCTTGTATACTAGCATTCTATAATAAGTGTGTTAAGGTTACATGGACTTACTTGTGTTTTTTCCAAGTAGAGAAAGATATGATCTGACCTGTTTAGGGAACTTAACTGTGCTTTAAGAAATCACAGTTTGGTTGATTGGAGTGTGAAAAATGTAGGTGTCAATTGATTTAATGGATGCTGATCACAGAAATATGTTTCTTTATGAGCATTATTTGAAAGCTGCTCTGAATTGGTGTAAAGTGTCAAAGAGTTTGATGTGAACACAGATAAAGGGCCCTTGGGCAAAGTTCAGTTGAGGTTTATGTCAGCAGTGAATAGGCTCCCACTAACATTTCCAGTGCGGTTCTTGTTTACAATTGCTCGTAGATAACCCTATGCATGAACTGCACCATCAGAGGTACACACTCCTACACAGAAAGCAAGCTCAAGCAGAGTGTATTTAGTGAAGAAAGAGTAATTAACTATTAATTATGAATTTAACAGTGTAAATGCTGTGGTCATTTTAGTTTATAATCCCTTTTACAGATGTAAAATAATGAAAACCACCACAAAATTCCATTTCAACTTAACTTGTATTAAAACAATGCCCATCATACACAGTTTAAACAAGTCATATGACACAATACTATTTTTGCAAAATCCAAACTGACAGCAGGAATTCTCTTTGCCCTCAACAGTTGGTCACGATGATTGTCTTTTTTTTTTTTTTAAAGTTGATTTTCTAATACAAGAAGTACATGGATGAATCAAGATCATGTTTTGAATGGGATTCAAACTTTTTACCTCAAGAGTCAGTCTTTCACTCTTGGGGTTTCTTTTGACACATCCAAAGGCCATGCTGTAGACCAGGGGTGGCCAACTAGTAGAAGACTAAGAGCCACTTTTTTTTTCTGTGTTACTGCAAAGAGCCACATCATACACATGGGTACACATGAACATCATCCCATTTCTTAATCATGTATGCACACGCACGCACGCACACACAGACCTATGCTCAGCCAGATTTAATGAAAATAACCACACCAACATGACACGTGCTATGTTCCAAGCCAGTTGATATGATGCAAGCGTTACGGTCTCCGAGTGTTTCGTAAATTTTTGGAAAAACTGCATCTGCTTTTCTGCCTGACTTTTCAAAGCGACCAACTTGTGCTTGCGAAGTTCAGTCCCTTTTGGAAATTCCTGTTCGATGTTAGGATGGAGTGAGCTGAAGTGACGCTGAAGATTTGAAGCTTTGAAATGCGCTAATGCTGCGTGACATATAAGGCAGATCGGCTTGCCATTACGTTCAACAAAAAAATATAAACTCTCCCACTCTGTCAAAAACGTCCTGTGTTCTTCTTCATATTTTCGTTTGGCTGTGCTTTTTTTCCCTGCCATTTTGAGAGCTAACATGATGGAAATTGTTTACAACGCAAATTATGTCGCGCCAAAGATTCTCTTGTCGCGCGTTTGACGTCACTCAAACAGGCTTACCTGATCAGCGTGCCATCTAGCCGTAGGGGGAATGAATGGTAACGCCAGCCAAGCATATTTGACGCATGTTATGTGAAAGCTCCTGAAGAGCCGCATGAAACTAGTTAAAGAGCTGCATGAGGCTCGGGAGCCACGGGTTGGCCAGGCCAGCTGTAGACAGTTCTTTGAATACAGGTGTAAACTTTATGAGAGTTTGAGGACCAAGTGCCCTTAAGTGTTCACCAAATTCAGCCAGGTCAACAATGACATACAAAATCTTTGTCCTTTCCACTTCAGTCACAGGTAGAAATGCCGTCCAGGCTCAACCAGCAAGAAATGTGTCCATACCAATCTGTAAATAAAATATAGAATAGAATAAATATAACATATTCAAGTAACCACCTTGCAAAACGGGCTATGTAATATTTAATGAGCCATGAATAAAAATTAAAAAGTAAATTCACAGTAAATATATTATGGTGCATATTAGGGATGGGCATGATTAATCGATTAATCGATAATTGATCATTAAGAATTTCATCGATTACGTTCATTTAATCGACAAACCGAATGTAGGTTGCTGTGCGTAGCGTGACCAAACAGGGTCTGTACATGTAACTCTTTGCACTCAGAAGGAGCGAGCAAACACAAACAGTCGGTCAGCCTGCAGCGTACCGAAGCACAAATGTGTATTTAACGATGATTGTACAAGAAATTCCACGCTTTCCGTTGCGTTCGGGACAAGTGTGAGTCCATGTGCACAGTGTACAAAGCAGGAACATATGTTTCGGTGTCCAGTGGGAAAAAGCTTTACCAGGTGAGAGTCGCGCAATGTCGATGACGAGTCCCTACCTCCCTCCCCCCGTACGGTGTCCTGGTTTTGACAAACGCAAATATGGTCACACTAACCTGTATTCCACTGAATCATGTCTTTTAATCCGACAGAAATTGACCGCATCAGCGACACAAGAGCTGCAGTTTTATCTTCGCTGAGTTTATGCAAATTAGCGATGCGGTTTTAAGTTTCGTTTCTGTGAGAGCTGCGCAAAACTGAATTAAACACATTATAATGTCAAACGGATTGATGTGGCTCTAGCGTCGTTACGGTTTATATGTCGTAAAGTTGAATTTATTTATGCAGATTAGTAATGCAGATAGTAATAATAATGATGATCATTTTAATATAAAAACGTTAATGATTAATCGATAATCGATCGTTAATTCTTTCGACGATCGATTAAGAAAATTTCATCGAATGCCCATCCCTAGTGCATATATCATTATTTGTTTGATCCTATTAAGCAGGTTATTCTGTTGCATGAGCTGTATGCTTTTGTATACAGGAACTATTCAAATAAATAACTTGAAGGTTAATTTGTAGCCCCTTAGAAAAGATAATTTTTAAATGCAAGACCCACAAGAAACAAAACACCTAAATGCCATTAATCACGAAAATAGAATTAGATTAAGGCAAAAATTACAACTACTTAGCACATATATAAAATTAAATTAGTCAATTATGAAATTATTGGTGAGGTTAGATTTCAGTTCTACATTTAATTACATTTCATGACATACCTGCAAATATTTGACAAGCTGGTTAATGCTTTGAGCCTTCATCTTTCCACTGTGGGCCTTATAGTCCGGTTCCTTATTGTCATTTTTTGACCTTAGTGGGAAGTTTTTGGGGATTTGCTAACCTATATATTTTTGGAAAGGTTATAGTATATGGAGTCAGAAAATCAATGTTTGCATTTGCCCAGATGTCTTTATGGCAGCCATATTGGATTTTGAAAAAAATGGCCGCCAAAAATCTCTTTTTGGAATATCTCAGCCTCTGAATAAGTTGAAATGTTGATTTTTAACTGCTAAACCCATATTTTCAGGGTCAGGGAATCAAATGGTGCTAGTTACAAACCTGTAAGACCTACCCACATTAACCCTTAGATGCATAAGTGTGTCAAAAATGACCCGATTTGGTTGTTTTCTTGCAATTTCATTGTGATATTTGCATGTAATTCTCCATGTTCCTCCAAAAACATGTTTTTTTTAATTATCCTGTTGAAATACTTCAACAATATGGGTAAAACAAACTATAAACATCACATGCAGTTGGTCAGATAACTCAAAGAGTTTAAAAGTAGCTAACATTAAATGTGTATGTTGGATGTCAACACACACATTTAGACACAATATGATTATGCAACCTTTTATTAGACATTTTCTATACATCATCATCATCATCATCATCGACTGTATATATATATATGAGTGGACAGATCTAACCCTGTAGCTGCCATGTGCCAAATAGAAAGTTCTCCAGGAGGCTCTTCCAGCTCCTTCTGACTCTGGCTCTGACTTACTTTAGGACCTTGTGGCTCCTCTCTCTGTACCTACTGCTGTGAACCTTGACATTTTGGTCTTAAAATGTTTGTATGAACCTGCTCTACATGATCCTAATTTTTTATTTATTTATTTTTTGCTATTTTGTCTGTCATAAAAATCCTTTTCATAATATAAATCCCGTGAGCGGATGAGATCCGTCCTGAGTATTTCAAGTCTCTGGATGTTGTTGGTCTTGGCTGACACGCTTCTTCAACATCGTGTGGCGGTCGGGGACAGTACCTCTGGACTGGCAGACCGGGGTGGTGGTCCCTCTGTATAAGAAGGGGGGACCGGAGGGTGTGTTCCAACTACAGGGGAATCACACTCCTCAGCCTTCCGGTCTGTGCCAGGGACAGGAGAGGAGAATCTGACCGTGGTTTTCGTCCCAGTCGTGGAACACTGGACCAGCTCTACACTCTCCATCGGGCGCTCAAGGGTTCATGGGAGTTTGCTGAACCAGTCCACATGTGCTTTGTGGATCTGGAGAAGGCATTCGACCGTGTCCCTTGTGGTGCCCTGTGGGGGGTGCTCTGGGAGTCTGGGGTTCGGGGCCCTTTGCTAAGGGCTGTCCGGTCCCTGTATGACCGGAATAGGAGCTGTGTTCATTGCCGGCAGTAAGTCAGACCTGTTCCTGGTGCATGCTGGACTCTGCCAGGGCTGCCCTTTGTCACCGGTTCTGTTCATTGTATTTATGGACAGAATTTCTAGGCACAGTCAGGGGCCGGAGGGGCCGGTTTGAGGACCACAGGATCATCTCTGCTGTTCGCAGATGATGTTGTCTTGTTGGCTTCATCAATCCAGGACCTGCAGCACTGGGGCGATTTGACCCGTGTGTGAAGTGGCTGGGATGAAAATCAGCTCCTCCAAATCCGAGGTCGTGGTTCTCTACCGGAAAAAGGCGTCTTGCCCTCTCCGGGTGGGTGGAGAGTCTCTGCCTCAAGTGGAGGAGTTCAAGTATCTTGGGGTCTTGTTCACGAGTGAGGGGAGGACGGAACATGAGATTGACAGGCGGATTGGTGCAGCGTCTGCAGTGATGCAGTCACTGTATCACCATTGTGATGAAGAGCAAGCTGAGTCGAAAGGCAAAGCTCTCGATTTACCGGTCAATCTATGTTCACCTATGGTCATGAGCTCTGGGTAATGACCAAAAGGACGAGATCGTGGATACAAGCACTTGAAATGAGTTTCCATTGCAGGGTGGCTGGGCGCTCCCTTAGAGATAGGGTTAGAGCTGCTGCTCCTTCATGTTGAGAGGAACCAGATGAGGTGGCTCGGGCATCTGTTCCGGATGCCTCCTGGACCACTCCCTGGATAGGTGTTCCGGGCATGTCCCACCGGGAGGGGAAGACCCAGGACACACTGGAGGGACTATGTCTCTCGGCTGGCCTGGGAACACCTCGGGGTCCCCCTGGAGGAGTTGGAGGATGTGTGTGTGAAGAGGGGACTGCTGCCCCCGCAACTCGACCCCGGATAAGGGGAAGAAATGGAATGGAATAATATAAAGTCTGACTCCATATTCACTCCTGTAACCGTGAACATCATGAGCCTCATTTGAGCGGCGCTGAACACTATGGGTGTATATATATATGTCGGATCATATCACAACATCTTCAGGGCCTTTGCGAATACCCTGTGATAGCAAATATAAGCAAGACCACAGCGTCAAAACATGAGCAGGACACCCCTATTTGGACGACCCAGGAACCGGAGCTCGGAGCCCATGGCCAGGCCAGAGCTCCGAGGTGGCAGAGCTCGGAGCACATGGAACTCGTAGCCCGGACGGCCGTGGATCTGTCCATCTTGTTGAACAGTAGCTAATGTTTATTAAACAAATATATAAGTGCATGTGCGATTTGCTTCATTTAGTTTTCTTTAAATAATTCATGTCATGATGGCCAGAAATTGGTCCTAGGCCCAGGGTCCAGGTCCACGGTTCACCACAGCCAAGTACAAAGGTGACTACAGAACTGCACACCAGAAACTAAAGATATAGCCTGTACCGACATGTGTCAGTGCAGCAGCCAGTGCCAGAATGATGATGATTCCCAAGCCGTGTTGTTGCATAGACTGTATAAAAGAAGTGGACTAAGTGAGTGTGACCCACAGAGTTCAGCGCTGCTCAAATGAAGCTCGAGATGTTCATTGTTACAGGAGCAAATCTGGAGCCAGACTCTATATTATGAATAGGATTTTTTTGACAGACAAACTAGCAAAAAAAAACTAAAAAACAAAACAAATTCAGGATCATGTAGAGCAGGTTCATATAAACATTTTAAGACCAAAATGTTGAGGTTCACAGCAGTAGGTACAGAAAGAGGAGCCACAAGGTCCTAAAGTAAGTCAGAGCCAGAGTCAGAAGGAGCTGGAAGAGCCTCCTGGAGAACTTCCTATTTGGCACATGGCAGCTACAGGGTTAGAGCTGTCCACTCATATATACAGTCTATGGTTGTATGAAAATGATGATGATGTATAGAAAATGTCTAATAAAAAGGTTGCATAATCATATTGTGTCTAAATGTGTTTGTTGACATCCAACATACACATTTTATGTTAGCTACTTTTAAACTCTTTGAGTTATCTGACCAACTGCATGTGATGTTTATAGTTGGTTTTACCCATATTGTTGAAGTATTTCAACAGGATAATTAAAAAAACATGTTTTTGGAGGAACATAGAGTATTACATGCAAATATTACAATGAAATTGCAAGAAAACAACCAAATCGGGTCATTTTTGACCCACTTATGCATCTAAGGGTTAATGTGGGTAGGTCTTACAGGTTTGTAACTAGCACCATTTGATTCCCTGACCCTGAAAATGTGGGTTTAGCAGTTAAAAATCAACATTTCAACTTATTCAGAGGCCAAAAAGAGATTTTTGGCAGCCTTTAAAAAAAAAAAAATTCAATATGGCCACCATAAAGACATCTGGGCAAATGCAAACATTGATTTTCTGACTCCATATACTATAACCTTTCCAAAAATATATAAGTTAGCAAATCCCCCAAAAAATCCCCCAAAAGTATAAAGGAACCAGACTATTAGAAGCTGGGGATGCATGTGAACCAGCAGCAAGACACTTGCCCTAAAGAAAATACAAAAAAAGAATGTATCATTACTCTTTTTGACTAAAGGTCAATAGCTTGTTAAGACATTGTATTGGGTTTTATTTTTACTGAATACTACTATAACCCAAATGGGGCAGACTACTTAAAAACACAGGTAAGGACTGCACGTGGTGGTTAAAATGAGGTAATGAGACGTTTTAAAGAATTTAACAATATTTATTTACAAAAGTATAAGTATGTGAGTCCAAGCTAAAAACCGATGCAAATCAGCAGACTATAAAATATAGGGTAGGCTACACGCGGCCGCACCCGGTGTGAGCAGCAACCACCTGGGATCGGAGTATCCACCGGGCTCCGTGAAACCCACCCACCCACCCTGGACTTAAGGCTTGTTAGGTTCAGGTTTTGCTGAAAAACAAACGCTATTAGCTGTTATCTTAGCGCTGTAAGCTGTTAGCTTAGCTTCGGACGGTGAAATGTGGCTCTCCCTCTCTCCGACTGTAGCTCCCCCGCTGGAAACGTTACAAAAACCCAACACTAATGTAGTGTAACATTCAAAATAGACACTTTCTAAGTGTTTGACGTTAACGCTGTGAACCAACGACTACTCATTTTATGTCAACACTGTGAATCAACAACTAATTATTTTACTCTATAGCACTGTCATAGTTGAAATAACTCTTGACTATGTTGAAATATATCTGGATTTTGTTTTACTCACAACAACACCAACACACATGTGAATTTAACATTTGTGAATTTGCTATGTATAGAAGTTCTGTCAAAATGTTGAGTGTTTGTGTCTTTGGGTCTTGTACAGATATAAGTCTTATAAACTCATGTTGCACTCTATCCTCTCATTAGAACTCTCTGACTACACTCATGTTCTTAACTCAACACAATTTTTCTTTTTTCCTACCTTATACAGCCTATTACAGCAAAATCCCATATTCCTGAGCACTCTGGGTCTTGATTAAGTAATAAGTTTACAATCAAAGGAGTCACTGGAGTTTTCGTTTTGTACTTTATTTGTTTGACAAAGACAAATAAAAAGTGTATAATAATATTCTACATGCGATGGTCCCGTTCCAGTGTCCTGGAGCTACTGTGCATAGAGCATTTGCCGTCTCATGCTGTACATGGGGCTGAGGGAGAAAAGGGCGTCCGTCAGAAATGTGGGCAGGAGGGGGAAGAGCTTGAAGAAAGGCAGCTCTGTGGGTGGGACTAGCAGGTACCTGCGGCAGGGTCGTGTGGAGGTCAGGGCGTGCACCATGGCCTGTATCACAGGCTCAGTGCTGCCACTGCCAGAGCGGCAGGAGGACGTGAAGTACTCATTGGCCAGGTCGATGTACTGGCGGTTAAAGGTGCGCTGGCGCTCCTCGTCCAGGCGATCCCAGATGTCCGCGCCCGTCCTCACTTTCACTATGTTTGTGGCCTGGCCAAAGTTCCCCGGCTGAATGATACTCACCTAAGGAGAAGGACAGCTGTGAGTGAGCTGCTCACTGACCGAAACACTCAACAACACAGTGTATGAGACGTGTGGAAATAGCACAAGTTTAGGCAGAGAATATAGATCAGTCAGTGCAGTGAGGAACATATTACTGAAGTATTGTGCATGACTTACTTTGACCCCAAAACTGGCCATCTCCACTCGGAGGCAGTCTGCAAAGGCTTCCAGGCCCCTCTTGGATACGCTGTATGCCGCCATGTTGAGACATGTGAAGAAGGAGAAGATACTGGATACAAACACCATACGCCCTGTTGGACAAACCGGTCAGCCTCACTTCAGAAACACTAAGACCTTTACATATACAATATAATCCATATAAATAATATAGAAGAGGAGGTCTCAGGGCTCACCTTTGGCCGCCCGCACAAGGGGCAGGAGGGCGATGGAGGTGCGAATGGAGCCCATCAGGTTCACATTGAGCATGTTCTGGAAGTCCTGAGAGGTGCTCCACTCGATCTCTGCCCAGTCTGAGACCCCAGCATTGTTCACCACTGCCCACAGGCCTGAGCACAGGCACAACAATAACCACTCACACTTATTTATTATAGCAATTGGCCTTTATAAGTTAGGCCTACTCTAATAAAAATCCTATAGTTATCCTAAATAATTTTGGTAACATGGCAAATGGTCACACAGTGTATTTTCTGGTGGTTAAACAGTCTTCCTCTGTGATGGTTACAATGAATGAAATGTGCACTGTGTAAAAAATAAAAATAAAAAAAACAGTAGGGAGGATACCTTTCTCCGGCAGGTTTGCTTGGACCATTTTCTTGGCGTGCTGGACGTCCTGCTCAAGGGTCACATCCAGTTTGAGGAGCCGGAGTTTAGAGGAGCAGAGGCGGGCCAGGGTCTGCGCTCCCACTCCTTCGGGCTGCAGACACCCGGCGAAGACCACAAAGCCCCTCCGGTCCAGCGCGCGAGCCAAGTGATGTCCAAACCCGCTGTCACAGCCAGTGATGAGCACTGCGTAACCCTGACACTTCATCCCCGGGCCGCGGTGAGGCCAGAGCCGGGACAGAAAGAAGAGGAGCAGGCCCAAAGTGGACACTACCCCGATGATCTGACCAATGAAGACTGTGTTCATGTCGAGTCTGTGTACTCTATGCCCCGCACCGTGTCTTTATACAGCTCCATGCTTCCACGATTTCACGGCCCCTCTGCGACGCTTCATGTGATTCAAAGCACTGATTTACAAACTTGAGGTTGAAGAAAACACTTTTTATAATGCAGTTATCACAACGCATCACTCCTTCCCTTTGACTCAGCTGCCTGGGGCACTTTACAGGCCTGTTATCTTCTGCTTTTCAAAATTTTGGAAGTTACGAGGACGATTTTCATAGAATGCATGAGCAGACACAGTGTGTGGAAAAGTGGAAAGTAGACCTGTTATGGAAAAATGACAATCCAGGCTATATTCAGGACCCAATCATTTCTGTAATAAAATGATTTGCACAAGAAATGTGACTACAGTGAGCTACAAACAAAAGGCCCATGCTGGCTGGAGACATAGGCCTATGTTAACGTAGGCTATGGTCTGGATAAACAGCAACAGAAATGCATACATTAATAAAAACAAACCATTAAAAACTGTTCAAGAGGTTAATTTGGTTTTTCTTTATCGGCCATACAAGTGTGCAACAACTAAACTCAAGTGGACACAAATTAGGTGCACGATTCCTTGAAAATAGAAATAAAAAGATTTTCCAGTGCAATTAAGAAAAAAAAAAAAAAAGCTGTGAGCTGTGAGGCTTGAAATGTTAGTCTTATATTTAAAAAACAAAAAAACAAAAAAAAAAACATGGAAAATATTCAACATGGCCTCAGTTACATGAAAATCTGAGTCTGACTTACAGATTTGGGGGAAATTCTACCTATGATACAGCTACCAGTCTGTTAAAGTATACTGCAGTGTTTTCAGTTGAATTAGCTACATTAAAAATATGACTACTTCCTTTTTACAATTCTAATCTGTGCATTAGAATCACTTTAGCACCATAATATAAACACACTTTACATGAGTGTCAGTGTTCAATGTTAATTATAGTGGAAATGCAAAGTCTTCATTTTCCAAACAAGAGTCATTGCTCGGCCTGTGTCTGCAAACTTCATTTTCTGAAAAGGTCCACTCGACGTTGAAATGAAGACATAACAAAACTCCATATTTTCCTTTTTATTCTGCTGATTTGACGTGTGGTTTTAGTCCAGCAGTCTTTCAAGTCATATTATTTATGTTCTTTCAGTCCTTTTTTCTGAGAACGAAATGTTTGGACCAGTGTACACAACACTCACAGTTGTTTCTGCCCTTGTGACCCACAGTAACAGGCACCAGGAGGAGGGGTCTGATCAGGTCTCAGCTTTGCCAAATGTGCCGCTGGGGGGGCGGTAGGGTCTGGGGAAGGCCTTCAGCTGCAGAGAGTTAAAGGCATATTTTCTGGATCCAACATTCTTCTGCGTGTTCTCCCGACGGCAGCCCTCACTGACGGACACAAAACAACACTGGATTCATTGCCACAAACAATCACAGTGTAAGAGCATGTGCACTACATGTACAAGAGCTTCATTCAAGTTTGGTTGTTTATCTTTATTTAGTATTGTAAAAACAAATCACCTGATGCTTATTGATCTTTATTGATTATGTAAATGTATTGATCTTGCAATTAAATAATGAACGATACAAACGCATTTTTTTATTTAAAATAAGCTGCAATGTTGAAGTACAGTGACTTGTGCATGTTCATGAATAGACAGTGCCCACTATATGATCCCATGAGCCACAGGCAAAAGCTGCTGTTCTAAGCATAGGTACTATATAAGCACATTGAGATTTAAATATGTGATCGATCTAGTCCGACACCAGAGGACGACCCAATTTGCTACAGATATTACAGAGAAATGACAGAGCAGAACTCTCCATGGCAGAGGGCCATGACCGCTTTGATCCTGAATACCAGATCAGCGGGTTTGAGTTGTTCTAAATCCTGATCATGAGACACAGTTACAGTTTCCATGGTTTCTGCTCCTGCCTATGCTCATAGTGCTGCAGTATCTACATATACCCTCCTGTAATAGATGTAATAGAGCAGAGAGAGAAAAGGAGATAAGAGAGAAACAGAAAGCAGAAAGAGAAACAGAAAACAGAGAGATAGAGAGAAGAAGACAGAGATATAGAGACAAGAACAGACAGAGAGAGAGAGAGACAGAAAGAGAAAGTAAACAAAATAACATCCCACTGAGAAAGCTACATGATTGATTGAAGATGTTTTTGATTTGCTTAGATGTTCCACAGTATGGAATTAAGGTTTACTTTTTATTGCTAAAATCACTGAAAAACATGCATTATTGCTGTGAGCGTGATCGCCTCTCCCCAGATCTGACCTGTAACGTCACACTCTTTCCTACATACAGATAGATAGGGTTTTCTGCCATACTGTGGAACACGCCTGACAAAGCTGTAACATGTCCACCAGAAGGCCCTCCATTGGAAAGTTACATAGTGCATCTTTACATTTGATATTTTTTTAAGACATCATTTATTTTTGTAGATTATTGTTCAGACATATATAATACTTAAATGTATAGTTACTATGTGCCCAAAGCTTTGGAACACTTCCTCCGACCTGTGTGTCATAACAACTCTGAAGTGTTTCCAAGTACAAATGCTTGCTACTCCACTGCTGCAGTATTTAGTGAGGGACAGCAACAAAACTAGGACAAGTTTCCATATCAAATGATTTCGTTGTATAGGAGGTTCCAGGAAACAGGGAGCCAAGAGGAAAAACAGAGCAATAATTTATGTATGAAGAGGTATAGTTAGTAGTTATGGAAAAAACATGATTCACAGCAGGTTAGGATGGAGCAGCAGCTATATTTAAATGCTGAAAAAACTATATAAAAGGTGCAGTACGTAACTTTTCTGTTAAAGAATTCGCCACGTGTGCCATGGAGATGCTACTGCTTTGCTGGGAATGTTGCACAGTATAGCATTAAATCTATTTATCTGCTATTTATTCAACAGGTGGTTTTGTTGCCACCTGCTTGTGACATACAGAATTACACATACAGTATCTTTGGATGTAAATAAATTTAATGCCAGGCTATGGAACATTCTAGGCAAAGCATTACTTCCTCCAGACCCTCCAACCTGGAAAGTTAACCAGTGCACGTTTAAGGTTAAATTAGTCTATGATTGTTTCAAGCCCATGTACTTAGGGGAGTTGTAGGTTGGATTCCAGCTAATTATATACAAACAAGCTCCGTAATGCTGTTTTTATGAAAATTCTGTGAAGAGAGATACCAGGAAAGTGCCATCAGCTGGTGCCTCGCTGTATCAGTGGAACAAAGGGTGCGTTTACACTTGCACATTGACATCAAAATTGGGACTAAACCTGGACTAGACCAAGAATAAACAAGGACTAGAACAGGACCAAACCCTAGTCCATATTGGAAGTAAACTGGGATTATATCACAGACCTGCAAACTCCTCAGAGGAAAAAAGGTGACGGGGGTGGTATAAAAGTAACAAATTACTGTTATACATTGCTTCTTGTTGTAACGCAGTAATGTGGTGTTACAGGGGTAAAAATTTAATATTTTACTCGGTACAAATGTTAGTAACGTGTGCCACAATGCTTTTTTTAACCTGGATTGAAGTGGTGGGTTTTTCGTTTTTCTTCATACAAATTTGCTAAAATCGCCAGAGACGCGCCCACGTAAACCATCAGGTAAGCCCGGACAAAAGGACCGACGCAGAGCTCCACGCTCCACGGGGCGAACCTCAGCTGATGCCCGATCGCGCCTCGCAAACACCCTGTCTGCAAGGCGCTTCCAAATTCTAGTCCAAGATTAGTCCTGGTTTGGTCCTGGTTTAGTCCTGGTTCAGTTCTGGTTTAGACCTGGTTTAGACCTAGTTTAGTCCTGTTTTAGACCTGGTTTAGACCTAGTTTAGTCCTGGTTTAGTCCTTGGTTCAGTCCTGGTTCAGCTCTAGTTTAGTCCTGGTATAGACCAGACTTGCGCTTGCGTATCCAAATATGCACGTCTAGTGCGTGCAATGGAGCTGCCCTCATTCACTTTCCATGCATTCTAAAAGATGCAGTTTTTACACTCGCGTAGGGCAAAATAGGCATGCAATGGAGCCAGGCCCTAATCATGGGATCTGTGCGGCTGGTACCGCTGTGATGCAAAACATCCCGATAGAAACGCGAAACCCATTTGGTTGGTTATACGTTGTTCTGAGCGGTTTGTCCTTCACACATTTGGCTCTTCCTGGAGAAAGCGCTTCTCAGACTGTGGCACCTAACACTGCTCCCTGACCTGAATCGGAGCTGCTCCCGCTGGTTCAGGACTCTGGTTTGGATCGCTGTTCCCCAGTTTGTATGGGTGTGTCCCCAAGCTTAACGACAAACCGTGATGACAGAAAAGCCCGTAGCAGCTTAAGTGTGTGTTTTCTTCCGGTCGACGTAAATATGTTGGTGTCCCTGTCCAATCAGAACCCTTCCCCACCCCCAGACGCTGAGCGGAATTAAATAAAGACGATTTAACGTATTTTCCATGTAAACCTCAATTCGGAATTATTATTTCCATTTAAACTGGAAGGAGTTTAAACTTGAAGGAGTTTAAATGGGGAAAAAAAAACAAAAAAAACAAAACAAAAGCGTGCGATTCACGTGAGGCGATTTTGCGAGTTTGCAGGTATGATATCAGGACAAAAAGAAGTGTGAATCCATACAATCTTCAGAAAGTCATTGAAAACCCAGAATTCCCAGGAAAATTCCAAATAATTGTCTAGTTTTTGATATGGTCCAAGAAGAGTCCAGGTATAGTCTTGGTCTAGCTGGTCCTACTTGCGGTGGAGTCACAGAATTGGTTGATTGCCAATGGTCTCGTTTCAGACTACTCCCAGGTATGGTTGTCATAAGTAAGAAAAATCATATATTCATCGATACTAAAACCAGTATTGAAACTACACATTCTATTAGTCCAATGAGGTTTCTTCCTAATTTATATTATTAAGTTCTTTTTTCAAACCAAGAGTTTGTTTTCATAGCTGACAGTTTGTTCTGTTCCCTGTGCTCTTCCTCACTGTGACGTGATGTTGCTGTGACGTGTCCCGTTAGCTGATTTAAACAGGTTTTGGTGCCATCTTTCTTCTGAAGAAGGGAGGACAACAGCGCCACCTGCAGTCCCATTTCCTCAGGACAGTATCCCAGGTGTGTGAGAGTAAAAAAGCCCCTCGTCCCGGTTTATAGTCCTATGGGCATGTTTCAGTGTTTCAATTGCCTCTTTAATCCAGAGATGGTATTAGGTTTCCTCTGTCCCAGTGATGTTTGCTCCATCCCAGTCCAGAATGTGGCTCTCTCTTTTATAGTGTCACAAACGGACAATTTGAGTTGTTCCTGTTCTGCTTTATGTTTTGTTACTCATGTTTCGCCGTCACCGTTTCCTTCTCACATTCTGTCTTATGTTCCTTTGTTCGTGGACTGAACGCCCTCCCCATTTCCCCAATGTGTTTTATTGCAGGACATACAGAGTATTTTGTATATGACATTACATTTATGCTCTGGATCCATTTTATCTTTTGTGTGGACGAGTAATTGCCTGAGTTTTTCGTACAATATGAACACTGGTGTGTTCATATTCTGTTTTCTCCTTTGCCCTCTGCACTTTTTTTGTTATACCCCTGATGAACGGTAATGTTACCATGCCTGTGTTTTTCAGTTTTTTTTTCATTTTCTGGCTGTTTTTTTCATTCTCTACCTCAGTAGGTAGGAACTGTAGGAAGACAGCACCAAAACCTGTTTAAATCAACTGAGCGGACACGTCACAGCGACATCACGTGACTCTGAGGAAGAGCGCAGGGAGCAGTCCAGACTGTCAGGGATGAAAACAAACAAGTGTTTTTTTTATTAGTGTCGTGGCATCAGAATCTGTACTGAGTATCAAATTTATTCTTTAGTATCAAAATCAAGTGAAATTTTAGTATCGTGACAACACTACTCCAGGATTGAGCTAACTGAAGTCCTGTTCTGATCTAGTCTCATTTCGTCCATGGTCGTGTTTCTGAAGGATGTCTGGAGGGTCTATTGGCAGCGCAGTCGGGCCAGGAGGTAGGTGAGGCTGAGGCAGAGCCAGAGCAGGAGCAGGTGGGGGCTGAGGGCCAACAGGGGCAGAGAATACAGGAGGCTGGGGTCCAGTCGAATGTCCCGCACTGGCAGAAGTCCACTCAGGTTCTTCTGGATGACCCCTTCCCTGGTCCCCACGCTGTCCCACGTTCGAAGCGCACAAGGCGGGAAAGAACAGAGGGTGGATGGGGGTGGACGAGAGGGTATGGAGAGTATGGAGAGTATGGAGAGTATGGGGAAACCAACAGGAAAGCAAGTGGCAACATAGGAAGAAGAAATGAACAGCAAGAAAGGAGGTTAAAATATGAGTCCGAAAAATAAAATAAAAAATGGAAGGACCCAAAATGTGGAGAGCAGGAGAGAGAGAAGAAATTTGTTAAAATGAAAGTAAGTAAGAAAAGCACATGCAATTGCCCCATGACCAACCAGTGTTTTGGTGCAAGTTTGGTAAATAAATGTTAAATAACTGTTAAATACCAATAAATTCTAATGTACTTATATTAAACCTTACATATCACCTATAGGAAAATACTATGATTTAATGTCGGTTATGATTGAATGTTTTATTGTCTAATGAAAGACTGTGTTATTATAATTGTGGTATCAGAATCTGTCTTGAGTATTCAAGTTTGAAATTTTTGTATCGTGACAACACTACTGAACATACAGTACATATGTTTATTTACTAAGAGTATAGCTGACTTAAATAAAGCATTGTTCACTCTATAATAACTACACAGTAATATAAAATGTTGATAATGGTATCATGAAGCAGATAGAGATAGTATTTTAATAATTGTTCATGCATAAGAAAGAATTAAACTATAATGTCATGCTTTACGACTAAAGTAAAGACAGAAGGGGGGGAGAAGAGGAAGAGAGAAATCAACATGCAAAAAGATTGTGATTTATATGGTTCATGAACTGAATACTGAATATCTGGTGCCCTCTTCTGGTAGTTTAGATAAGTTTGTTAGAAAATTTGAACACTGCAAAAATAAGAACGATGTATGATAACGAAAGATACATTTTTTTTGTTTTTTTTCCACTTGGCATTTAGACTATAACTTTATCATTAAAATTAATTATAAATATGCTGCACAACAGATTTATTTGCTTATCCACAACTATCGAACCTTGTCATTATTTGTTAGGGATTGGCTCCACAAACTTGCCATATTAGTTTAAAGGTTTTTCAGATGTCACAAGTCGCCTTTGAGACTGAATAATGACACCACTTTCTGAAGCGATTGTGAAAGAATAATTTCACTTTTGTTTATATACAGTATGCTGACAAAGAAGTTGAAGGTGAACTTTGTGACAATTGTGTTTAGTTTCATTCACACGTGTTTAACACACAAACTCTGCAGATTTAGGCTCTTATCTTCTTCTCTCTAATGTCATGGGGAAAGTGCTCCACTTTGTTTTTAAAGAACCACTAAACAGTAGGAAAAAAGTGATTTTGGTGATTAGCTGTGTAAATGGGTCTAAAATAGAAGCGTATCTCTATCCTTGGCTTTTTTTGGCATTTTAGTGCATATTTGTTAAAATGTGGCTTTTGGGTCAAAGTCGTGTCTGTAACGGCCTCTTTAGGATCAACTACGGCCAGGACATTAAAATTTTGTGTTTAACTAACAGCGCTGATGAGTCAGACGCAGGTTATTGCATGACGAGCGCAGTCACTGGCGTCTACGGGTGGTATGTGAAGAGCCCCACTCAGCCCCGCCTCGACATGGCACCGCCGGGCACCGTGATGTCCCGCTGTGTCTGGAGAAAAGGGAAATGGCGTGATCAGAGCACAAATGTCCGCTCTGTTTCAAAGTCCGGAGCACACCGGTCCGCGCCATGTTGGATTGTTGTGGGTGTCAGTCGGCTGTCAATTGTCACTCCAGAGCCCACCCTACACCTGTTTCCCAAACCCGTCAGGCACCGCCCACTCTGGAACGAAGTAAAGCTTCAGGGTGGTGTTTAATGGCTCTTTAAACTCATATACTTTCACTAGGTTTTTTTCTATGATTTCAGCTCTAGCATTGCCAATCTCTACTGAGCCAAAAATTAAAGGAGCCGTTAACTTGAAAACTACCACTATATGACAAGACAAGACAGGTAGACAAGACAGACTAATAATAAGGGGTTAGGGTAGTCAACTATGTGTGAATGAAACAAAACACAACTCTGAGTATGTTTTTGAGGAGGTAACAGCATTAGAACATGGCTTAAAGCTCACAATTTTGTGTAATATAAGACTTTTAAACATCAAATTCCACCAATTCTGATCAGTTATGATGTCCCATGATAATGACATGTTTGATACTATGTGAAAGAGTGTAGTGTGAGAGCATTGTACCTGCGCATACAGTCCAGCGCCTGGGTGAACACCTGTGGGGCCATGCCGTGCTCCTGCTGCAGGATCAGACACTGCTCCAGGGTCACAGACATGGCCGTGCGGTCTTTGGCGCTTTTGCAGCTTGTGAAGCGCACTCCGTTCAGACGCCGACAAATCTGAGCCAGAACACACATGGTTAAGTGGTTCTTAAAGTTGGATTACTGATTACACTAAAATGCACCAAAAGATAATTGTATTAGAGTTTTCCTTAGGTTTTAGATTTGCTCCTCCTTTGGATAACTTTTAGACCTGGAATTGTCCCGTTATATACCAGTAAATTCAAATCTGCCTTACCTCAGCAGCCTGCCACAAAATGTCCACATTTTTGTTCTTTCTGGCGTGAACATTCTGGCCCAGGAACCGGAGGAGCTCTGGAAGACAGGTCTGGGAGTGGGACCGCGGCAGGCCTGTGGGATAAGAGAGGACAGAAGGACACTGAGAGAGACAAGGGGACAAGAGCGGGAGTCACCGGGGACAGGGGCTGGTGCTTACAGTCTTCAGGAAGAACGTCCTTGAACTGCTCGTAGTAGGAGTTGAGCCAAGCCAAACTCTCCACGTTAATGAGCTCCTGTAGAGAGGTGTCTCCAAACCTGGAACACACAGAATTCTATTCATGTTTCTTTCATTTGTGCAACTTAAACTGGGATGCCCTCAGCTGGAATTAACTATCTTAAATTGAGTTGTAGAATCTGGTAAAGCACAGTGTGGAGCTCATAATCTTTCTGATTGGACCGACCAAAACAAAAAAATGTGATATGCAACTTCTACATGTTCCGAGGCCAGAGCAGAGTTTGCCATTACAGTAACAACTAACACGGTAACACTGCACTTCCTGCTTCTCTTACATAACTCTTTATTATTAGAGGCAGACAGGACACAACAGACTTATTGTGACCCCTAGAGCTGCTTATACAATATATCTGTATGCCCTCCAGAGAGTTTGTGCACCTATTAGCACTGAGAGACAATGAGAACCATGCAGGTGTCCAGTACTGACTTCTCTGCCAGGGTCTGCTGCTCGTTGATGCCCACGTTGAAGTGAACGGGCTGGACTCGGAGCAGCATGCCGCTCTGGATCTCTCGGGGCAGGGCGTCAAACATGGCACCGGGCAGAGGGATGCGCACGTTGAAGCCGTGTCTGTTGCCCGTGATGATGGGCAGCAGGTCAGGGGCAGAGCTGCTGGTTGCCTGGGTAACCTGGAGGTTCATAATCGTTTATAGTTAATAGTTTGTTCATAGTTCAAAAAAATGAACTAGTTCATACTTCTTTTTTTTTCCAATCCGTTGCTGTGAATGATTATTTTTCAATATCATTGCCAAACCCATATATAACCACAGACAGCAATTATTTGATCAGTTTTAACACTGAAACTGTGTTAGATTTCATCTTCATATCAAATGTGTGGCTGAGAGATGACAACAGAGCTGCTAATGTATGCAGTCAGTGGGATTTGGGTAGAGGATCTGTCTGGACTGTCTTTGATTTCATACATGCTTTCATATACTTTGAAAATCTTGCCAGATGCTTCAGTTCAGAGTGTCGTTTTAAGTTTGCTGTTGATGTGACTGAAGTGCAGATTTTCTTTTGAAAGCAGGCGGGCAAAGTTTGCACATACATGTGAGGTTATTCCCTTCCTCAGTGACCTTGATCTCTTTTAAATGTTCATATGATGAATCCTTGTTGCTCCTGCTACAGTAGCCTCCTGCTTTTTTGTTTGGTCTTGTTTCGATGACACGTGGCGATGCGACACTGGTGGCTAGTGTTGTTGCCAGACTGAATGTTTTTCGGCTAAATAGTAAGGGCTTTATAAGGTGTGTTTAGCAGGGGTTTTCGCCTGGAACACTAAAGAAATCTGGCATCCTATTGAATGAAGTTAGATAGAAGCACATGCCGTTCACAGACACCAGAATGAACATGTTCACAGTTCTTTCATCAGGCAGTAATACAGTGCGTTCAGTTCACGTTTGCCCAAAATATGAACGCAACACTGTGTGCAGTACCTTAAATGTGACATTACGCAGGTCCATGACTCCCACACTCATGTCTTCCAGCATGGCAAGTTCCTCTCCTGTTTCCCATTTTTTTATCACAGAAAAAAGAGAAAAGATTATTTTTAGTGAACCAGAACACACCAGGAGCACTTGAGACTGTAATACTGACAGCTAAATCATACAGGGATCACTTGTATTTCATAGTAGTGAATAGTGATTTTTAAGAATTTTAACTGTCAAATTTAATTAATCACTGAGTCCTATGTTTAAGTTAAGCTGTAAAACTGATTTGTAGGGTCAACAAGAAGGAAATAGTGGTCAGTAATGTCCAGAAGAGTAACAACCCCTGTAGTCTCAATTTGCCATGTGTCCACACAGAGTTAGACCTTTAGTGCCCCCTGTGTGTTGAGTAAGGGCATTACCGTAGGTGCTGAGCAGGGACTCGAAGTGAGCCAGCAGGCCGATGGTGTGGAGCTGTCGTAGGAAGCCATCGTCACGGAGACAGTTCCTCAGTTTGATGATGAAACCAGAGATGAGCGCTGTGAGCTAGAAACACAACAGCATGTCTTGCACTATGTAACTTTTGTATGTTTAGTTGGCTGTTTTCTCCGACATTTTCTAATCATGAATAAATGAACAAAAGAACAAGCATAATATTTCCAATTCTAATTAAATGATGTGCAAAACTGACCGTCTGGCAGAAGACCACATCGCGACGGTACTGCAGCGTTGTGTCCATGGAGATGGTGGGGGCGCTATCCTGCATGAGGAGGAACACCAGGGACTGCTTGGCCCGGTCACTCATCATGTCCACACAGTCGGTCAGTGTGATCAACAGAGGGTACAGGGCCTCGCTCCACTCTCCTGATGAACAATGCAACAGCTGTTAGGAGCTAAAAATCAACAAAACCACATCTACAACACCAAAGTTTCCCCTAACGTTTCGAGACAAACTTAGTGCTTAAAGGTCCTATATGGCGCAAAATTGATTCTTGTGAGATTTAAGCCATGTTAAAGCAACAAAAACATGTCTGGAGTTGTATTTTGTTTCATTCACACGTTTCAGTAACACATTTTTATTCCATATTGTGACGTCATGTAGTGGGAGTTTTCAAATTTAATAGCTACCTTTTACTTTTTGTTCAGTCAAGATTTGAATAGTTTTGGTCCTGGGATTGCTAATGATCCTAGTAAAGGCATACAGAGTTTAAAAACACAATGGAACTGCATGTTTTCTGTTTGAGAGAAGAACTCAGCCTGAACATGCAGGGTTTGTGAGTTAAACATGTGTGAATGAAACAAAACACAATTCATTTGTGATGAGCACACAACACTATAACAAAGATCAGAAAATATCGCAATATTGGCCCTTTAAGAATCACTTTATAAACGAAGTGCCAATGGCGAGGTAGAGCTAGGGAGCAAGCTCTTACCTGGGCTCATCTCCTCTGTGCTGGGGGTCCCATCTGCAGCAGGGGAAGGGGACATGCATTACAAGCCACTATAAGCCACACAGGCCAAACATAAACTATAAATACAGTATAAGCCAAACAGACCACAGTGAAACCAGGCTCTGTGTTCACACCGCCCCCTACAGGACAAATATGGCACGAGTGGTCCAGCACAGATGTTGTTCTTGGTGCACAGGGCAAAGAGATAAATATTAAACTTTTTTCAGCAAAGATGCTCTGGATCGACTGTGGTCTTCAGAAATATACATAATAACACTGCAGCTGACTTATCATTTTGAAGCACCGACAACACAAGAGCAGCTACACCAGTGATGACAATCTCAGCATCGCCACTTGGGCATAGTAAATACTGCACATACATTTATACTTACACATACACAGGGTGTCCCAAAGAATTTGACATAATTTCGCAGGCCATTCATTTTAGCAATTCTTGTTGAAATAACCTCAAATTTTCACAAAATGTATGGAAACAGATCAAGATTTTAGATTTAATGTTTTTGTTCTGTTTCCAGGTCGAGCCATTCACTCCCAAAGAGAAGTCACTTTGCGTCTTGGAATCTGCTGCACACACTCACCCAAGACTGTGCAGCCTTCATTGCAACATTTGGAAAAACTTCACCAACTGGCAAACAAATTTGGACTTGGTACCAAAAATGTAAAGAGGAAGGATCTTATGCAGGGCTCTTATGCAGGATCTGGTAGACCAACATCAACATCATCATTGAGCTACACTTACCAGTAGTAGTTTTCAAGATAGTTGCTTAATGATGTCAAATTTTTGGGACATCCTGTACTTTCATGAATCAAACTGACAGTGTGAAAAAAGCTAAATCATGTACCAATGTATGTCTCATGTATCAGTGTAATCCTTGACCAAAATAAGTTGAATATATTTTTTAAAGAAAATCTTTAAAGAATCTTAGGATGTATGACACCAAAATGTAAAAAAAAAAAGTTTTTAACCAAAACCTAAGTTGCGTAAATTCCAAAAGATAAATGAGGACGGTTGTAAAAGGTCATTAGTGGTGTATTATCTGGTTGGCCCATGTTTAGAGCCATTAGCATAACCAACTTCCTCTGATGGTAACTGCCTTGTGTGTTAATGTTAATGATTGCTTTTATAAAATGTGTGTTGTTACATCAGATGGTATGATTAAAACATGATTATTATTAGCCTGAAGGTTGAAATAATGGCAGAGTTGAGAAGAGGCTGCACAGGTGAAAGGAGTGAATGAGTGAAACAGCAGCACCTACTGGACACATGCTGGAGGCTGCTGAGGGGAGCAGTGGAGGTCTGGGGGGGTGAGGAGGACCATGCAGATGGAGATGAGTGGTCATGTGACACATTTCCCGGATTGATCCAATATGCTCTTTTAGCATCGCCTTTACACCGACATCAAAAACAGTTTTAGCTCAATTTAATATTTATGTCATTGCTATTGCATTAGGCCCAAAAATTAAAAGTAACATATTGTGCAATGTTTTAAGCACATTATAGTAGTTCAATTTGGTTGCAACTTTCACTATCACTGTGGCCAGCAGAGGGCACCAACCACACTCAAAGCATTGTGCATAAATCAAACCTTTGTGTTAGAAACACACTATTTCAAATAATAAAGTGTAAAATGCCAATTCAAACAGCTAATATAAAGCATAATATCTCATTTAAACCTGCAATGGTTTAAAAGTCCTAGATTAAGCAAAAATGACTCTTGTGAGCTTTAAAGGGATAGTTCGGGATTTTTTACATAAATCTGTATGGCATCCCCGTGAGCAGTGTCGTGCATCCACACTGACTTACCCCCGACAGCGTCCGGTGAGCCGAGATACTGGCCGTTTTCGGTGCTGGCGAAAGTAGTCCAGCAAGTTGGCTGGGGACAGTAAAATAAAGCGTTTTTCTTCTCAAAACAATATGTGTTCAAAAGAGTGACACATTTGCATCACAACACCATCGCCGTCAAAAAAGTCAGACCTCATAATCGCTTGGCACTATTTTCTTTCCGTTCATATCACTGCGCGCTGCCGCCAGTTTCTTCAGTTGTTTGGCAGTGTTTACATGCACAGATCGCCGCGACGTGAGAGAGCTAACATGAGAGCTAGAGCCATCAGTATATAAGCTTGTATAAGATACATAAGAATATATCTTAAATGGTGTGAACTCTTGATTATCCAGGCTGTAACAACAAAAATCTGACTGAATCTCCATGCACATTTCACCGTTTTCCTGTCATGGACTTTGCGCTGAGGAAACTCTGGCTTCTTGCCTTAGGCTTCAATGTGGAAACCAAACAAGGTAAGAACGAAGTGCTGCTATGTTTACAAGAGAACAGGCTCAAGAATCAGCTGTAACGCTGTGTGCAGTAAATCACTCATATGTGTCATATCACCAGTGAAGCTTCTACAAAACATAACGTTATAAGTCGACTGTTATTACTATTGTAAATGTCGCGTACACTATTGGTAGCAGCTATGTGGACGTGTGGATGATTCCATGTTTCTATTAGTAGTCCATGCTTCCAGTCACAGTGTAGGCTCTATGTTTGCTGTATACTAGGGATGTGAATATTTGGCAAAAACACTATTTGAAAATCAATGACAGCTATTCGAATATTATTCGAAAATCGACCCCTCCCTTCCCCCGCCCGCACGTACACGCGCATATACGAGATGACAGATGGGGTATTTAAGCGCAAAAGTTTTAATCAAACAGCAACCTTCCAAATCAGAAATGAGCATCTTAATTGAGCAACCCACATATGAAACAATATGAAATTATATTCAAGACTATCTCAATTTTAAAAACGCATGACCAAGCACATACTGTAGCCCACTGCACTACTTTCATTGAGCTGCCCACTGCAGAGAACACTCGCTCCGATGGCACAGACGTCGCAGACACACCTAAGTAAGCGCTTGCTAACTTTGCCAATCGGGGGTATTTCTGTTTGTTTGTTTTCCACCATGTCAACGGGTCAGTGTGGAACGGGGGGCATATATCCTGGCAGAACTGAGTTCATTTGAGCATGTTCCCGGCGTGTTTTGCTCTCAGATGGCTCTGCATGGTAGTGGTTGATCTATCGTTTGCTAGCTTCACCTGACAGATTTTACACTGAACCTCTTTGTCATTTAATTTTTAAGTAAATGACGACCATACGGAACTTTTACTTGCTTTCTGCATTGCTAATGCCGCGCGATAAGTTTTCTTCTTCTGTTATTCCGGAGCAGCCTCTATATTCGGCCTAGTCTACCGCGCGTACAGGGAGTTTTACAGTCTGTTAGCGCCACCTTCTGGCCGAATGCCGTACATGAAATATTGGTTAGGAAACGTCTTTATTTGAAATTAGTATTCGATATTCGAACGTACGACGAATATTCGACTATTCGAAAATCATGTCTCATCCCTACTGTATACGAGTTTCTTAATAACATGATGGGTGATTGTCACTCACTCGGTCTCTCACGGCTCCATCTGTGGCTCCAGCTTCAACTTGTACCACTTCTCCGTCTCTCTTCTCTCTCTCTCTGCCCGTTCTAACTCCATCTGGCGAATTTCGACATCAGTATATTTGGGTTCATAAAGATCTCCCCTTGGCTTTGTAGTAAAGGCAATGTGTTTATTGTCGGTGTCGTAAACAGACATGTTGTCGCTAACATTCTGAGCAGTAAACAAAGTGAACCAGGCGTGGCTGTCACTTGGCGGCAGCGCACAGTGATACGAACGGAAAGAAAATAGTGCCAAGCGATTATGAGGTCTGACTTTTTTGAGGGTGATGGTTTTGTGATGCAAATGTATCACTCTTTTGAACACAGATTGTTCTGAGAAGAAAACTGCTTTATTTTACTGTCCCCAGCCAACTTGCTGGACTACTTTCGCCAGCACTGAAAATGGCCAGTATCTCGGCTCACCGGACGCTGTCGGAGGTAAGTCAGTGTGGATGCACGACACTGCTCACGGGGATGCCATACAGATTTATGTCAAAAATCCCGAACTATCCCTTTAAGTCATGTTATAATGCTGTTACGTCCTCAAAAACATAACTGGAGTTGTGTTTTGTTTCATTCACACATGTTTGAGTAAGCTTTTATTATTAGTCTGTCTGCATCTCCAAAGTTCAAAATCCTCTGTTCCACCTTGTGATGTCATGAAGCTGTAGTTTACCTATTACATTTTATTTAGCAAAGACTGGCAGCTAGGGCTGAAATTATCCAAATTATTATACTGAAGGTATGTGGAGTTTAAAACACAGTGAAGCACTTCCTCTATTACATCACAAGGTGGAACAGAGTGTTTTCTATCTCACCCTAAATCTGCAGGGTTTGTGTGGTAAACATGTGAATGAAACAAAACACAACTCCAGGTCTGTTTTTGATAAGGAAACAGCATTTTCTACTTGCAATTACGTGAAATGAAGAAGCATTATGAGCAGCAGAGAATCAGCTCTACAGTGCTGAACAGGAAGTCCACAAACCTGTTTCTATATTTAATTTGTTTCAGATCAATATTGAAATTCTGAGCGAACAAAATGCAAAGTAATATTCTACATATAACCTCTCTTGGTTGTGGGTTGCATCCCGCTCAGGCCGCTGTCCGCACTGGACTGGCTGTGTCTGCGGTCCTTCTGCAGCAGTTTGTCCACTCGCTGGACGATGCACTCCAGAGACTTGTCCACATTGGCCCACACGTTCTCCTGACCACACAAAGGACACAACAGCTTTCATACTAAATAATGATCCCAAAATGGAGATGGGAAATTGAATACTTTCAGTTTAACAGAAAAAAGAATGATGGTATGGTAATTATAAATATGTCTGTTTACGTAATAGTGTGTTAGTAAATACAAAAAAACCCCACATAATTTACACAAACTTGCTGTGTAATATTTTAAATAAGGGTATAAAGAGATGTAAAGTCTGTGCTATTTGAACTAAACCAAGACATTTACAAGAATATTTTGATGAACTGTTACAATATTGTCTGAATATAAAAAACAATAAGTAAAAAGATAAAATGATTTCTTTGCCAGTATTAACTACCCCTTCTGTCTGGCACAAATGTTAATGTCAAATAGAATCATATGAATCCAACCTACATACCCACTCCTGCTCAGGCCAGTCAGGCTGCAGTGACCCTCCGCGGCTGTTGCGTCCACTCCACTTGGCCAGCAATGAGTCCTGGTCGTTCCTCAGCACTACATGCTCCCGGTCAGCAGAGGGCGACGCGGCCGAGGCGATGTACTCGGGACGGGCTGCGGTCAGAGCCTGGACCGCCGAGGCCAGCAGCTTACAGTCACAAACTGTCACCAACTGTCGCGTCTGGACACAGAGAGCAATGACCATTGGTGTTCAAACTGTGGTACTTGGGCAACTTCTACTACAAAAAGTCCTCTTCAAATGTAGTCTATTAATAAAGTTTTATTTATGTTTTGTTTCATTCCTACTTAATGACTGGGTATCGTCCAGTCTTACACCTGGTTAAGATCTGGTGGTATGCAAACCCAGGTATTTTTTAGGTGGTCATAGGAATGAGGAGTGTCATGTCACCCACAGCATTTGGTTCCAACCAAATGAAGCTCACTGAGGCTTGCAGTTATAGCAATTAATCTGCAACTAGGGACGATTATTTTAGGGTGTTGAAGGTAATGCTGCTTTCTGCCACACCCGTGGTTTGGCAGGAGATAAGCTTAGCAATGAGGATGTCAATCAACCTTTTATCGACGCTACCAGGAGCGACCTCTGGGGAAAGCAGGTTACCTTCAGGTTTATGTTTTAATTTAGAGATGAAATAGCAAAATAGAAATCATGTAGAGAGGGTTAAAAAAAACATTTTAAGGTCAGAGTGGCATTACAGTTTTAATAGTGTGTAGAATGCCTCAGTCGTCCAAGTAAAATCCATGGCAAAGGAGAAATTCAGTTTGTCAACTGGACAAACGTTTATTTAGGTAGAAAACATTTCGCAGCTCATCCAAGCTGCTTCTTCAGATACCTCATTCCTGCAGGCAGATATAAGGCAGTATCCACCAGCATCTGACCAGAACTGAAGAAGCCGCTTGGGAGCTACGAAATGGTTTCGACCTAAATAAATGTTTTAGTGGAGCTGTTAAGGACCAAAATAGTGCCCAATTGTTCACTTTTATGGTATAAACATGAAACTTTGCCAAATTATTAACATTCCTAAGACCAACATTTTTGGATATGGAACCAAGTCCAAGTCAACCCTGGAGCCGAGTACAAAATGGCTGACATGGAAACGAGGCTGGGAGCTAAATTACTGCTTCAACTGCCTTTTTTGGAAAATAATGTTAAATTATCACATAATAAATGTAAAGCAGAGCTGTTTAATGTCATACTGTGGAACATTTCTGGACATCTCCATAGAAACAAGCAGGTGATGGACCCTGAATCAAAAAAGTTACACAATGTATCTTTAATCATATTATTTACTGTTTCTAGTGCTTTTTTTTGGTAATTTTAGAGCAAACTAGGTAAATTTGCTAAATAATCTATTGAAAAATGTGTAAGTGACAGTGGTCTCTGTGGTACTAACTACTATGTGACATCACATAGGACTGCCCTGATTACAGCCAGGTGTCTCTGTTTACAAATCCCTGGTTGTAGGGGCGAAGTTTGTAGTGTGGATGCCTGTTAGACCAATCACACTGTTCCTTATACCCCCTAGCCCCGCCCCTCTCTCATTTCACTCTCTTCTTTAGTCCTCCAGGTAACACTCAGTTTATCAGCTCTTTGAAATGTGTTTGTGGGTGGAGTTTAGGTGTTTAGTCCAACTTTAAGGCAAATGTAAAACTTCATGAAAATAGTTTTATGTAGGTTTGATTTTCTATCTTCATTTCTCTCCCCTTCTCTTTCTTGAGCCTGCAGATCAGCTCTTTGGTTGTTCCTTTTAGTTTCCTGGTTCAAATGGTGAAAAGACCATCTGTGAGCACAGCTACATAGCAAAACATCTACTCAATTACAAGTAGGGCTGTCGTGGTTAGAGAATTCCTCCTGCAGTGCGGTATAGTGGCTCAACAGCGCGATATGCGATGATATTACACCTCCCTCCCCCACCCCACATCCCCCAGAGTTAAAATATTTCCAGCGGCACTGAAACCTCTCTCTGATGATTCTCTTGTTGCAGAGGCACAGGTACCTTGGTTGTGGTGTGAATATAGCGTATGTAGCATGAGAGAAGTAACATTTGGCTTTGAAGCACGTGCCGCTGCATCTCTCCAGCTGTCACTGTGGCAGGTCAGAGTCCTGCACCAGGTCAGGTACCCATGGACTTGAGTGAGAGAGATCCCCTAGCACGAGCACGCGGAGCAGGTGTCTGCAAAGCACGATCAGGTGATGGCTGCGTTTACCTCTGTGCGGTGGGGAGGTCTGTGGTGGTCCTTTCGCCTGTGGTCACCAGACGGTCTTCTCGGGTGCACCTTAGTCCTGGGTTAGGGTTAGGGTTAGGGTTATCACGGGCACGGGCGGTAACCGGACCGGGTTCATGCGGGTCTCTATAAATGGACCTGTGCAGGACTCTGGGTCAGGTCACGTTGGTCACGTGTGGTGATCGCGGTGGCCCAACATGCACCACGGTGGACCTCTTAGTACCGCGGTGATTCATTTTTGCGGTTATTGTGACAGCCCTAATTACAAGTACTACTGCAAAACTTGGGTAAAAGTATTTAAGGCTAACATTTAAGGCTTTCTTTATAAAACCTGAAGCTGACTTAAGTTTCTTTAATGCAGTCTTGTTATGGACGTTACGCCTGCTTGTTACCATGGAGATTTCATTGCTTTGCCTGAAATATTTGGCAGTATAGCATTACACCTATTTATATAACCTTCATTTTATTTTGGGTGTTTTTATTGCTCAAAAATACCTTGAAAAACTGGTTACGCCACTGACTCGTCTCCAAGGACATAGACAAGTTTAATGCCATACTGAAAAACAATATAACATTGCCATTATCGCTCCCAGCAGAAAAGTTACATAGTACATCTTTAATACTACTAACAAATTTATGCCTAAAAATCTCTAGGTATTAATATTCAAATTACCAGTGTGTACATGACCTTACATTTTATTATTCTTACCATAATAAATGAATGTTAGATAAGCAACAACTGCTCTCACATTGTCTTTTAAGGGGTCACGGTGGTGGATTTAAATCCGGCGTGTACCACAAATAAACCAGAACCGTCACCAAATTAATTTACCCCAAAACACATCAGAGTATCATAATAATAATGACAACAGCAGAGGTGGACTGGTCGTTCCAGTAATCCTACACCACATTGATGACATCTTTTGTGATCTCGCAATCTGAAATGAGCTGTAGATGTTCAGACTATAATCTCATCAAAAGAGGAGGCTCTGTTCACACCTGTACTACAGTGAGATATGGATTGTAATAAAGGTATAAACCTGTGATTAAGACCACAGATTTACTGTTTTAGCTTCAAATGTTGAATTTAAAGTCTAATAAAAACAACAAAAAATAGCTTAAACTGCTGAAATAATGTTTTTTTTCTTCCCATAATATGAGAGATACAGGCTATGCAAAAGGACAATGCAATTTAACGTCTTTAAAGGTGCACAATGTAACATTTCCAGTGGAAGGAAAGATACCTGCTTGTCTCCATGGAGATGTTATTGCTTTTTTTCAGAGTATGACATTAGCCTTATCCATGTCCCTGTGACAAGCAAGAGACCCTAAATGTAAGAATATATGCATTTTAGGTATTTGAGCAATAAACACATTTTCAATCCTCAACTGAATAAACACAAGACTGATATATTTAATGCCATACAGTGAAAGATTAAAAGTACTGTACTTTTAGTATTTTAAGACACGCCCACGTGGGCAATGACAGTGACACTTGGAGATGGGTGATTGGGAGGAACAGCCTCCCTGATCTGAACCCGAGCGGTGTTCTGTTATTGGACTTATGTGCTAGTCACAGTTTGCCCACAACAAACACCATGTTCGAGCACAAGGGTGTCCATAAGTGCACGTGGCTCCAGGATGCCCGAGGCCGGAGGTCGATGATCAACTTTGTAGTCGTGTCATCTGACCTCCGGCCGTGTGTCTTGGACACTCGGGTGAAGAGAGGGGATGAGCTGTCAACTGATCACCACCTGGTTGTGAGATGGGTCTGCTGGTGGAGGAGGAATCCGGAAAAACCTGGCAGGCCCAAGTGTGTAGTGTAGTTGGGAACATCTGGCAGAGCCCTCTGTCAGAGGGGCTTTCAATGTGCACCTCCGGGAGGGCTTCTCACAGATTCCGGGGGAGGCCGCGGACATGGAGTCCGAATGGGCTTCGTTCTTGGCCTCTATTGTTGATGCGGCCGCTCGTAGCTGTGGGCATTAGGTCTGTGGTGCATGTCGTGGTGGCAACCCCTAAACCCGGTGGCGGACACTGGAAGTAAAGGATGCTGTCAAGATGAAGAAGGAGTCCTATCGGGCCTTGTTGGCCCGTGGAACTCCTGAGGCAGCTGATGGATCCCGGCGGGCCAAGTGTGCTGCAGCCCGTGCGGTTGCAGAGGAAAAAACTTGGAGCTGGGAGGAGTTCGGGGAGGCCATGGAGGAGGACTATCGGACAGCCTCAAAGAGAGTCTGACAAACTGTCCGGCGCCTCAGGAGGGGGACGTCCGCCCGACAACTGGGGAGGTTATCTGTATAAGAAGGGGGACCGGAGGGTGTGTTCCAACTACAGGGGAATCAAACTCCTCAGCCTGCCCGGTAAGGTCTATGCCAGGGTACTGGAGAGGAGAATCCAGCTGATAGTCGAACCTCGGATCCAGGAGAAGCAGTGTGGTTTTTGTCCTGGCCGTGGAACAATGGACCAGCTCTACACTCTCCATCGGGTGCTCGAGGGTTCATGGGAGTTTGCCCAACCAGTCCACATGTGCTTTGTGGAGAAGGCATTCGACCGTGTCCCTCGTTGTGTCCTGTGGGGGGTGCTCTGGGAGTATGGGGTCCGGGGCTTTTTGGTAAGGGCTGTCCGGTCCCTGTATGACCAGAGCAGGAGCTGTGTTCGCATTGCCGGCAGTAAGTAAAACCTGTTCCCGGTGCATGTTGGACTCCGCCAGGGCTGCCCTTTGTCACCGGTTCTGTTCATTGTATTTATGGACAGAATTTCTAGGTGCAGTCAGGGGCCGGAGGGTGTCCGGTTTGGGGACTACAGGATCTCATCTCTGCTTTTTGCAGATGATGTTGTCCTGTTGGCTTCATCAAACCAGGACTTGCAATGTGCACTGACGGCTTGCATCCGAATGTGAAGCGGCTGGTATGAGGATCAGTTCTTCCAAGTCTGAGGCCATGGTTCTCAACCGGAAAAAGGTGACTTACCCTCTCCAGGTGGGTGGAGAGTCCCTGCCTCAAGTGGAGGAGTTCAAGTATCTCAGGGTCTTGTTCACGAGTGAGGGGAGGATGGAGTATGAGATTGACAGGTGGATCGGTGCAGCGTCTGTATCGGACCGTTGTGGTGAAGAGGAGGCTGAGTCAAAAGGCGAAGCTCTCGATTTACTGGTCAATCTTCATTCCTACTCTCACCTATGGTCATGAGCTCTGGGTAATGACCGAAAGAACGAGACCGCAGATACAAGTGCTCGAAATGAGTTTCCTCTGCAAGGTGGCTGGGCGCTCCCTTAGAGATAGGGTGAGGAGATCAGTCACACAGGAGGAGCTCGGAGAAGAGCTGCTGCTCCTCCACATCGAGAGGAGCCAGTTGAGGTGGCTTGGGCATCTGTTCCGGATGCCTCCTGGACACTTCCCTCAGGAGGTGTTTCGGGCAAGTCCCACCGAGAGGAGGCCCCGGGGAAGACCCAGGACACACTGGAGGGACTATGTTTCTCGGCTGGCCTGGGAACGACTCGGGGTCCCCCCGGAGGAGGTGGAAGTCTGGGGTGAAGGAAGTCTGGGAGTCCCTGCTTAGACTGCTGCCCCCGCAACCCGGCCCTGGATAAGTGGAAGAAAATGGATGGATGGACAGTAGATCTCTGTTCTGTGTTTTGGGGTTAAGCGTCGCTTCCATGCAGCATTTAATTATATTATGAAATATGATATACAGTAGCACTTACAGATCTTTAGAGTTGGTTAAATGTTTTTTGTTATCAAAAACCCAATAAATATGGCTTTGAAAGATAAAATATTGTTTTAACTTGAATTTCAGCCACAGGGAACCCACACAAGCCTTACATTCTCAAGGAAAACGGTCACATGATCTCCTTAATGCTTTGGAGTTTAGAAAAAAATAGTTGTTAAACAGTACAAAATGGATAACTAAGCAAATTAGACGAAAAGAAAGGGACTATGCAGTATTTTGTATGACGGCCTCATTTTCATATAGTCCATTTCTCAGCAGTTCTCAGCTCCAGTGTTGAATTAGACTTGGTTCCATATCCAGAAATATTAGACCTGGGGGTGTTACTAATGTTGATTCATGCTTGTACCATAAAAGTGAATTATTATGGTCCTTAACAGCTCCAATATTTGTTCAGTTGACAAATTTAATTTCTCCTTTGCCATTTTTAATAAAAGTCAGTTGCACCCAACACATTCATGCTCATGTTTCTCATTTCCTATTCGAAATGTTCCAGCTAGAGTGTTAAATATGTACATTAATATATATAGCTAATGGGTGGTACTTGGTCTGAAAATTTTGAGTACTACACAACAGAGAATAAAATGTTAATTACACAGATATTTGTCAGTATGTTGAGGCTGTGTGCATATGTGCTACAATACAAGTCATAAGCCAGTGAAAAATGACTTTTATTTTATTGTATATTTATAGGTAATATATTGCTGAAAAATATGAATGGTGAGTATGTTCTGAATCTCACATATCACAAATTTTAAAAAAGTATATGTCAAGTCTTGGGTGTCTTCCTGTATAGTTTTTCATGTCCAGATTACATATGTTTCCACAGTACCTTCAAAAATGAGATTCTATCCATACCTTGTCCGTGAGGGGTGGCAGCGTCCTCTCTAATCCGCTGGCAGAGTGGTCTTTGGCGGCACGGGACACTCGCTCGGCGTAGTAGCTGACCTGAGTCCTCAGTGTGGTGATCTGGCTGATCAGCTCTTTAGCCCGGACCATCTCCTGTGAGCTGTGGACCAGGGACTGACAGGAGGAGGCATCCCTGCAGGACAGAGGACATCACCAGTAGTCACTTTTATAAATTCTATCCTTGAATGAAGAGTAAATAATAACAAATATTCTGAGTTTGTTTCCTCACTGTTTCTTGGCCTCTTCAGACTTATGGAGTAGTTTACGTAGACCGTTGCTCTTGAAGCCCTGAGAATGAGCGGCTGGAGCACCCACAGTCACCACATCGTAGGTGCTCTCTGGAAGAACAGACAGAGTAAGGAGAAAAGGGAGGCAATTCAGATTTCACACACAATCTTTTCTTTTTGGTCTCGATAGCGTACCCAGGCCCAGCTCGTCCCGCACTCTCATCCTCTGAATGTGCAGGTTGGTGGGCATGAACTCCAACTTCCTCTCCGCCTTCAGGTTACTGGCTTTGAATGAAGGACCTGGAATGAGCAGAGTAGGGTGGTCAAAATTAATAAAATCTAAACTAGATAACTCATTGGAGCAAATGTCGATAAAGCAGAAAATCACACAATCAAAATTTGAGCTTTAGTGCATTTTGAGTTTTATCAGAAACAGTATAAGATCTCAGAGTAATATTTAAAAAGGACTATAATTTTGTGTATGAAAATGATGTTCTCCTATTAAAAAAAGAGCCTGTTTTGTCTGCACTGTGGTATTGTAATCAGTAGAATGTTCTTACTATCAGAATTTCTTACTATCAAAAATCAAATTTGAAATTTTTGTATCCTTACCCCTGTAGGAGCTGAGGTGGCTCTGGGCTTCCTGGTAGGACAGAATGTTGCTGTGGTAATGGGACACAATCTGTCTCCGAAGGCTCTCCCAACATGGAGACAACTCCCCGAGCTGCTCCAGCTCACACACTCTAAACAAGAAAATAAGGATAGCAACCAATGACAGTCATTAAAATCATTCAACACACATTATGAGGGATAGATTGATAACATAAGTAGTAACCGCTGTAATGCCACATTGTGTAACATTCCAGGCAAACTAACTTCTTCAGCGAGACTGGAGCTGTGTGGCGGCCTTTCGGTAGAAAGGCCACCACACACTACAGGATTTTTTGGTCTTAAACTATTTTTAAATGTGCGACAAAAAGTGCACACCAGAGACACAAGGAGAATCTGATGAGACTTAAAATCTCCGATCGCAAAGACTGTAACTGTATCTGTCTGCGGACCACAGGACATAAAGCTGTGAGTGTGATCACGTCAGGTGTTCACTGTCTACAGTAAAACCAGCTCTGAGACTCTGAAGTGTTCAAAAGATCAGAGCACTGCACTTCTAGTTTAGATACAAGTCCAAATTGTGTTATTATTATTTGTGAAATGTCTTTAATATGCAGCTTCACCTCGATCCGTGCACTGTGTGGATGTAAAAAGACACATGTGAGGAACTACTCTCACCTTTTAATTTTACAAACTGGATTAATAGCACGGTTTTCTGGACTGGAGTCATTATTTGGGAAGAACAAATTCTATGGATAATGTGGATGAGATGCTGCACTTTAAATTTACCACTTTACGAGAGGTGAGGAATAAAGTCTTCTCATTATTTTCACTATATCCCAGTTCGTATCATGGGCCTCTGTTTCTGTCACTCCGTCTGCCCCTGACGCTCTGTTTTATTGACTTTTACCATGGCACTGCTGATGTTTAGTGGTTACGAACTGACAAAGCAGCAGACACCATACACACACAGACACACAGAAGAGGAGTGCAGTGGCTTCAAAATCGCACGTGAAGACACAAAGTTTTTATTAATCATTTAACCAAAATTTGTATTGGTTGAGTAATTATTTTATTTAGATTATATGGATTTATATGGGACAACAGTACAAATGAGGAGTTATCATGAAAGTGAATTATCTGAGCAATTAGAATTTTTTGGTACTTATATGTAAAAAGGCAGATTAAAGGCATGATTCATAAGTTTAATATGTTGTCATATAAATACAACATTTCCTAGTTGTTTTTCTGTCTATCATGTCTTTTAGTTGACCAAGAAATTATTTTGTCAGTTACAAATACTTTAAATACATTGGTTATAGCACATACCTGGCTGCGTCCTCCTCCAGCAGTAGTTTGACGAGCTGTCGGGGCACGTTCAGCGACAGAGCGCTCTCGGCCATCTGCTCCAGGACGCGCAGGTGGGAGCCGTCTGTGCGGGGCAGCCGGTACATCCGCGACATGGTGCCTCCAAACACTGCACAGGTGGAACCACAAATTTCATGTAATCAGGTAAATAAACTGTTTCGTATTTGTTAGAAAATAGCAGACTACAGGCCTCATATCTGGCTGTGAGTAATAATAGAGTACTGAATATGATGAGGTACCTGAACGCAGCAGGCAGTCATGGCTCAGTGAGGCGTACTTGATGCGGGCTCCCATGGACTCGGTGAGGCTCTGGTCCACAGGCAGCACAGTCTGAGGGACACAAACACAGCTCAGAATCACTCATGTAAACAAGCTAAGCAAGCAATGCATTTAAGTGCTCCAAAGAAACAGTGACGTTAACATGCACACCAAAAATGTTATCATTATCTGATTCAAGAGTTATTGTTAGATTATTGTTATAAACACTTGTACAGCTGTGCGACAAGGAAAATGTACAAAAAAGGCAAAGACAAAAATTAAAGAAAAAAATGTTTAAGACTGGAAGATTTATTTTAAAATTCACAGCATTTTGTCTTCCAAATACAACACATGCTCTAAAAGATGTCAGATGTCATTAATACAGTATCTGATTCATGTAGATATCTGATTAAATGAAGTTAAATGAAATGACCAAATTAAATCAACAGAAACTTCCTTAGCTAATGGAGCAGATAAATAAGTTCTAGAATATGCGAGACCAGTTTTGTTATGGTAGGAACATACCCGAGTACTATCTCTTAAATGTCCCGCTGACAGTCTCCAGTCCACCCGCTCCTCCCTGCCCCACGTACGCACCAAAACCACGCCCACACGCTCGTTCTCTGCTGACCTGCCCATTCACAAAAACACTTACATTAAGCATTATGGTGTCTGTATTACTTTTAATATTTGAAGTACTGCAACATTGAAAGTACCTGAGCTCCAGTTGCAGCTGCCCTGTCTGATCCTGTAACAGCTCTTTGAGAGGGAACAGAGCTGACCCCAACATGTACATCTGCAGAGAGCACCAGTCATATAAAAATGTATTTACAATGCCCAAATCTTTCCACAGACAGCAGACTGACCGTCCCCTGAGAGCGCTCCTTGACATCGTACACAGCCAGTTTGATCTGAGTGTGCTGACTGATGCTGGAGTCCTGGAAAAAGGCCACGCTGCTCAGGAAGCTCGGGCTACTGGTGCCCTGGACAATACGTTGTAAGAGTAACTGTGATTAGGTAATTGTAGAAAATTTCAGAAAAGAATAGTCTTCCATAGCAGCTTTATTGTGCACATATGAGTCAGTATAGAGGTGGGTCTGACCTCTATGATCTCAGTCTGGGTGTGCTTGGTCCAGAACGCCTGGGGAGGGGTGGTGCAGCTCACAGCGATGAAGCTGTTGGGTTTTCGGTCCATGGCAGGGGTCACCAGGTCAGAGCAGGCTATAAGTCAACACATATGTCAGTGACTATAACCTAAAATATTTTTGTATACGTCAGCCTTATGGGCATTTTTTTTATTTGCACATAAAAATCATATTAACTTTAATTGTTTATATTAACATTTGTTTTCATTTTCTTTTAAAGTTCAAGTCAAATACAGAACCATAATTAAATCTTTTGAGGTATTTCAGGCCATTGTGCCTAAACTTAACAAGTGAAATTGTGGGAAAATTACAAGAGATATCAGTGCCATTTTTGCTGTGCAAGTAGGGCTTGTGGACCTGTACAAAATACACTTGGAATCTTGGTTCTATCAGGTTCTATGCCAAAGCTATACGCATTTTCATTCTTATTGCTCCTAAAGCATTACATACCCAAGCCAAACTCCAGCACTGGCTCATCTGGGTCCTGGCTGTTTCCTGAAAAAATAAAATAAAATGAATACAATAAAATAAAATGAGTAAAAAATAGAAAATGTATATGTTATGGCATTAAATATGATATTTCTTATTCTTAAAACAAAACTACATGGAAGATATTCATATCATGGATATGAAATACAGGATTCTGTGCTCTGTGGGAGGGATATTAGAAAATTTCAACTCCAACATTTCAAGATGGCTTTCCTTACACCTACTTTTATAAGTATGTTAGAGTTGTGAGTTGCCAAGATGTTTCTGAATGTTATTACTAATATGTGTTCATTCAAGTCCTCCTATGCAGTTAATGCTTCTGGCTGTTCACACAAATGTCCTACCTGCCAGAGCCAGCCCCATCATCTCGTTGGACAGCTCCAGAGTACTGGCTCTGTACACGGACCACGGCCTCTGGAGTCGGGAGCTGCGCTCTCTGGCCCCTGGGCGCTCTCTGACCCCTGCCATGATGCCCGTGTGCCAGCAGTGGGCGCAGGAGCTCTCCCATGTGAGGTGACCCCGCCAGCTCCAGCCCCAGCCTGCTCCACACCCGCTAACTGCAAAGTAACATGGCAAAAACAGTTACATTTTTTCCGTTATATCAAAGAACTATTATCTATTCAGACTCAGTAACACACCCATACATACCAGACACTTGAGACAAGGCAGGTGGGTGTCCAGCTCAAGAGTACAATGGTACAATGCAGTAATGGGACCAGGGACTGAACTAGCAACCTACAGAACAACTACACAGAATCTCTGTCCCTCCACCTACTATTCCTGCCCCCTACCATCCAGGCATTCTGAGCAGTTAGTCCTGATATCATAATTTGTTTTTTTGCTATTCTAAAAAAATACAATTATGTGTTGAGAGAAAGGGAAAGACACAACAGTCTGTCAGAGAGGGAGTGCGAATTAGCAAAGACTTCAGAAGAAATCAGAATTAGGTTAATAGTGGGTGTCCTCCTTGTGGTATGCTCTGGCCCAAATATACATGTCCTAGTTTGGTCCTGTTATCAACAGACTGACAGAGGGACAGGATACTCCCTCATGCGTTCAGTGTAGTCGTGCTAGAATACATTTGTAACAGGAAGCAGTTGTCTCTAGGGATTTTATAACAATTTTATGACATTCATAAGGCTCATAAAATTATTATTGTTATGATTATTGTGTGGTAAATGTGTTCTAATTTGAACTTCAAAGATGAACTAGCGTATCTAAGTTTACTGTAGATGCAATTACTTTCACTGTAACAGATAAAGAGATAAAAGCAACAATAAAACCAGCATAATAATATAGCAGTCCACCCACCACATATATACAAAGGCTAGCCCACTCGCAGTCAGACTTGATACTTTTGTTTGCTTTTCAGACATACAAAAATATGTAATAAAATTAAGAAAGACAAGTACTGTGAAAGCAAAAACATCTCCATGGAGTAGGTTGTGGACACCCTTTAAGAAAGTGCATCTTTAAATTACAACAAATGACAAAGTTGATGTAACAGTTCCTAGATACTTGCCCAAGGATCATCTTTACCAATGTGAACGAACATGCCAGCTATGTGAGTTGGGAGGTTTGGAAGCAGAAGTAATTTCTTTCCATCTTTAAGCTAAACTTGCAAGAATCACTTCCCACCGTGGTTAAACTGATACCACTCCCCTTCAAGTCACACTTTTGTTTGAAAAACCAGCACTGAGTCCTTCCTTGTTTTATGGCGTATCAGAGAGAATTAGCAGCAGTTCAGATCCTAGCAAGAGTTAAATTAAATGTGGACACCTCCAGATAGATTTTGTAGTTCATGTTCAGCAATGGGAAAATACTGGCATTTTGTTACAAAATACTGAAAACCTGCATTAAAATGTATTTTGTAACATATTCTGATACATAAGAGGACTGTATTTTGAATACTTATAATACTTTTGCATCAAGTTTCATTTAAATTATAATGTAAACTCATAATAGGATTAAATAATAATAGGATTATTTTTTTAATTGTTTTTAGTAGGATTAAAAACAGCTTTACGCTTGTTCCACTGTTAGTTCTGCATTTCCTGTCACAAATTAGAGAAGGAAACATCACACTATGAGAGTGTTTTCTGTTATTAGGTTCTTTTTTTCAGACCAAGAGTTTGTTTTTATACCTGACAGTCTGGACTGCTCCCTGTGCTCTTCCTCAGAGTCACATGATGTTGCTGTGATGTGCTAATTATCTGATTTATACAGGTTTTGGTGCTGTCTTCCTGTCTTCCTTGGAGGCAGAGCAACAGCACCACCTACAGTCTGACTTCCTCAGGACAGTATCCCAGGTGTGTGAGAATAAAAAAGCCCCCTCGTCCCAGTTGATAGGGCATGTTCCATTCGATTTTTTACTCTCTCACACCTGGGACACTGTCCTGAGGAAGTGGGACTGCAGGTGGCGCTGTCGTCCTGCCTCCACCGGTAGGAAGACAGCGCAAAACCTGTTCAAATCAGCTGAGTGACACCTCACAGCAACATCACGTGACTGTGGGGAAGAGCGCAGGGAGCAGAACAAACATACTCTTGGTCTGAAAAAAGAACCTAATAACATAAATTATCCCAAGACCAAATGGACCTCATTGGACTAGTAATATTTTTTACTTTTCAAATTTTATCTCAATATGGTGCATTTTGAACCCAAAGTTGTGTATCAAGTACTGCAATGTATATATTTAATTGTTGAGTTTTTTTTTTTTTTTTTAGAAATGTAACTATATTCTGATTACCACCAAATGAAATTAAATGAGTATTCAGAATATTCTCAGAATCAAGTTATTAAGTTAGTTCTATTCAAGTTTCACTATTGTAAAAAGACACATGAGTTGTGTTTAATAGATGTCCAGTGTCTGTTTACATTTTAGGCTGCACAGTGGACGTGACACTTAACTCTACCGTTTATGGGACAGTGCCAGAGACGATGTGGATCAAAAGATGCAAATACATTTCTGCAAAACAAAGTGAAGCAACCGTGTCTCTTGTTTCTGAATGTGGCTTACTGCCTGTGCTGTCACTGATACAAATGGAACAACCCATGACTAGATTCTGGGCAAGGGAGTTGTTTATAGAGTATATTTAGGAATATTAGATAATCTAGATGGCTAAATATAACACGCAAAACACTCACAGACTAAATATAGTTTATGTCATGCTCTTCTACCACTGACTCTCATTGCTGCCTGTATCACCAGAAGACCCATGATGTGTTGTTAATGGTTTCTTTTAATGATTAAATACACTTTTGTAGTTTAGTTTAAAATACTGTTAGAATATTGTTAGAATATCTGTACCTCTAAAGAATGTATTACAAGTCCAACTTCAGAGCATGCACTACTTTCTTTTACCTGTTGTAACTGCATTGTGCTTCATCAATATGGAAACCATTCATCTGCATCTAGAAATGAACCTGCTGGCCTCGGTGCTCCCAGCTCATCATTCTGACCTTGACTAAGAGGGAGCCAAAGCTGCAGTGGACGGACCGAGCCGAGGGACAGGGACAGGCCCCGGTGTGCTCACTCTCCTCCCCCGAATCATACCACAACACCGGGGGTTTATGCGTATAATCCAAGTCACTCGTTTCAAAGAGATAAAAACCTGTAAATACCGTTATGAAGTAAGCCAGATGTGGAGAAATTGTCAACTTGTGCAAGATAAGAAGCAACTGTGCACATCTACTGCCCCTGTCCTCTCGTCAGCGCTGCACTCAGTCACTGCGGTGGAGCTCGGATCAATCAGCACAAACGTGGAGCCAGTGCCAATAACGCATCCATAAAGGCGTTATATCCAAACTCCAAATAAATGTATAAACTTCGAATATCCTTTCAATGTTCAGATAATGGAAGTTGTCATCAGATGGTAAACTTAAAGCCACAGTCGCCAACTCCTTTGACGCAATAATCATTCACGAGACACCACGGTCTCTTTCTCCAAAATAGATAACGCACATCTGTACTTACTTACCCGTGCGTACTCGAACTCCGGTACCGTATAAACCGCCGTTATGTCCAAGACTTTGGTGAATACAGGTTTCAAAATACCTAAACAGCAGCAGCAGCAGCCTGAGAACTCAGTAACCACACCTCCTGCACGCACGCAAGCGGCACAACGTCATTACGCATTGGCCGATGTGGTTTTTGAGGCTTTATCGCCATCTGGCGGCAGGAGCGGAGTCCTCATTCCTTTACGGTTTGTTTTCCAAGTTCTTCAACTTTAGATAGCTTGTATGAGAAAGCCATTTCTACCGTTCCACCTGAGTGCTCCACTTTTCCATCACTTCAGTTGGTAATCATGTTTGCTTAAATTAAATTAAGTAAAATATGTTGGTGTTTTTATGATTTGTGTAGGGTGACCAGACATCCCTATATTTACCCAGGACAGTCCCAGTTTTGAGCTCTGTCTCCTGTCCCAGCAGATTTATAAAAAAAAACAAAAAAAAAAAAAAACACTGATTTGTCCCAGTTTTATACTTTTATCTTTACAAGCAATGTTCCAGGTGTCCCTCTTTTTGACCAATTTGACACCTGACAACAGTAAAGAGAGACATAAATTGTCACTTCTTTTGGTAAAATACAGAAAAACTGCTTAAAAATGACCAAATACAAAGAAAATGCTATTTTATTATTACCAATCACCCCAAACCAGGGATTTCCCAGTTTTTGATTTTGGAAATCTAGTCACCCTAGATTTGTGGAGATTTGTGGAGGAACGCCCACTCGCAGTAACCATGTTTAGATTTTTTATGTTTTTAGGGTACTTTGGGGAAACAAAACATGCCTAATTGAATAAATACAGCATAGATTCAATATTTGTCACCCAATAATAATAATAATCCAGAAAAACCCAGGTAAAGTAATAACATCACCATGGAGACAATGAGAAACATTACAGAGTACATCTTTAAAACATCATGATAGTATCAGTTATGGACTCAAGACGTCTAACTGTAGCAGTGTATGCATTATGAACAAACATCACATGTAATCTCTGGGCCGTGTTGTGGTGGACAGAGGAGGTTGTGTGTCAGTTGTGACATGTGCTTTGTACCTTACTCCACCCGACACATGCCACAAGCAGGTTCTGCAACAATCCCTGAGAACCAGTTTCACAATTCCCTCCACCGCCAATGCATAAAAACATGTCGTGAGCTTGGTGCACTCTGTCCGGACGTATCTGGACGTGTCTGGACTACCTTCTGCTGGTCAGTGGACATACCTGTGTGTTCTGACCAATGGGGAGGCCCAGTATTGTGGGTGTGAGGGAGAGGGCAGCCTGGTGCACCCTGCTCCTGCTCCTCTGCTCCTCTGGAGGGGACTGTGAGTCTGAATTACCACAACCTCCAGGACCTACAAACTTCCAGGGGGTCAAACCGTTCCACAATGAGCCTGAGCCTCAACCCTTCCCCGACAAGGAGAAGGCCAACCTGCCAGTCTTCACCATGGACTATCCACGCATTCAGGTGCCCTTTGAGTTCACACTGTGGATCCTGCTCGCCTCTTTCGCCAAAATAGGTATGTGCACTGCCCCCTAGAAGGACTATTACAGCACTAACCAAAGATGTGCTTTATTTTTGGTATTACCGTATTATTATTGCTATTATTTATTTTAAAGTCAATTTTAAGACAAAAGTTGGCTGTTCAAATGCTGATTTAACTAATTAACATTACCATTGTGCCCTTGAGCAAGGCACTTCACCCAGTTCCTAAATTATAAGCTTGATTGTATAACTGGTGGCTGGCATACAGGGCTGCTGAGGGTACAATATTATATTTTTGACTTACTTAGCCCTCCTTCTTGTCTGCCAGGCTTCCACATTTACCAAAAGATCACTGTATGGATCCCCGAGTCTTGCCTGCTCATCTGCATCGGGCTTATTGTGGGTGGTATCATGTACTCGGTGAAGGAAGAGCCCCCGGCTGTCCTGAGCCCCGAGGTGTTCTTCCTCTACATGCTGCCCCCCATCGTCCTGGACAGCGGCTACTTCATGCCCACCAGGCCCTTCTTTGAGAACGTGGGCACTGTGCTGTGGTACGCTGTTGTGGGCTCCCTCTGGAACTCTGTGGGCATTGGTGTGTCCCTGTTCGCCATCTGCCAGATAGAGGCTTTCGGGGTGCAAGATATTAACCTGCAGGTGGGTATAAGCAGATAAAAACATGAAGACTGGATACAGTTTGGGGTAATATTGTAGGTTAATCTGTGTTGCAGGAGAACTTGCTGTTCGCTTCCATAATCGCAGCTGTGGACCCCGTGGCAGCGCTAAGTGTGTTTGAGGACATCAGTGTGAATGAGCAGATCTACATTGTCATATTTGGAGAGGGGCTGTTCAATGATGTTGTCACTGTGGTGAGTTCAGGACTCAGACACAAGCTTTTATTTGAAAATGTGCCATATATATGTAGCAGGCCTATATGTGACTATTTTTCTTCTATTTCAGCAAAAGTGAAACGATATTGTGAACCAAAAAGCACAGTGAATAGTAGTAGCATGGCATTAACAGATAGATGTTTCAGAGAAGGTATTGTTTTGGGCTGAAATGATCAAAAGTGAGAGGCGTATGAACTATAGAAACACGAAGGAGCACTCCAACAGCTCATATGGAGAGTAAAAAAATTAAGCATTTTTGTCTGATCAAAGGAAAATGGCCAGCATAGTACTAGTAATAGTACTCCTGCTCCTAGTACTCCATTGCTACTATAAGTTATTTCTGCCTGTTAGGGTTAAAGCTAGAAACAATACTATTCATAATAATTATGCCATTTATCAGTTAAAACATGCATATTTTTCCACATTTTGATCACTGCATTGTCTTCATTACCTGTGTGCAGGCCTTGTACAGCATGCTCAGCTTCGTGGCAGACATGCCCACGGTGGAGTCAGTGGACGTGTTCCTGGGGGTGGCTCGCTTTTTTGTGGTGAGCCTGGGTGGTCTCCTCATTGGGGTGGTGTTTGGGATCGCGGCCGCCTTCACCACCCGCTTCACGCACAACGCCCGCCAGATAGAGCCCCTGTTTGTCTTCATGTACAGCTACCTGGCCTACCTGGTGGCCGAGCTCTTCGCTATCTCCAGTGTTCTGTCGTAAGTCATAATATTTATTGTTACTTTCACTAGAGACTTTGAACTGATTTTATAAAATACTTGTTTTCCTTCTAGAAGCTTTTCCCTTCTTTGAGCCCACTGAAATATCTAAGTATTGTAAAGTAGTCATATGTACATGATTGTGCATACATAACGAGTCATTGTTAATTGTAATTCAGTTTGGCATCAGTTGTTTTTAGCCTGCTTTAAAAGTCTTATATAGTGAGCTTTTTTTTTCATTCACACATGTCTGAATAAGCCTTTGTTATTGGTCCGTCTACATCTGCAAAGCTCAAAATGCTTTGTGCCACCTTATGATGTCATGAAGTCGTAGTTTTCAAATTAACATTTACTTTTTACCTTTTGTTTAGTATCGATTGGCAGTTCTAGGGCTGAAATCAACAAAATAATTCTAGTGTAGGTTTGTGGAATAAGGTGGAAGTGTTTTCCATTAGGAGGGAAGAACTCAGGCTAAATGTGCAGGGTTTGTGTGTTAAACATGTGTTAGTGAAACAAAGCACAACTCCCGGTGTGTTTTTGATGAGGAAACAACATTATAACATAAATAAGAAATAGTGCAATACTGAACCTTTAAAGCTTGAAAACTGCATTATATTGGATTTTCAAATATAATGAAATTAAAGTTCTTTGAGTTTTCCTTCCGCCACTGGTTGTTGTTTTTGTTTTTGAGTTGTTGGTTTGTGGCAGGGTTTGTGGCAGGGTTGACAGGGTGCTGACCTTCCTTCTAGAAACGTTTTCCTTCTTTGTACCCAATGAAAGTATTGTAAAGTAGTTATATGTACATGAGTGTGCAGAAATAATGAGTCATTGTCAATTGTAATTCAGTCTGCATCATTGACTTTAACCCTTTCCATTAATATTTTGCCAAAATACCACTTTAATCACTCTGATACTGGTGTGCTCATCCTGGCACACATATTTCTTGTCCTGACGCACTGTTTCAAGGACAATTCCAGCGGCCGAAACATCTCCATTATCCATTACTCCTTAGCTGGGCCAGGGAACAGAAAGTCCCCTTAGTAAAACACAGGTTACCTACATTACAAACTTTATTAGTACTTTACAATGGTCAGTAAAAAGCAAAAAAGCACATTTTCTTAGCCTTATCCAAACCTCAGTATTGTGCTGGAACTGGCTTTTCTGGTTTGGTTTTCATCTGGTCATGCTTTCTCACATTGCCTTTGCCACTGTTATTTTGTTTTGTCAAATGAATCATTGTCACCAACGCAGCAGTGCATAAATGTATTGTTGATGCATCGATACTGACAGGGAAATCATTTGAGATTCTTATTAGTCCAGACATGTATGTTTGTGTCACGTGTCAGGTGCAATCTGCTGCTGTGTCACGTGAGTCTCAAAGAACCTCCAAATTCCTGAAACGTGAAGACCTAATGAATCTTATCAGACTGACAGTTAAAGCCCTCGGCAATGTGATGAAGGAAAAGACAGCATTAGTGGCCAAGGGGATGAGATAGAGAGTCTGAGGAGGTTGATGGTTCTGCTGCTGCGGTGGGGGTAGAGCAGAGGCAGGCTGCTGAGAGGAGAGAGTTAAGCAGCTTGAAATTCTGATAGATAAATCAATAATAAAAAAACAACAACACAGAAACAAATTGCACATACTGTTTGCTGTTATTTGTTCAGTATCATCACATGTGCCATCACCATGAAGTACTATGTGGAGGAGAACGTGTCCCAGCGTTCCTGCACCACCATCCGTCATGTCGTGAAGGTCCTGGCCAGCATCTCTGAGACGCTCATCTTCTTCTTCCTGGGTGTGGTCACCATAACAACGGAGCACGAGTGGAACTGGGCCTACATCCTCTTCACGCTGCTGTTTGCCTTCGTCTGGAGAGGACTAGGTGAGATGTTTGATTGTATTACATGCTGTCAAAATCTGTGGTGGAACAAGTACTCAATGACTTTTTTTCTGAGCTTTAGACACTGAACTGGTAAATGTTCACACTGCCCACTGTGGCCAGCAGAGGGCACAGGCGCCATTACATACGTCAAAAAGCTCAGGCAATTGTAGTTTTCTTTATAAATTTTTTGTTACAAAATCTAAAATTATTCATGCTAATTTGCCTCCCAAAGATTGGCATCATTAGAGAGTTGGGAATCTACTAAACTATCACACACAGGCATCACTTGTTTTTAGCCTGCTTTAAAGGTCCTATATTGTGAGCTTTTAGCTGTTAGAATGCTGTTCCCTCCTCAAAAACAGACCTAGAGTTGTGTTTTTGTTTCATTCACACATGTTTGAATAAACCTTTATTATTGGTCCTTCTACATCTCCAAAGCGCAAAATGCTGTGTACCACCTGGAGATTTGCAGTCCCAGGGCTTAAACCAAATGATTCTAATGTAGGTTTGTGGAATAAGGTAACTTTTTTCCATTTGAGAGAAGAGCTCAGGCTAAATATGTAGGATTTGTGTGTGTTAAACATGTGTGAATGAAACAAAACAACATTCCAAGTCTGTTTGATAATGCAATACTGGACGTTCAGGCCTTGAACAAGGTCCACTCCTCAGGACTCCTCAAACACAACACACGCACGCACGCACGCACGCACGCACGCACGCACGCACGCACGCACGCACGCACACACACACACACACACACACACACACACACACACACACACACACACACACACACACACACACACACACACACACACACACACACACACACGCCATAACACAACTGGGCACCTACAGACGGACACCAAATCTCCCAATAGGCTCAATCTCTTTTTATAAAATGAATCAACTTCTCTCAAAATTGTCTTTGGAGAATAACTTCTGTTGTTGCATGAGGGGTTAGGATGTTGGTTGGTTGTGTGTTATTTGCACTGTTGGGCAAGTTACTTTAAAACTGTAATGCGTTATTTATTACTTATTACTGTCATTTCAAAGTAATTCGTTACATTACAATATTACTGCATTTAAAATGTAAGGCATTACATTACTATTGCATTACTTTAACTTACTCTCACCAAAATAACTGCGAAAAAGCTGAACTTTTGAGCCGTATATGGACTGAACCAGGACTAAACAAGGTCTAAACCAGGACTAAACCAGAGCTGAACCAGGACTAAACCAGGACTATAACAGGACTAAGCTCAGACTGATTCCAGGACTGAAGAGGAGGACTAAACCAGAACTGAACTAGGACTAAAACAGGACTCACTGTCAGGACGGGCTCGAAGGTGACCGCAGGAGAAAGGACCGGCTTTGCTCCGCACCTCATGGAGGTAAAAGCTGCTGTCGCCCGATCGCGCTTTATGGACACCCTGCTGCTCAGGCTCACGGTCCTGATTTCAGCAACTATTTACGGGTACAAGACCCGGTGCAAAACTCTGCTACGGCGCGTAACTTCTACCTTCCTTCAACGTGTCCAGAAGTCCAACTTTTTGTGCGATGGTTTGCATCGTCCTCTGTCTTTTGGGTGTGAGCGCAGGAGACTTTGTCGGTGCAGAACATTTCGTCGACGTTGTGGATTTTGTCGGAGAGAAAACTTGCAGACATACAGCACTTCAGAAGCATACTGCTAGAGATTGAACATTTATTTAAATTTGGCAGCTGAACATATTCTGTACTGTACTGTACAGTAGACAGGTGTCCCTCAGCCGATCAGGACACAGCGGGAGGAACGCAATACGTGTTCATACACTAAAAACAAAAGGCATGCAAAATTGCACAAAAAAAAATAAAAATCTAAAAATCAGCGAAACAGGGAGACCGCGAAAAGTGAATCGCGTTAGAGCGAGGGACGACTGTAAGCCAGGTCTAAACCAGAAGTGACCCAGGTCTAAACCAGGTCTAAACAGCGTAGAGTTCTGGGTCGGTCCTTTCACCCGCGGTTAACTGAAGATCTATCCGGCCGCGTCTCCGGCGTTTCACCGCTGCTGATTTCACGGTGATTTTAGCGAATTTCTATGAAGAAAAACCCACCACTTCAATCCAGGTTAAAAAAGCATTGTAACGCGCGTTACTCACATTTGTACCGAGTAAAATATTACAATTTTTCCCCCTGTAATGCCTTACATTACTGCGTTACAGCAAAAATCAACGCATTACTGTAATACATTACTTTTATAATACATTACTCCCAACACTGGTTATTTGTGTGTGTGTGTGTGTAACCCCTGTCCACCTGGAGTTTTAATATTATTCACTTTAATGTAATTCACGTCATATAGTATAAGAGCACATAAAACAACTCTTTTCAAATATTGTTTCTATAAAAAGAAATCATGCTTAATCCCATATGAAATGGTTAAATGGCTAAAAAGATGTACAGTGAAGAACTTTGGCCATAGCAGCTGTTTCCCTCTAGATACAAAGGTACAAAGGTCAGTTGATAAACTTTTTTCATGTACATTTGAGGCAGTGATATATGCAATAAAATGCTTGAAAATGATCACTTTTGATGACAATTTTCAGGCAGACAGACATTTTTTGTGTTTTGGGGGATGTTGAGGTTGATATTTGACAGTAGAAAGGCAGCAAGCCCCAGAATATTTTTCTGTTAGTTTCCCCCATGTGTCAGGATACACCATGTCAAATTTTAGGGTTATTTGACCATTTATGCAGTTGCAGCACCTTAATATTTACAGTTACATCATTTCACCAATAGCTTTTCCTAATTAGGGTGTTTTTTGGGCCCTGAGACCAAACGGGGCCGAGTTGGAGATGGTCCCTATCAACTCGTGATGGCCCAAGATATAAGATAACAGGAAATAATAGTGAAAAAAAGGTAGCAAAAAGCATCCTGAGGGGTGGACCTGGCTCCCGGCCTACTTTCTAAAGCTAGAATACTGCATTATATTGGACCTTCAAGTATGATGAAAGTACTTTGAGTTTTTCCTTCCACCACTGGTTGTTGTGGTTTCCTGAGTTGTTGGTTTGTGGCAGGGATTCTGGTGCTGACGCAGATCATCAACCCTTTTAGGACCATCCAGTTCAACTTTAAAGACCAGTTCGGACTGGCCTACAGTGGCCTCAGGGGGGCAGTGTGCTTCGCCCTGGTCTTCACGCTGCCTGACACTATCAACCGCAGGAACCTCTTCGTCACCGCCTCCATCGCCGTCATCATCTTCACCGTTTTTATACAGGTGCATGGATTTTTATGCATTTAATTTTTTTTTTTCATATTAAATATACAGTAAGTAGATTAGCAGATCAGCCAATGAGAAAGCTTTTTTTAATTTAAATTTTGCTGAATGTCTCTTCCCACTCTTCACCCTCACTCATGTTGCAAACTGTCGACTCATGACAAACCAAAAAGAGATTTTAAACTAGATTTTTCTGTTAAAATGATTATTATTAACCCTTTATTAGCCTCTTGTTCTTTCTCACTTCAGGGCATCAGTATCCGTCCCATTGTGGAATACATGGACATCAGACGCACTAACAATGAAAAGTACAACATTAACATGGAGATTCACAGCCGGGCAAGTGTTTATGAGCAGTAATTATACTTACTTAGTATGAATTTTTCTAATAATAATGTAATACTTCTGCATTTGTGCCTTCTTCAGACAATGGAGCACATTGTTTCCGGGATTGAAGACTTGTGCGGGCAGTGGGGTCACTACTACTGGAAAGACAAGTCAGAGAGATCAATTCAAAATCACTGCAGCACGATCATAACAATTTACACACAGGAATAATGAAAGCTGTGTCTGCTGCCAGGTTTAAGAAGTTCAATGATCGTATACTGAGGAAGATCCTTCTCCGGGACAACAAGGCAGAGTCCAGTATTGTGTCTCTGTATAAGAAGCTGGAGCTGCAGAGTGCCATTGAGCTGCTGGACACACCCATGGGAGACCTGAGCGCCGCTCCCTCCGTCGTCTCCCTACAGTATGCACATTTTACACTTATATTTGGTCCTTTAAAATTCAAAAGGAAATAAATCATACAGATAAATTGCTAGAATTAAAGTCTGATAGGGATTTTTTACAGCCAAAATCTTTAGTACTTCAATCAAGCACATTTTCACTGCAATGTATTGTCCATTCTTAACTATAATTTTTGTGGTTTATTTGAAATCAGCACACTCAAATCAATAATCATAAAACCTAAACAAAAAACTTACAATTGATCTGTGATTTGCTGATCATTGCTTTTTTCCCATTGCACCAGTGATGAGATGAAGGAAGCGTCTCGGCCAAAGAAAAAGTTCCTGTCTGCTGATGTGAGGAACATGCACAATATTCTGACAAAGAACATGTACAAGATACGGCAAAAGGTACAACTTCAACTCACTTAAATGTCTATGTACAATCAGACTGTTCTTGTGTCCTTTTTGCTCTGCACAATATAAAAATCTTATGGGACATTATGAAGACATTATGAATACATGGAATTGTTCAGATATACTCCAAAAATAAGTGATTATTATGGAATCATAGTAGTGTAGTCTTTCAGCTGCTTAACCACTGCAGCTAGAAACTCAGAAGCTTTTATTGTGACTTCTGTCTAATAAGGTGATGTTGTTTGTATTGTTTAATATTGCCAGAAACATATATGACCTTTTAACCATGTTATAATGGTGTTCCCTCATCATAGACAGATTTGTATATTTGATTAATGCAAGTGTGAGTAATCTTATATTGTCTTGTATTCAAGGGCATGCACAGAAAGTTTCTATTTTTACCTCCCCCGTATCCCTGCCCACTGCACTGTATTTACTTAAGTTTATTCCAAAAATACAGACACTGTCTGGTTACACTTTTAGAGTTCACAAATGTTCAAATATTCATAAGCTTTTTTCAACAATAAAAAACTGTTAATTATGGTGAAAGAGATACTAGGTTTACAGTTTTGAACAGGAAATTGATGACAGACTCTATTATTAAGCAGTTTTAGACTTTACAACAATTTACAATCAACAAAATGTAAAATAATTATAAATTATATTGTTGAATACCCTCAAAAGCATAATATTATGCCTTAATGTTATGTGCCTAATAGACACTACATTGACTTTTAATATTACGGTATGTATGCTTTGTTTCCCAGACTCTGGCATACACCACCAAATACAAGCTGCCCGACGACAGCCGCACTCGTGAGATCCTGATCCGCCGCCACACCAGTATCAGACGCAGCCTCCGAGCCACCAGTTTTAGACATCCAGTGAGTTTTGCTTTTAAATATGATTACACTTGATCTGATTGTGTTTGTATTAGATTTTGTATTTGCTTTTTCAGCCTTCAGAAAACATTCCTAAATCTCAGAAGTATTATTCACTGCAGCCAGGCAGTGACCTGGGGTCAGCCTTAGCTCTCAGAAGAAGAAGTCAGGGTAAGTCAAAAGTAAAAGTTTGGTTTTTGACACTTGAAGTGTGACAATATTTCAGTCATTATGATGTTTCATTTGTGGCAAAAAAAATTAAAATAAAAAATATGGATGCCACCTTTGTTTTTATTAGAATTGTTATTAGATTAAACTTGCTACTGTTTTAAAAAGTCATAAAGTTTAATGAAAGTTTAGTTATTGTATTTTTAAATTGTGTTACATCATAGTTCATCATGTTCAGTATCTCAACAATCTATGTGAGTTTTATGGCTAGTGTGTTATTTAGTTCTGTCATGGGTGTTTTCTGTCCTTGTCCAGGTGGCTCAACTGCTCGCTCCATCATCCCGCTCAGCCCCATAGAGGAGAGGAACCTGAGCCCTGCTCCTCACAGGACCACCCCCACACTGCAGCAAAGTGAGGGTGGAGACGAGGCTACACCACATGGCTGGCAACCCGAGGACCCTGAAGGAAACACTGTGTCCAGGAGCCCTTTACTCAGATGATTGCTGTTGCCCTGGCTCTGGATGAGCGTGGGAGTATATACTGTATATGGGGAGAGAAGACTGTAGAGCCTGTATTTAATCTTGTATAAAACGAATTAAACTTTGGTCATGTTTGAAACATCAAGCTGTGTTATGAGCACAGCTCATTGTCTATAACCTTTTGACTGGTATTCCAAGTCATAACTGCATATTAAACAATCGTTTAACCTACCTCCACACTAAGGGCTATGGGCTTTAAATAAACTAGTATTGGTGGTTTTCACATGATGTCATACTCTCAGAGGGTCTGTTTTCCCTAATGATCACGTTGTACTTTATTTGTCATGAAATATTCAAAAGGTAAATGCACAAGTGTTGAATCTGTTTATTTCCATGAGTGATTTGACTCAAGAACTCACTGTATTATAACAAAAATTTGCATTTTAAACAATATTAGGACCCCCATCTGTATTAAATATTATTGGCCTATAGAATGTTATGATGCTAAATGCCTTGAGAGACTGCTCTTCAAACACATTAAAAGCGCAATACCTCCAACAGTTGACCAATACCAATGTGCATACAGACAGAACTCGTCCACCGAGGATGCCATTGCGTTCCACTCACTACTGGATCCTCTCGAGCACAAAAACACCTATGTGAGGCTCCTCTTTGTTGATTTTAGTTTGGCCTTTAATATGATTCGACTATTCAAACTTTGAGCCAAGCTACCATCTGTGCAACCATCTTGGACTGAACCCCTTGCTGTTAGAGGAGACGAGCACACTTCCTCCACCCTCCAATAAACACCGAGGTCCCCCAAGGATATGTGCTCAGACCACTGCTCTATCCTCTGTTCACCCATGATTGCTCTACCTCTTTTGCTTCCAATCTCATTGTTAAATTTGGCGATGACACCACTTGAGCTTGGACTCATTAACAACAACATTGAGATGGATTACAGGACTGAAGTGCAACATCTAGCATCGTGGTGTGTCAGCAACAACCTGGTATTGAAAATAAAGAAGACCAAGGATTATTGTGGATTACCGCAAAAAAGGAAAACACAATCACCTTCCACTCTCTATTGGCAACGAGGTGGTAGAGAGGGTGACACACTTTAGATTGTTGGGGTTGACTGTGACAGAGGACCTGTCCTGGGGCATTATCACTGCCTCAGCAGTAGGTAAAACTCAGTAACGGCTCTACCTCCTGAGGCAACTGAGGAGTGCTAGGATCTCAAAACAGCTGATGGTGAACTTCTACAACTGTGCCATCAGCAGTGTTTTGACATATGGATCTCTAGTGTGGTTCTCCAGCTGCACTAAGGCTGATCAGCAGGCACTCCAGCAGGTGGTAAAAACAGTGGGAAAAATCATTTAGCTCACTCTTTCAGAGATCAGTACCATCTACACCACCTGCTGTCTGGAGAGAGTGCGTAACATCCTGCATGACCAACACCATCCTGCCCACCACCTGTTCCACCTGTTGTCCTCAGGAAGCAGATACAGGTCCATACACGCCAGAACATCTAGACCGGCCCACAGCCCTCCCCTCCTCCTCCGGTCAGTAAACCATATCCCACCCACTACAATAACTGTGAACTGGACCTTGCATTGCTGCAACAGGACATTTAAAATATACAATGTGACCTGGATGTCCCAGTTCTTGTGATTTGTTGATCTCTCCCTTTGCTGCTGCCAAGTCTGTTACAGTCGATCATACTTTGTGCCTGTACTGATTGATAGACTGATACTATTACTGTGTGCTAATGTTTACATAGAATTGAACTGAGTTGAATTATGATGTGATCTGAGACCCAGCAGTCCTCAAAGCAGCCTCTCTATGTTGTATTGCCACATGTTTAGACGTGTAATTGTCCCGCCTCACCAACAGAGGCACCAACGAGCAGAGACGAGACTCACTCTTCCGGAAGTCAGAGTACGGTTCTTCAGCTCGACGCTAAAGCTAAAGTCTCTTCTTGATCAAAAATGTCTAAACAAGGCCAAAGACTGAGAGCTCTGGTGAATGAGCGGCTGAGTGCGGCTGCAGAAGAGATCTTTGCGCTGTTTGAGAGAACAATAGCGGAATATGAGGAGGAACTGCGCCGCTCCAAAGAGGAAAACCAGAGGAAACAAAAGACCCTGGACTCGGTTCTTAGCCCGAGGGTGCTGCTGCCCAAAGCGGCTCCGCACACTCCCTCTCCTGACCCCGGACTCACGCATGACAGCACATGGAGTCCACAGGTTAAACACGAGCCAGAGGAACAGTGTCTCATCAAACTGGAGGAAGAGCAGCAGCTGGTGTAAGTCTGTCTGCTCCTGTCTGCTCCTGTCTGCTCCTGTCTGCTCCTGTCTGCTCCTGTCTGCTCCTGTCTGCTCCTGTCTGCTCCTGTGTCTGCTACTAACCTAGAAATACTCTGGAAACTTTTCAGCCGCTGCTGATTTGCCTCTCAGTTCCAATCCAGTTGTTAGAAGCAGTAGTGGTGCATCCTGTTACACAGGCACATTTGGGTAAATGCAATATGGTATAAGACTAGTGTGAGCACATTTCCAAAATCAAAAACTGGGACATCCCTGGTTTATGATGGTTGGTAATTTGTTTTACCTAAAGAAATAATAATTTGTGTCTCTCTTTACTGTTGGCAGGATCAGATTGGTCAAAACTAGGGACATTTCTTGTATAAAACTGGGACAAATCACTGGTTTTGGATAAATCTGCTGGGTCAGGGGACACAGGCTCAAAACTGGGACTGTCCCGAGTAAATAGGGACGTCTGGTCACCCTATATCAGACCTGGGCATTGTCCAGCTCCTGGGCCACATACGGCCCTTTGGTTGACTCTGACTGGCCCGCTTAAGATCATTTGGAATTACAAAATAAACATATTTTATTATAATTTTACCTCATGCATGGACTAAAGCTGCATTGCTTTTATTTTAGAGGTGTTTTTTAATGACATTTTTTGTTTGGCAGTCTCACTTTTTCATTGCTTAGTCATAACATAAAGTCTTATCAGTCTGACCATCGTCAGAACAATAATATTTACTGCTTTTTGTAAAGAAATACAATTAATATTATGCAGAATTTAGTTAAACATTGTAGCCCTCCATAATATTTTCTGTTTCTCATGTGGCCCCATGGAAAAAAGAATTGCCCATCCCTGCTCTATATAAGACTAATAATATTTCATTTATGATGACGACCATTGTAATGATGAACATGGTTGCTTTTTTCAGGTCTATCCATGAGTTCTCTGATGTCCATGTGAAGGTAGAAGAGCCCTCAGTGCTTGTAAAAAGTGAGTCTAAACAGGAAACGAAGGAAGAGGACATGAGCACAGAGCCACATTTAGACTCAGAGTCTGAGGAAGATACAGAGCACTCCTCTGACACTGACACCGGTGAAGACTGGAGAGCTCCACTCAGACATCCAGCTGATGAAAACGACATCATACAAATCAAGATCAGATCCCCCAAATCCATGTCTGCACCAGAGCTCAGCTCCAGTCTGAACGATGAAGGCGTATCAGGAACAGCTGAGGGAGCAGAGGAGAAGAAACACCAGTGCTCTGTGTGTAAAAAGAAACTGTCTTCTGAGTATCAGTTACAAGTACATTTTCGAGTTCACAGTGGAAATAACCCTTACACCTGCCCAATCTGTAAGAGAGCACTGGCCTCCAAGACTTCTTTAATTGTACATACGAAACAACACACAAGAGAAAAACCTCACATTTGCTCAAAGTGTAACAAATCATTCGCCACTAAGACTTCTTTAATGGTACATGCAAAACAACACACAGAAGGAAAAACATTCAGTTGTTTAATTTGTAAGAAAGATTTTGCACAAGCGTGTATCCTAAAACTACACATGAAATCACATTCTGATAAATAAACCTTTGAGCAGTGTAATGTGTAAGAAATCGTGATGCAGCAAGGTTAAAGTAGCTGTACATTACGTAATTCACAGAGAGCAAGTTTACAGCTGCATCTGATCTGAATTCATTTCCCAAAAAGTATAATCGAAATGTTAATGTTGCATGTTCAGGCTCGAATACTTTTGTTGACAGGGGTTATGGTTAATATCTCTGTATCTATTAGGAACGGTCCAAGATTTATTTACATTTTTTTTTGAGCTGATTAAAATATAGTATATTTTTCTTACTGTTGTGGCCAATAGCCGATACTTACAAATTCTGATATTAAGCTTTTAAAATTTCTTGTAAATTTATGCTGAGTTACCAATATACTCCCTTAAAACTGGCTCAGATTAGCTTGTATTTTTCCTCCCTGTAGAAAAAAGATGTGTCCCCCCCCCCCCCGTCAAATAACTTTTTTCTTGATGTTTTGGGTATTTAGTTGGATGTGAGAAGACCAGTTGAGCTTGTACATGGTTTTCCATCTAATAATATGCAGCTTAAATAAAAGCCTTACCTCAATTGTATGTATTCTATTCAAAACAAAGACACTGCTCCTGTAAAATCTATTTATTGTATCTGAGCACAGACGTCTCCACACAATCCTCTTCAATTTTAATGTCACAGTGAACAAAGATACTCCACACAATTTCAGTTACAGTGAAAGAAATAGTTTAACCCTTAAAAATAATAATATACATATTGATATAGCAGGCAATCGTGGCACAGTGGCAGAGTTGTTAGTTCTTCAGCTTCACAACAAGAAGGTCCTGGGTGTGATCCCTGGGCCAGGTGGGGACTTTCTGTGTGGAGTTTGCATGTTATCCCTGTGTTTCTCTTACCAGTAAATCATGTACAGTACGGCCGTGTCTGGAGTCAGGACTCAGAGCTAAATAAAGAGCAAATTATAACAAATGGCTAAGGGTAGCACACAGCTTTGGGGTGTAAAGATTTTTTTTTTAAATAAAACTTTATCTGTTTGTTCTTCCTCTTCAGCATTCTTCTACCCCTAAAATATCAACCTGGACACATTTGACAGTAATCTTGAATACAGAAATATCTCAAATTACTCTCTAAATGTTATGACGTCGTTGGTCCCAATAAATCTCTCTCTCCATAGTTTTGATATAAGTATAGAGTGGCCAGACATCCCTGTTTACCCGGGACAGCCCCAGTTTTGAGCCCTGTGTCCCGTGTCCCAGCACATTTATACAAAACCACTGATTTGTCCCAGTTTAATACAAGAAATGCCCCACGTGTCCCTATTTTTGACCAATCTGATCCCTGCCAACAGTAAAGAGTTTTCACTTGTTTAGGTAAAATACAGAAAAGCTGCTTAAAAATGACCAAAACACAAAGAAATGTGACTATACTGAGTCATGTTAGTCGTGAATGGACCGAGTGCAGAATTACACACTCGTTTCACAATTTTATTATTACCAATAATCATAAACTGGGGGTGTCCCAGTTTTTTATTTTGAAAATCTGGTCACCTTATATAAGTAGCCTGTTTGCATTAGAACTATTTATATTCGCCCATGAATCCGTAATGGGAGTGTGCATTTTATAAAAAATATTCATACAAACAATTCTTTATTTATTTGATGCAGTATTAAATGAAGATGATATAAAGCTCGTCTATGTCACTTTTTCAGTTGGGGGTCTGTTACTTGCTTTTTCCATGAGCGTGACTTGAATGTTCCACAGTATGGCATTAAGCGTTTCTATCGAGCATTTATTTCAGTGTGCGTGCTTTTATTGCTTGAAAATAGCATTCTTGCCTCTGCACAAACCTGACCTTCGGTTGGTCTAGCAGTATCATCTGCTGGTTTCCATGGAGATAGATAATTTTAATGCCATGCTGTAGATGATCTAGCAAAGCAAAACACCTGAATGCAGAAAAGCACGTGGCAGACCCTCCACCACAAAAGTTACATCTTTAAATGACCAAGTCGGTTAGCTGATATTAAGAAATACTACTAATTTCTGGCATTAATTTTCCATGTTTGTTAGTAAAAAATAAAGCATCAAATGAGTACAACATGCAAATACACAACAGTCAAAAATATGTACAGTGGTTGACATCATTCAGTCTTGTGTCCTCTGCAGTTACAGCGGTTGCAGTTCAGTTTATGTCCTGAAGGTGGCAGTCTCAGCATTTTTAGCAGTGGCCCCCAAGTGCGTCTCTCTCTGTCCATGTATTACAACACATTTCGTAACATCATTTTTATGCCCATGACTTTTCAGTTTTCAATTTGCTGTTGTTTCGGCAGAAAAAACTCCCGGTCGTTTCACAGTGAATAAACAACACTCCATTTTAACATCTGAAGATTTTGGTTCAAACTCGGATGATGCTGATCGAGGAGGAGGCTCGGTGAAGCTGGAGAAAAACAAAAGAAAAAATATGAGCAAAATAAGGCAATACTGAACACTTTGAGCGTTTCTGACGTAATGACGTTTATGTGTCAAAAACATACCTGTGTCTTGTTTCTTTCAACTCTAATCATATCAACTCTATGCACTTCCTGTTCCTTCATTCTTCCTGCATTTCAGTGACATGGTGTCTGTGGTCACTGCTGGATGAATTCACTGTTTTATTTATAGACGTGGCCATCTTACCAAATTTCATAAGGGTTATTAACTTTCTTCTATTTTACCACAATATCTAGAATATAATTTGATCAGGGGATGTATAGATTTGCTGTTGGAGCTGAGTACTTTTAGAAATACTTTGAGAGCAAGGACGAAGGAGCACAAATAATGGAAAATGTAATATATTAGTTAATATTTTGAAATTTTTTGTTCATTTTAGAATAGTGTTTAGTAGGGTATATCGTATCATTTAATGTGATCATACAGTATTGATATCGTGGGTTGCTGTATCGATGTATCGCCAAGAGTATTTTTTGGTATATTTTATTAAATATTTTTGTTACAGTGCTACACTTTTGTTGTTTGTTTAGAGGAAGTAAACTGGTTTATGCGACACTTTTGACATTTTCACAGTTTTGATGATTAAAATGTTTGTGTTTCATGTGAACTTTGCACAAGAAGTGTTTTAACAAAGACTTTTACTATCACAGACATGATTTAGCCTTTATTTTTATTGAACTTTATCGAATTGATATATATCGTATCAAATCAAAAGTGTACTTTATCGGGATATGTATCGTATCGAGGCCTGTGTATCGAGGTATGTATTGTATCACCAACTTCTTAATGATACTCAGTCCGAGTGTTTAGAGTCTACGTATCTCTGGTATGAAAAAAAGTCATCTATACTTGTCCCTGTTCACACTTTCTTGTCCCTGTTCACACTTGTGACCTTACTTAGACGAAAGGTAACTATGTTCCTGCCAAACTGAACGCATCCAAACTTTTTCCATCCATCATGTTTCAAGTGTAAATGTGCTTAGTTGCAGGATGAATCTTTCGACACATAGAGCGGCTTTATTATCATTGTGCTGTTGGCTTTTCACACCATTTGCACTCAGTGTTTCAAGCCTATATCTTTTTATGCTAAAGCTTTCACATTTCAACTGCCTGAACCTACATAAATCAAGCCTAATGACCTCCTAAAGACAGTGTTCCTCTCCCAGTTTATAATCCGTTGTGAACAAATCGATAGAAGGAAGATGTGGGTGTCTTAATGGAAATGATGGAGTAGACGCTGACTTGTCTTGTTCTTACGGTAAGCACTAACACTGCAGACGAGGCTCCATTTCAAAATTATCAAGCCATATTTTTTAAATCTTAAAGCTCAAATGCTGACTTTGTGAGTTCAGCAGATGTAGTACCTCCAGGCAAACATGTTTCGATCACAATTATGGAATTGCCTAAATGTTGTTAGTTCTTTTTGAGGTCTGGTTAAGTGTAAAACTGCCAAGCCTGTAGCTCAGACCTCTACAAACGTGTGTGTGCAAGACTGTGGAAGCACTGGTTGCTAGGAGATTTCTGGCACACTATTGACCCCCTACAGAAAAACATGTCTTCAAATTCTTTTCTGACATCTACTAACTTGGCTTGCCAAAAGTAAGATAATCAGATAATAAAAAGAAAACAGAAAACGCACACCAAGATTTCTGCAGAGGTGCAAATGCAAGGAGTAGCCAGATCAGAGTGAAAAAATGCATAGCACACTCGGTTGGCCGATGTCCAAATACTATTTTATTAACAAAATAACGTTTCGGCAAAAAAAGCCTTCATCAGATATTTTTCTTGTCTTGGACCACAGCACACAAAATGGTTGCCAGCCCAGGTGCCCATATACCAACTCATTCATTGAGTGGGTATATGGGCACCTGGGCTGGCCGAAACGTTATTTTGTTAATAAAATTGTATTTGGACATCGGCCAACCGAGTGTGCTATGCATTTTTTCACTCTAATCAGATAATAATCAACACTAGAAGTAGTATTCAAACTAGATACTTTGGCCAGCATCAGTACTAAAATTCACAGGGTGACCAGAAGTTCAAAGGCAAAAATCTGGGACTTCCCTGTTTTTTTGGTTGTTGGTAATAATAAAATTGTGAAACGAGTGTGTAAAAATTGTTCTGTACTCGGCCCATTCATGGCTAACACGTGAGTCAGTATAGTCACATTTTCTTTGTGCTTTGGTTATTTTTAAGCAGCTTTTCTGTATTTTACCTAAACAAATGACAATTTCTGCCTCTCTTTACTGTTAACTCTTTACTGTTGGCAGGGATCAAATTGGTCCAAAATATGGACACCTGGGACATTTCTTGTATTAAACTGGGAAAAATCAGTGGTTTTGTATAAATGTGCTGGGACAGGGGACACAGGCTCAAAACTGGGACTGTCCTGGGACAACAGGGGTGTCTGGTCACCCTACAGTGACGGGACAGAAATGAACCTTTCCTGAGTAGCTTTAGAATGATGTTGAGCTGTATCAGAAGTGTAAGAGCACATAAACTAGTATACTAGACTATGAAACCTACCTTTACCACCGAGTGCTTACGCAGATGGCAATATAAAAGAAAGTACTACATTTAATGTTGAAAATTACATTCTATTGTCTATTCCTTTGAAATTTTAGTATCATGACAACACTAGGCCCTGAGCAAGAAGAATCACATGGGTCCCTCTCTAAAAGAACAGATAAGAGTCCAATTCTGGGTGAAAGATAACTGACCACTTTGTCCCACTTGTCTACTCCCTCACTACTTACTACTACAGGGTGACCAGACGTCCCCATTTACCCGGGACAGTCCCATTTGATCCCAGTGTCCCCTGTCCCAGCACATTTATACAAAACCACTGATTTGTCCCAGTTTTATACAAGAACTGTCCCAGGTGTCTTTATTTTTTACCAATTTGATCCCTGCCAACAGTAAAGAGAGACATAAACTTGTTTAGGTAAAATACAGACTATACTGACTCACATCTTACTGTAGTCATGAGTGTTCTCTGCACTGTCCCAAACCGAGGCTGTCCTAGTCTTTGATTTTGAAAATCTGGTCACCCTAACTTACTACCTACCATGTGGACTTTTAGCTCTAACTATCCACCAGAGTGAAAACAATAGAGTGCTGACTGAACTCTCACCCTGCTGCTCCGCACTGCCCCGTTATGGTAGATGGGGGAACTGCCCGCGGAGCCGTTGTAGTAGGACGAGGACGAGCGCAGCCGTTTACCCTTCTCCTTGGTGCCGTTGGAGTCGTTGTCTTTGATGATGTCGTACTGCCGGCAGAACAGGGCGATGACGGCTGTGGGAGAGCCCGGCAAAGCAAAATGACACACAAAATGAACACAATGAACATGTCAAAATGAGAACTAGACAATGTGAGTTTTAAGAACAGAATACAGACCAGCCCACAGCAGCAGTACAGTCGTGATGATGAGCAGCTCTCCTGTCTGCAGGTGAGGCGTCATCCCCAGACCCTCCATCGCCGGCTCATCTGACAAAACATAACCACATACATTCTAAGCCTTTTATCCAAATATCATGGGTGTTCGTTTAAAGACGCTTTGTAATCAAGTCAAATTTGTCTTAACCCAGTGTAGATATATGGTAAAAGCAGCTCTTAGGGTCAAAATGTGGCACTGTGAGCTGTCTGCATCTACTAATTCTAAAGCATTTTTATCTTCCTGCAAACCAAGACGTAACATGTTTGTTGACATTAAACATTACTGGGAAGGTTGAGAAAAGCGTTTATGAACTCATCACGGTGAATAATTTGTGAGAGAGTGCATTAGGAAAGTGAGGAATAAATAACAGTTAAATATGAAGACCATAAAACAAGTAAAGCCCCTTTATTTGATGCATGTTGATTTTGATTCAAATCTAGTAAACTTGCAGTATGTTTTGACTTGAACATCCAGGTTAAATCCTCTTAACAAGCAGATCTCATGCTCCTATAAATGTCTAGGATGTCTTTCATTGATCTGATAACAACTGTCCTTTGTCAGACATTTTTAGCAGTAAATGAGTGATTTACGGTGGTGGTCGTGCACTCCGACAGGGTAGTGGTCGCTCCTCTCCAAGGTTCTGAAATGCACCGCTCTGCTGGGCTGGCTGTCCCCCTGCATGCCCACGGACTGCACCTACAGCAAGAAAAAACAAGCTCAAAATGAGACAATCGGGCACATTACCTTCCACAAACCAGTACAGCAAAATGTCTGCCCACTGACCATACCATGTTATCGTTATTCAAATATTTGTTCTAATTTAGCCTTGTTTAGTCTATAGTTTTCATTTTGGCTCTGCTGTGAGTGCTTGTACAAACTACTCTTGCCAATTTGAACTTGCTTTGTCACAAGGCCCTTTGGCTTTTTGAAGAGACCCCACTCCAAATAATGATTCAGCAATGAAAACAGAAAGTGCCAGAAGTGGAGTACAAGCTCGAACGATTGCAGCCAGAATTAAATTTTGGCTGCAATCTGATTTTAAGGCCGACACTGCTTAACAAAAAAACAATGTGAAATATCCCTGAGCTGCTGTGAACATTTTCAACTGTCTTCACAGCAACAACCAGCCAGACTCAAATTTCACATCATGAGCATGAAAACAGACCTGAACTAGGGTTGAAAAACGAACATTATCTTTAGTGTTTCCTTGTGTTCAAGGGTGGTGTCTGACCTGTACACTGTAGTGCGTGTCTTCGTCCAGGTCCCACAGCATGCACCAGTGGCTGGACGTGTTGACCTCTCGAATGGAGCGCTGCATCAGTCCATCCTGTCTCTAAATACACAAAGGACAGAAAAATTTGCTTAAGTACCTAACTAAAAATTTAACCAGATAATTGAAGAGATGATGATTGAAGAGAGGAAAATATGACAGATTTGCAGGGGAAGATTTGGTAGTGAAGAGGAGATGGAGAGGTAGAGGATAGGCTGATAGGTCTCCTGCAGGAGTTGAAAGAATGCACTGTATCTGAAATGGCAGGAGGAAAGTGTACATTTTCTACTAGATGAAGGCAGCTGGAAACAGGTAGACTGTATGTAATGTCCAAATGCATTGCAATATTGTCCAAAATATTGTCCAAAATGATTACAATAAGCTATATATATTTCAACATTTCAAATTCCACAGTATTTTTCAACACAATTTTCTTTTAAAATCTGTAAACAGCTAAATAAGCACCTGAATGGATTAAGAAAGTTTTCAGAAATATTTTGCATAGGATAGAAATCTGTGCATATTTGTCTGTAGCTGAGCATAAAATAAGTATTTGTAAACTCTCAAATGAGTCCAGTCGTACATAAAATGCATTTTATCCATTAGAATATGAATTGAAAAGTTACAACTTTAAGAATAACAATCACAAAATGAAAGTTACTCTTTCTTCAGTACTTAAACGAATTCACAGACACAACTCGACTGTCAAAAATCTGTCATCACTTCACAGCCATTATTTATTGAGCAGAAGAAACATCGATCAAGATGCCAGACTTTTGCTAAACCAGGTCTAAACCAGGACTCAACCAGGACTCAACCAGGACTCAACCAGGACTCAACCAGGTCTAAACCAGGACTAAACTAGATCTAAACCAGATCTAAACCAGGACTAAATCAGATCTAAACCAGGTCTAAACTAGGTCTAAACCAGGTCTAAACCAGGACTGAACCAGGATTAAACAAGGACTAAACCAGGACTAAACCAGGACTAAACCAGACAAATCTTGGACTTGAGAGAGAGAGACTCGCGCCCCAGGGTAAAGCGTGATTGGGCGATGGCTGCGCTTAGCTCCGTGGGGTGCGGAGCTCTGTGCCAGTCCTTCCACTACACGAGCACCTCCGGGCCTGTCCCGACCCTCAGTCCTGGTTCAGTTCTGGTTCAGTCCAGGTTCAGTCCTGGTTTAGACCTGGTTCAGTCCTTATGTGGTGCAAAAGTCCAGCATCTTGATCAATGTTTCTTCTGCTCAATATAATACATTTTATGTACGACTGGACTCATTCAAGAGTTTATGAATATTTATTTTATGCTCAACTACAGACAAATACACACACATTTCTATCCTATGCACACAAATATTTCTGAAAGCTTTCTGACTCCATACACTTGTTCACCTGGCTCTATGATCTTTGCCTGTTTTCTTATGCCAAAAATATCTGATAATTATTTGTATGCAAAGTGTTTAAGATGGCTGACTTTGAGATGAATGTTTAATGCAATCCACTTTTAAAAACAGTTAGTCCAGACTGAAAAAGCATGTACGAAGAGTAATGTAATAAAGGGGACATCTTATGCTAATCCAACATTTATAAAATTTGAGTCATTTTATAATGTTATAACCTGAAGTTCTTTTGGATAGTTAAGGGGCAGGCTAGAATACATTTGAGTAAAAAGTCAATGCCCCTCTATCCAGAGGTGTAATACATTATCACTAAATAGCAAAGAAAAGCATAACATGTCTTCTTTGAATAGAGCCACAGTTTGAATCCTTATAATAAGCAGGATAGATTGCGTAGGCGCTGGTGGCTTGAGGGGATTTGCTAGACTCTCTCTTTGGCTCTCGTTTCCAAATAGAGACGAATAGGATTGAGATGTGGTATCCAGACAGACTTTAGCGCCCTGCTACGGAGTAGCAGGGGGAGTGTGGCCGTTAAGGACAAATGCTGAGGAAAAGTCTATAAGCACAGGGCTACAGGGGAGCTCCGGGCTGTCCAGCTGTCAGCGTGCACTCACAGAACTAGACAGAAGCAGATAAAAGCATATTTCAAGGCAAGTCATTGTAATGTTGTGGTATGAAGTTAAAGTTATGGGGATAAGGTACTCTAAATGTACGACTTAAACTGTGTAAAAGCTGCCACACATTACAGGATTTTTCAGTCTTAAACGATGTTTAAACTAGTGCTGTCATGCGATTAAAAAAATTGAGAGATTAATTAATTATGATCTGTAATTAATTAATCTAATTAATCTCATTTTAATCTCACCTAAAAATTGCTGAGAAAAGCTTCAATTTGAGGTATTTTCATTTAAATTCATTATTACATTATTGTGGCAGATCAAAAGACTAATATAGATTAAAAAAAGTGACTTTATAAAGTCATTTATTGTTTAACAAATCTCTCCAATTTGGCTGTTGAGCCCAAGTCTCCATGAATAAGAAACTGTTTGCTGTAAAGTAGCAAAGACGAGGAAATCTGAACATAATAACTTTTGTCTACTTAAAGACAATAAAAAGTCCAGTCTTTCCTTAACCATGTTAAAAATATTATTGATAGAGAAATAGTTTATATATGAGATCACTGGTTTTAGACCTGGTTTAGACCTGCTTTAGTCCTACTTTAGTCCTAGTTTAGTCCTGGAATGGATTAATCCTGGTTTTAGTCCTGGTGTTAGTTCTGGTTTAGTCCTGGTTTAGACCTGGTTTTAGTTCTGGTTTTAGTTCTGGTTTTAGTTCTGGTTTAGCCTGGTTTAGTCCTGGTTTAGTCCTGGACTGGATTAGTCCTGGTTTTAGTCTTGGTGTTAGTTCTGGTTTAGAGGTGCACAGGAGGAAACGCGGTTTACGCCGCGTACGCGAGAAAACACGATCCACACGCGGCTCATGGGAGGACAGCGGTGTCCGCGCAGTGTCTACGGAAGGAAACGTGGTCTGCGCGTTCTCAGGTTAATGACGATGAAGGTGTGTGTTTGTTTGTGTGTGTTTGTGTTTGTTTGTGTGCATGTCCCCTCATGTGGCAGGTCACTATAGGACAGTAGTGCAGACATCATGAGTCTATGCAGGTTGTTTTCAGGCGATATTATATTTGTTATTTTCTTTTATATTTCACGTCGGGAGAATCATTTCCAAGACATGAATGTGTTTTTACCTGTGCACTGCTGGTTCTGTTCTACTGGCTCTTTGACCTTGTCCATTGTGCGACTGACGCCGCCAACGTTAACATGACGTTTACATCGCTCTTACTGCGCGCGTTTTGTGTGGGTTTCCAGCAATGAGTGGAATTACCGAAATAAAAAAATGTATAAATGTGTTTTTTTTGTGTGTGTGTCTGTTGTCCCAACAACACATAAAAACAGGTTTTATTAGAAAGCAACTCGCATACAGAAACAGTAAAGTTAGAGAATAAAAATTAGATTAACGTGATTAAAAACATAATGCGCTAAATATGACTTAATTAATTAATCGCAATTAACGCGATAATTTGACACCCCTAGTTTAAACATGCGTCAAAAAGGGCACACCACAGACACCAGGAGAATCTTATGACTTAAAATCTCCGTTCGCAAAGACTGTAGAGGACTGTCTGCGGACCACAGGATATAAAGCTGTGAGTGACATAACGTCAGCTGTTTCCTATCTCCAGTAAAACCAGTCGCTCTGAGACTCTTAAGTGTTCAAAGATCAGACTCTGCACTTCTAGTTTAGATACAAAACTGTGTTATTATTATTTGTGAAACGTGGTTTTAAAGCATAAAAGATTGGTCCACTGTTACTAATCTGCAGCTTCACCTCGGTCCGTGCGCTGTGTGGATGTAAACAGACACACGTGAGGAACTACTCCCACCTTTTTACTTTTATATAATTTTTTAAAATTAATCGCGCTGTTTTGTGAACTGGATGCTGCACTAAATTTACCACTTTATAAGAGGTGAGGAATAAAGTCTTCTCATTATTTCCACTATGTCCTGAGTTTGTATGTTGTATCTCTGTCTGTCACTCCTCTGCCCCTGACGCTCTGTTTTATTTGCTGTTACTGTAGCGTTGCTGATGTTTGGTGGTTCTGATCTGACAGAGCAGCTCAGAGTCACACTGACACCACACAGCGCCTTCAAAAAACACAAAGTCGGGTCATGTCTCCCCGACCTCAGCGGGAACCAAATCGCAGCCTAAATTCGACAAATAATGACACCTGTAGTCTAAAATGATTTTAAAGGAGCAATATCAAGGATTCACTGAAAAAAAAAAAAGTTTTTCAAAGCTGTGGCTGTACCTGATGCCAATTATGAAACTGAATTACTTTTTAGCTTTTCTTATATAATATCATTACATTTGACTCATACGTCATACTTAAATAACATTATGTAGTAGCATTATATTGTAGTAGAATTATATTATTAGTAATCTAGACAGTTATTCGCTTCTCTCTCTTTTAGAATACTGTTTAATACTGTTTATATTGTTGTAAAATGTAACTATGTAGATATATTTGTTTGTAGAATGTAGAATATGTATTTATATGGGACACTGTAGATTGGGTCTGAATAAAAGTGAAGATTTCAACAGATTTCTCCCCATATGTTTGTGGCTCATCGTTACCAAACCTCATAACTGCATATGTGTAATTCCATCATAACCAGTTTAAAGCCAGCGAGAGGAGGGACACCTTTTACATGATGATATTATTCTTACATTAACCTTGAGATGGTGACTCTTTGCTGCATTATGAATCAGATTACGGGCTTTGTTATGTCAGAAATACAGTATCCAATGGGGTTACTTCCTCAGTGCGTTTGAGTGTGTTGCATAATGAGGAGCACGGGGACTTAGAGCGGCTTCTGAAGAGGCTTTGTGTGCACATAGGCTCAGCTGGTTGCTCCATCTCTCCGCTCTACAGTACAGACGTGGGTTTAGAGCGCCGTGCTACAGAAGGGAAGCAAGGTGTTGGGCTACATTTGAACATTTAAAAAAAAAATCTATACCTGTATTACACTATTTTCTGAACTATGTTATAATGTTGTGTTTTGTTGTAAGTTCTTTTCTCAAACTGAAACCACTGTTCCATCTTGTGAT